CGCCACGAAACGCAACGGAAGAGTAAGGCTGCCGGTGAGGAACCATCCCGTCCCGTACTCAGTGTACATTACTCACCATTGCGTGCCGTCGGGCGGCCACCATATAGCTCGCTCAGGCCCCTTCATTCACCTGCCGGCGAACCATCGCGTTTCTGTGGATCTCCAGCTGTGACCTCTGACCGACCTAGAAACGCAACAGAAGAGTAAGGCTGCCGGTGAGTCAGCAATCCCCGCTGAAATGAATTTACATGACTTACCACTGTTGCAGTCCAGCTCATCCTGCCCGAAAGCTGCCGTCTACCCACTCCACTCGCCAGTCAGGGATCCCCGTCTTCTTTAAGATGGCTGCAAACGCAACAGAAGAGTGAGGCTGCCAGTGAGCAACCATTTCATACCGGACCAAGTATGCTGTACTTACCAGTGCGTCCACGCCCCACCCCCACCTGTAACTCTCTCTTCTCCCGTGCATCATTGTCGAACTAGACAGCTTTAGAACACAACAAAAGGTGGACACGACGGCTGTGGAACGCAACAGAAGAGTAGGGCTATCAGTGCGTGAACATTCCATGCTATATGAAGTGCGCTCCCACCATCCACTATGCTCTCCGGCGAGCAAATCATTGCATCTTCGACCATTGCATTGCTGTGCGACAGAAATTGCATGAGACGGCAGCAAAACGCAACAGAAGAGTAAGGCTGTCGGCGAGTCAGCAACTCTCACCTACATCGAGCGTATACCACTTACCATTGCCTGTTCCGGCCGCCATTCTTCCCCCTCAGATCCGTATCGCCTGGCAATCCGTTGCACCTTCGCCGGTCATATCCCGCTGTGCCATCGTCAAAGGAGGCTTGGCCCTTGAACGACACCTTCACTGACCAGCCGGCGACCACTTCGCCCTTACTCGCTGTCTCGCCACGTCACTTGAGGTACACCAAATTCCCGCCTGTCTCTGCTACCGGTGGAGCCTAGGCACGTGCCTCGCACCCCCGGTCAAGGACTGTGAACCGCAGTCAGCACTAGAAGCCCGGTATAAAATGAAGCTCCCTCACCGTCACTGTACTGAGCAGTGCCCTGTCGTGGGTGCAATGTGCCCATTTGGGCTTTGTGTGCTGTCCGGTGTGTGCTGTTACTGGCCCGCACTGGGGCCAGATCACTGGATGGTGACATGTCGTGTCCTCGGTGACCAGAAGGAGCACCTGGGTTTGTTGAGCTGTGACCACCGTCCTGAGGAATTTCCGCGGCAAGTTCATCCGGCGCAATGCAGTCTGCGGTCTGGCGCGGGTCTGGCGTTGGCATTACATATTCATCAAGGTTCTCTGACTTTCAGCGGCTGATGGCGGGTAACCAAGCTACCAGCATAGTGATTGTAAGCTCATTACTGCGCTCAGCTCTTCTGCGACTTGGGCTAGGAACTCAGTCTACTTATCATTGTTGTGAGAAATCACTATAACTTGGCCCTTCAACAAGTCAAGCTGTGTAGGCATTGAGCACGTCAGCTGTATGATAATGCCAAAAGTGGAATCCATCAATTACTACAGCAACCGCTTGACAAATTCAATGACCACGTCTGTCAGATTACGATTAATCACGGATATGGCATATTTCCAGTGATGAACCTGAGACAGAGGACGTCATCTGTCTGAGGCCGTCCACCTATTCCGAGGGATCCGGAATGGGTCGGCTGCCTCAGACGGATAGTAGTAGACAGCACTCAGCTAGTGCCACATACTACAGTCAGAATGACAGATATCTTCTCAGCTAACACAGGCTGCCAAGGCGTCAGGAGTGAGTCAAGTACTTTAGTAAGCACATTCACATCATTACTGCTGAGCCCTGTACACCACGGATTGGGCGGGTTATGGACAATGACCGTCATGGAGGAACAAAAGACCTACCTGTTTCAGAGACATTTCACGGCAATACAAATGTATATGCCGGGCTGCAGTGAACAGAAAATCACTCGCCGCGCCAGTGAGCGCGCTGAGATCGTGCGAGCCGATTTGGGAACACGAGGCTCCCAACCGCTTCAGCGGGCGCCTAATTGGGTCCCTCCGTGCGATCATATTCATGGCTTGTTTTATGCTTGTTGTGTTGACCGGCCTTAACCCTCATGTCAAAACAGTACCACACTACATTTATGATGAATTTGAATTGGCTTGTTAGTGCCCAGGATCTCCCTGGCAAGGCTTTGGAGACACCTGGCTCATTGCTACAATGGACGGCGAGCATCGTAACGGCTTCCTGCGCACAAGGTTCGCCTTGCTGTGTCGTCCTCTCAGTTTGGCCAAGCAGCGTCTATTTCAGCGCCCTGCTTTGATGCATCATTCCGCATATACGCGTTGCCTCCCGACAATTGGAAAGGTGCCCGGAGAGAAGACACGGTACGGCTGCGTAAAACTGGGACTACACAAGCGAAGCCGGTCCATGACTCAGTGCGGGATGATGTGTCCAGTTGAGGATGATGCCGAGACATGGTACAATCCATGCGGGGTGCCGGAGGTGCGCACGGACCATCGGCTCCAGCTATATATCCTGGTCTCATTGCCCTACATCATTTCATCCTCGCTTTCTCTCCGAGTTCTCCGGGCAGTCAGCCATTCACTAGTATGTGATATTTGGCTTGTTCCCTGCCGGTACATACTCTCGCTTACACACATACTACAAGTCTCTGACCTCATAATTGCAGGGCAGTAAGCAAACATTATTCTGTACGAGGCTCGAAACTTATGCTTTCGCCAGACTCCCTATGTCACTTGCAACAAGTGTGCTCAGTCGTCCATTTTGGTCATCGCTGTACTGGGATTGCCTGTCCAAGCGACCTCAGGTGAGTTTTCTTCCAAAGGAGCCTCATCCACATCCTGAATACACAGCAGTCTTGATTATTGTGCGTCTCCGGTCAATCTTGTAAGTTCATGCTTAGTTTTGACTCGCTGATAATGACACACTGAAGACGAATAAGCTATGTACAGGCTAGCGCTGCGTAGAGTAGCTATCTCCGCACAAAGTACATGTAATTACGGGGGAGTAGGTCGAGGTATGTCCGGGACGATGAGTGTGGCGACACGGGCTCGGAAAGAAGCATGCCGCCCAGCGCCCGCTCCCGGAGACACCATTTCGCTTGTGACGGTCTGGCTGTGCCGCGTTGACAACCGAATCGCTGCGACCGCCGTGCCGGCATTGTCAGTGGTGACGGCTTGTAGTGTGTAACGGCAGTTTTCACGCTGCGAACACACCTGGCGTCGGACACCAGTGATCTGTGTCCCACCGTTACGGCGTATGCGGCTTAGTATTCGGTTGACACGCTCAGGACCGCATGCCGGCGGGGCACAACAACCACGTCCGTCTCAGGTCAAGACGACTCTAGAGCCGGGCGCAATTCCCCGCCTACCATACCTTGTTGCGAGCGCGGCCTATGCGTCAAACGTGGGCCAGGTCTTCACGACGCATTCGAGACTGCACGGAGACGGCGTTCCTCAGGGCGTCGTGCTTGACTGACGCTCTCGCCTACACAAAGATCAGCGAAGCCGGCAACTAGTAGCATTCATTGAGACGACTTGCATTCACTGGCCTGTGTGCTATGCTTATCACTGTCATTCCCCGCTGACCATGTTCACTCGTGCTCGGCTCAACCTACATGCTAACACCCCACACCGTGACCTTCGTGGACCCGGTGAGCATCGGGTTGTCAGTTCTGGCATGGCAGGCTGCGTATCGGTACGCACTCACGCTCTCGGCCCTGCGATACATCTACTGACGTTTCGCCCCATGCAGCATCGTTGTCCTTCCCGGTCAATGTTCTATCCTCACCTACGGAATGTTGTTTGCGCGTTTCAACGTGCACCAGATAAAGGTGAGCAGTTACTCACCAAAGCTTTTCCTGTCATATATCGAGTGAATGGTGCCCTCTCCGCTTGCATTCATAGCTATCCGCACGTGCCGCGTAGATGTCGCAGTACGTGCCTCGTCTCAACACGACGGTCAGTATCCGTCATCAATTCTGCTTGCGGATAACTGACGCGCATCAAGCCAGCGTGTCGTCTCGTTTGGTACCGTGTGTCGATGTCCAGCCTGCCTCAGCTGGTATGCATGACCCTGGTCGCTACAACGTCTATCTGACCGAGAACACGCTGGGCGCATCACCGCTGTGATTGCAATGTCACCCTATCGGAGGCAAATGGCTCGTCGCCGCGCAGGTACACACCGCACCGTCTATCCACATCGTCTCTTCCCGCTCTGACTGTCTAGCGTCGATCTCTGCGTGTGCATCCCGGACGTCGCGGGCGCGTAGCTGCCGCTTGTGCGTTTCGTGTCCACTCGCGCCTCGCCCGCTCTGCTAACCCTGCGCTCGCTGTTCTTCCAGCTGGGATCGCCGACGTCCACGCGCACGGCGCTGCTCCTCCTCGTGCAAGTACGTCCCGACTCTGCCCGTGCCTCCCACTTTCTGCGCTGACCTCCGTCTCCGGTCCAGGCCACAACAACGACTCGGACACCATGGGCAGACGGTGGCGCCCTCGCTGGTCCGCTGCGCCGGTACACCCTGCGCCGTCTCTCTCGCCCATTCACCATGCCGTCCGCCCGCTTCCACTGCCACACCTCACCTCAACGAACAAGCCCGTGTCCTGCGCGCCTCCCTTCGTACGTGCTGGTCTTGACCATGTTCACCCGCTGACTCGGCCCTCCGTCTGTATGGCGCAGCGTCGCAAGCATTGAAGCAATACGCGCGTGCATGCGTACTCGCCGCGCGGTCGAGTGGCTGTCGGTGGTCTTGTTATCGACGGCGCTACTCACAACGCGCGAAGACTGCGCCGATGAGGACGCAGCAGTCGCGGTCCGCGCATGCGATGTCGTGGAACGGGCGTGGTTGATGCTGACCGTGTAGACAGATGCGCGTCGGGCGACGGGCGTGACGGCAAGAGTCAAACCGCCGCCTCGCACGGAGACGCGCGACCTCGCCCTGAGCACGTGCCCGTGTATGCGCGTTCAGTACGTCCACGTTGACTGATACTTACTGCGTGCTGAGCGTGACATTGCAAAGCCCGGGAATGGATTGAGTGTGCGTAGTATACAGTCGATGTAGGCTAGCTACTGTACTGTACTGGGCCTGACGATAGCACGCCGCACGGGACACGCCCGGGGCATGCATGGGACGGTCGCAGTCGGACGACCCACAGCTAGTCGCGTTCACGCGCACTCGCTCGCCCGACGGTTGCACCGCCATCTGCCGCTGTCCAGCGCAGATCGCGAGGGGCGGCGTGCGATATTTGCAGGGCCGCCGTGCTCCTCCTCACCGCCCGGCGATTGGCTGTGACGACGCATCGCTACAAGCTCGCACGATCGCAGTGAACGACCATGCGCCAAGAGCGCCCCGCGGATGCCAACCGGCACCTCCTCGACTACGGAGCCGCGGCATGCGCGACGGCGTCGCACGGCACTCGAAGGGACGAGTGAGGTGCTGGCGTCGACTGGACTTGGGCACGGCGGAGGTGGCTTGTTGGGTGCACGGGCGCAGCGACGCCGGTCGGCTGTCCATGGGGGACGGGAACGACACGGTGGCCAGCGACGTCCCGTAAGCGAACGCGAGCGAGCGGCGGGCGGGCCTCGCCGCCCACGCGCAAGTTCAAGTGGTCGGTACGGCGACCACGTGTCGTGAGCAGGAGCACTACTCACGACGACCTTGGAGGGATGGCTGGTGCCTGAACCTTGTCAGTGGGGCGAGTGCGAGTCAAGGACCACGACAAACGTACCAAGGCACGACTGGATCGTCCCTGCTGACTCGTGCTTGCCAGAGACAGCAGGCGGCGAGCGGACATAGCACAGACATTGAGGCGACAGAGGCCGGAGACGAGCGCGAGAAAAGCGCACGGACGATTGCGTGGTCACTGGATGCACATAAGAGGATGGGCGGACAAGCGGCTGCGGTGGCCGGCAGAGCGAGGGGAGCGTGAAGAGGAGACGATGGCGGATTGCCGCTTCGTCCGGAGCGCCGGGGTGATCGAGACACGCGTCGGTGGCGGGGCGTCGCGCGGAGGACACCCACGAGCATTCCTCCGTGACAGAGCCAGTGACTGGAAGTGACACGGACTCTGCTTGGGAGAAAGAACCCGCCCAGGCCTACGCCAGGCCGACATCTCCCCAGCATGGCTGCAGGCCCACAAAGGCCCCGCGCCCGTCGCCGCGAGCACCTCCCCAGCCATGGCCCTCGACTCGCCCGAGTACGCCGCCCGCGTCCGCACGCCCTTCGCCCCGCCCCCGCCCGCCCTCTCCATCAAGGCCGTCCGCGCCGCAGTGCCGAGGCACCTCTTCCAGCGGTCGACGCGCAAGTGTCTGTTCTTCGTCGGCCGCCACGTCCTCCTCACCGCCCTCTTCGGCCTCTTCGCCGCGCGCATCGACGATCTCGTCCCGGTGCTGCTCGGTCTCACTGGCGCGGAGGGCGGAGGACGCGCTGAGCACGCGCTGCTGTGGGTGATGTGGGCGACGTACTGGCTCTGGCAGAGCGTCGCGTTCATGGGCCTCTGGACTCTCGGTGAGTGCTTCTCCGCGTGCCGTCTGCGGAAGGGCAAGGCACGGCACATCGGGTGGCAGACCTCGTATGCTAGTACCCGTTTTCCTGTCATCACGGTCTCAGAGCAGCCCCGGGCCTATGCTCCGTCTCGCCGTGTCTCGATGTCTTCGTTCGCGTGTCGCTGCCCTGTCCTTGTACCTCCGACCGACCTTCGCTGACCTCCATTCATCTCTCCCTCACTCAACCGGTCGTCTTCAGGCCACGAGGTGCGCCTGTCCTTCCTCTGACTCAGAACAACGCTCAATGTACGCTTGCTCTGCTGCGCTCCCGCCCTCGACACCCACTCTGTACATCGGTCGGACGTCGATCGGACATCGCGCACGCGCACGCGCAGTGCGGGCACGACGCGCTCTCGCCAATCCCCCGTGTCAACGCCGCCCTTGGCATGGCTCTCCACACGGCGGTGCTCACGCCGTACTGGGCGTGGCGGGCCACGCACCGGTCACATCATGTGAGTCTGTCTTGGAGTTGAGACGCGCGAGGGTGAGGGCCCGCGCGTCCTGTGGGACGGTCGTGCGCTCTGCGGGCCGAGCGCGCGTGTTTCGCGGTGAGCGCACGTCCTGCGAGTGACCGCGCGGGCGGGTCGTCCTGCGCGCGTGGCGGCAGGGATCTGACTAGGGTTCGCACGACGCTAACGGAGGGTATACGTGTATAGAAAGGAACGAACAATTTGCATCGCGACGAGACGTACCACCCGCAGACGCGCGAGGAGGTTGGGCTGCCTGAGGAAGGTGCGTTGGTGTCCGTTTGTATGCACGTTCGCGTCCCCCATCCACATTCGCGTTTGCGCCTCCACTCCCGCACTCGTTCGTGGACATGCGCCCGTCGGCCTCCCGATTACCGTTGTCGTCTCCCATTCGCGCTTGCATTCGAACTCGTAACGCGTTCACATTCGCGTTGACGTCCACGCGTGCCTCGGCTTCCGTTCATGGACTCGCTCCCCGGTCACGACCTTGCCCTCGTCCTGCTCCCCGTTCCCTTACGCTCCCCTTCGCGCCCTGTCACTGTATGCGTCCCCGGTGCCGTACCTGCTCCTATTGGTCACTTCATTCTTTCTCCCGCCTGACGTTCACGCTTCCAATCCTGTCCTCCCACGCCCTAGTTCGCCTTCACGTCTCTCTCGCGCGATTATTCCAGCTCTCGTTCCCCGCCCCTTTGACCATCCTGATTCGCGTTTACGTTCTCGTCCCTGTCCGTGCATCCGTCCACATCTCATACCGTTTCGCGCTCCCGTCCCCGCCCCTCCGCATCCGCGTCGATCCCGTCCACGTCTTCGCACTCGTTCGCGTAACACTGCACTCGTGATTGCTGACTGAACGCTTGCTCCCAGAAAAAGCGACCGCGCTGGACTACCGCGAGATGATCGAGGAGACGCCGCTCTATACACTGCGGAAGATGGTGCTCCGGCAGTTCCTGTGCGTCCGTCTTCCTTCCCATGCATGTGTGCGCGGGATTTACCATGGCTGCGCGGTGCAGCGGGTTCCAGCTGTACTTGATGTGCGTGCAATGAGGCGTGCGCGGTGCGGTGGCTGATCCGCGTGGTAGACATAATCGGAAGGGGAACCCGAAGTACCCGCCTGGGACGAGTGTAGGTCGAGTTTCGACGGTGGGGGTGGAGGTGCTGATGAGGTTGCGTAGCATTATAGGCCGGGCTCGGAGCTGTTTCGCGACGAGGAGCGTGAGTTGATTCTCTCTGAGGGTGCCGGCGGGCGGCGGTTTCTAGGGCAATTCGAGTCGCCCGTCTGTGTCCGACCGTTCGGTGGGCTGACTGACGATCTGCGGACAGGACACCTGATTGTCGTCTCGGACCTCCTCATCGCGGTGATGTTCGCGCTCCTCGGGCTCTGGGCGTGGCGCGCGGGGTGGGGGACAGTGTGGAGGATGTATCTTGTCCCGTGGCTCGTACGTCTGCTCGTGCACCTTGCATTGCGACTTGCTGAGCTACTTTCCTGGCGGTGTCGCAGTGGGCGCATAATTGGTGAGTACGTGTAATGTGCGGTGAGCGAGGGTGCTGATGCGGTGCGGGAAGGATTGTGACGGTGACGTATTTGCAGCACTCGGACCCGACGGTGCCGTACTACAGGGTGTGCCGCTCGTTAGTCCGCGAGTGCACGGATGGATGCTGAGGCGCATGTGGCGCGTGCAGGGCCAGTGGACGTTCCTCCGGGGCGCGCTCGCGACGGTCGACCGGCCGGTGTTCGGCTGGGTGGGGCGGTTCTTCTGGCACGGCGTGAGTGCCCTCCAGCTCGCTCCGCGTCGATCGTCCTCTGACGGTGTGGTCTCCCGGTAGATCGCGCACGACCACGTCGCGCACCACTTCTTCGTCGGCGTGCCGTTCTGTGAGTATGCTGTGGCCCTGTTGTCGCACGGGCGCGGCTGAGATGGTCTCTGGTAGATAACCTCCCGGAGGTGACGGAGGCGATCAAGCCTGTGCTCGGGGAGTACTACTACTACGACTCGACGGTCCGTCCCCTCTATCTCTTCACTCGCCCGAGTTGTCTGACGCCGACGGCCGCTAGCCGACGCTGCACGCGCTCTGGAGGAGCTTCACGCAGTGCAAGTTCATCGAGAGCACGGGCGACATCGTGTTCTTCAAAAACATGCGGGGCGAGGCCGTGCGCAAACGTTCGGCAGTGGTCGGTGGTGAGAAGGCGGGGGAGTTGGCGGGGCGATACAGGCGAGCCGGTGATGTGCGCGGTATGCGAGCCTATGGCGTGCGTGTGTTTGACCGGCGAGAAGTCGTGAGTAAGGGCTGGTTTTAGTGGCACAAGGGCGACACACAGCGCTGCCCTCCTGGTGCGCTCTGTGCGCGGGCGCGTCTCACTGCCGCGCTGCGTCGACGGCTGTACAGTACATGGCTGCTATTACTACCGCCTGCCTTTTGCACGCTCTGTACCAGAGGGCGCCGTTCACTCACGTCGTCGGTCTCCAAAGGTGCCTTGCCCTGTGGCCAAGAGATAGAAGAGTGTCAGTGCAGATCATTGCTCGCCTCTCCGCTCTCGTCTCGTACATCGCTGTCGAACAAGATCGCCACGAAACGCAACGGAAGAGTAAGGCTGCCGGTGAGGAACCATCCCGTCCCGTACTCAGTGTACATTACTCACCATTGCGTGCCGTCGGGCGGCCACCATATAGCTCGCTCAGGCCCCTTCATTCACCTGCCGGCGAACCATCGCGTTTCTGTGGATCTCCAGCTGTGACCTCTGACCGACCTAGAAACGCAACAGAAGAGTAAGGCTGCCGGTGAGTCAGCAATCCCCGCTGAAATGAATTTACATGACTTACCACTGTTGCAGTCCAGCTCATCCTGCCCGAAAGCTGCCGTCTACCCACTCCACTCGCCAGTCAGGGATCCCCGTCTTCTTTAAGATGGCTGCAAACGCAACAGAAGAGTGAGGCTGCCAGTGAGCAACCATTTCATACCGGACCAAGTATGCTGTACTTACCAGTGCGTCCACGCCCCACCCCCACCTGTAACTCTCTCTTCTCCCGTGCATCATTGTCGAACTAGACAGCTTTAGAACACAACAAAAGGTGGACACGACGGCTGTGGAACGCAACAGAAGAGTAGGGCTATCAGTGCGTGAACATTCCATGCTATATGAAGTGCGCTCCCACCATCCACTATGCTCTCCGGCGAGCAAATCATTGCATCTTCGACCATTGCATTGCTGTGCGACAGAAATTGCATGAGACGGCAGCAAAACGCAACAGAAGAGTAAGGCTGTCGGCGAGTCAGCAACTCTCACCTACATCGAGTGTATACCACTTACCATTGCCTGTTCCGGCCGCCATCCTTCCCCCTCAGATCCGTATCGCCTGGCAATCCGTTGCACCTTCGCCGGTCATATCCCGCTGTGCCATCGTCAAAGGAGGCTTGGCCCTTGAACGACACCTTCACTGACCAGCTGGCGACCACTTTGCCCTTACTCGCTGTCTCGCCACGTCACTTGAGGTACACCAAATTCCCGCCTGTCTCTGCTACCGGTGGAGCCTAGGCACGTGCCTCGCACCCCCGGTCAAGGACTGTGAACCGCAGTCAGCACTGGAAGCCCGGTATAAAATGAAGCTCCCTCACCGTCACTGTACTGAGCAGTGCCCTGTCGTGGGTGCAATGTACCCATTTGGGCTTTGCGTGCTGTCCGGTGTGTGCTGTTACTAGCCGGCACTGGGGCCAGATCACTGGATGGTGACATGTCGTGTCCTCGGTGACCAGAAGGAGCACCTGTTGGGTTTGTTGAGCTGTGACCACCGTCCTGAGGAATTTCCGTGGCAAGTTCATCCGGCGCAATGCAGTCTGCGGTCTGGCGCGGGTCTGGCGTTGGCATTACATACTCATCAAGGTTCTCTGACTTTCAGCGGCTGATGGCGGGTAACCAAGCTACCAGCATAGTGATTGTAAGCTCATTACTGCGCTCAGCTCTTCCGCGACTTGGGCTAGGAACTCAGGCCACTTATCATTGTTGTGAGAAATCACTATAACTTGGCCCTTCAACAAGTCAAGCTGTGTAGGCATTGAGCACGTCAGCTGTATGATAATGCCAAAAGTGGAATCCATCAATTACTACAGCAACCGCTTGACAAATTCAATGACCACGTCTGTCAGATTACGATTAATCACGGATATGGCATATTTCCAGTGATGAACCTGAGACAGAGGACGTCATCTGTCTGAGGCCGTCCACCTATTCCGAGGGATCTGGAATGGGTCGGCTGCCTCAGACGGATAGTAGTAGACAGCACTCAGCTAGTGCCACATACTACAGTCAGAATGACAGATATCTTCTCAGCTAACACAGGCTGCCAAGGCGTCAGGAGTGAGTCAAGTACTTTAGTAAGCACATTCACATCATTACTGCTGAGCCCTGTACACCACGGATTGGGCGGGTTATGGACAATGACCGTCATGGAGGAACAAAAGACCTACCTGTTTCAGAGACATTTCACGGCAATAAAAATGTATATGCTGGGCTGCAGTGAACAGAAGATCACTCGCCGCGCCAGTGAGCGCGCTGAGATCGTGCGAGCCGATTTGGGAACACGAGGCTCCCAACCGCTTCAGCGGGCGCCTAATTGGGTCCCTCCGTGCGATCATATTCATGGCTTGTTTTATGCTTGTTGTGTTGACCGGCCTTAACCCTCATGTCAAAACAGTACCACACTACATTTATGATGAATTTGAATTGGCTTGTTAGTGCCCAGGATCTCCCTGGCAAGGCTTTGGAGACACCTGGCTCATTGCTACAATGGACGGCGAGCATCGTAACGGCTTCCTGCGCACAAGGTTCGCCTTGCTGTGTCGTCCTCTCAGTTTGGCCAAGCAGCGTCTATTTCAGCGCCCTGCTTTGATGCATCATTCCGCATATACGCGTTGCCTCCCGACAATTGGAAAGGTGCCCGGAGAGAAGACACGGTACGGCTGCGTAAAACTGGGACTACACAAGCGAAGCCGGTCCATGACTCAGTGCGGGATGATGTGTCCAGTTGAGGATGATGCCGAGACATGGTACAATCCATGCGGGGTGCCGGAGGTGCGCACGGACCATCGGCTCCAGCTATATATCCTGGTCTCATTGCCCTACATCATTTCATCCTCGCTTTCTCTCCGAGTTCTCCGGGCAGTCAGCCATTCACTAGTATGTGATATTTGGCTTGTTCCCTGCCGGTACATACTCTCGCTTACACACATACTACAAGTCTCTGACCTCATAATTGCAGGGCAGTAAGCAAACATTATTCTGTACGAGGCTCGAAACTTATGCTTTCGCCAGACTCCCTATGTCACTTGCAACAAGTGTGCTCAGTCGTCCATTTTGGTCATCGCTGTACTGGGATTGCCTGTCCAAGCGACCTCAGGTGAGTTTTCTTCCAAAGGAGCCTCATCCACATCCTGAATACACAGCAGTCTTGATTATTGTGCGTCTCCGGTCAATCTTGTAAGTTCATGCTTAGTTTTGACTCGCTGATAATGACACACTGAAGACGAATAAGCTATGTACAGGCTAGCGCTGCGTAGAGTAGCTATCTCCGCACAAAGTACATGTAATTACGGGGGAGTAGGTCGAGGTATGTCCGGGACGATGAGTGTGGCGACACGGGCTCGGAAAGAAGCATGCCGCCCAGCGCCCGCTCCCGGAGACACCATTTCGCTTGTGACGGTCTGGCTGTGCCGCGTTGACAACCGAATCGCTGCGACCGCCGTGCCGGCATTGTCAGTGGTGACGGCTTGTAGTGTGTAACGGCAGTTTTCACGCTGCGAACACACCTGGCGTCGGACACCAGTGATCTGTGTCCCACCGTTACGGCGTATGCGGCTTAGTATTCGGTTGACACGCTCAGGACCGCATGCCGGCGGGGCACAACAACCACGTCCGTCTCAGGTCAAGACGACTCTAGAGCCGGGCGCAATTCCCCGCCTACCATACCTTGTTGCGAGCGCGGCCTATGCGTCAAACGTGGGCCAGGTCTTCACGACGCATTCGAGACTGCACGGAGACGGCGTTCCTCAGGGCGTCGTGCTTGACTGACGCTCTCGCCTACACAAAGATCAGCGAAGCCGGCAACTAGCGTTCATTGAGACGACTTGCATTCACTGGCCTGTGTGCTATGCTTATCACTGTCATTCCCCGCTGACCATGTTCACTCGTGCTCGGCTCAACCTACATGCTAACACCCCACACCGTGACCTTCGTGGACCCGGTGAGCATCGGGTTGTCAGTTCTGGCATGGCAGGCTGCGTATCGGTACGCACTCACGCTCTCGGCCCTGCGATACATCTACTGACGTTTCGCCCCATGCAGCATCGTTGTCCTTCCCGGTCAATGTTCTATCCTCACCTACGGAATGTTGTTTGCGCGTTTCAACGTGCACCAGATAAAGGTGAGCAGTAGTACTCACCAAAGCTTTTCCTGTCATATATCGAGTGAATGGTGCCCTCTCCGCTTGCATTCATAGCTATCCGCATGTGCCGCGTAGATGTCGCAGTACGTGCCTCGTCTCAACACGACGGTCAGTATCCGTCATCAATTCTGCTTGCGGATAACTGACGCGCATCAAGCCAGCGGGTCGTCTCGTTTGGTGCCGTGTGTCAATGTCCCGCCTGCCTCAGCTGGTATGCATGCCCCTGGTCGCTACAACGTCTATCTGACCGAGAACACGCTGGGCGCATCACCGCTGTGATTGCAATGTCACCCTATCGGAGGCAAATGGCTCGTCGCCGCGCAGGTACACACCGCACCGTCTATCCACATCGTCTCTTCCCGCTCTGACTGTCTAGCGTCGATCTCTGCGCGTGCATCCCGGACGTCGCGGGCGCGTAGCTGCCGCTTGTGCGTTTCGTGTCCACTCGCGCCTCGCCCGCTCTGCTAACCCTGCGCTCGCTGTTCTTCCAGCTGGGATCGCCGACGTCCACGCGCACGGCGCTGCTCCTCCTCGTGCAAGTACGTCCCGACTCTGCCCGTGCCTCCCACTTTCTGCGCTGACCTCCGTCTCCGGTCCAGGCCACAACAACGACTCGGACACCATGGGCAGACGGTGGCGCCCTCGCTGGTCCGCTGCGCCGGTACGCCCTGCGCCGTCTCTCTCGCCCATTCACCATGCCGCTCACCCGCTTCCACTGCCACACCTCACCTCAACGAACAAGCCCGTGTCCTGCGTGCCTCCCTTCGTACGTGCTGGTCTTGACCATGTTCACCCGCTGACTCGGCCCTCCGTCTGTATGGCGCAGCGTCGCAAGCAATACGCGCGTGCATGCGTACTCGCCGCGCGGTCGAGTGGCTGTCGGTGGTCTTGTTAGAAGGCGGATCGACGGCGCTACTCACAACGCGCGAAGACTGCGCCGATGAGGACGCAGCAGTCGCAGTCCGCGCATGCGATGTCGTGGAACGGGCGTGGTTGATGCTGACTGTGTAGACAGATGCGCGACGGGCGACGGCAAGAGTCAAACCGCCGCCTCGCACGGAGACGCGCGACCTCGCCCTGAGCACGTGCCCGTGTATGCGCGTTCAGTACGTCCACGTTGACTGATACTTACTGCGTGCTGAGCGTGACATTGCAAAGCTCGGGAATGGATCGAGTGTGCGTAGTATACAGTCGATGTAGGCTAGCTACTGTACTGTACTGGGCCTGACGATAGCACGCCGCACGGGACACGCCCGGGGCATGCATGGGACGGTCGCAGTCGGACGACCCACAGCTAGTCGCGTTCACGCGCACTCGCTCGCCCGACGGTTGCACCGCCATCTGCCGCTGTCCAGCGCAGATCGCGAGGGGCGGCGTGCGATATTTGCAGGGCCGCCGTGCTCCTCCTCACCGCCCGGCGATTGGCTGTGACGACGCATCGCTACAAGCTCGCACGATCGCAGTGAACGACCCCGCGGATGCCAACCGGCACCTCCTCGACTACGGAGCCGCGGCATGCGCGACGGCGTCGCACGGCACTCGAAGGGACGAGTGAGGTGCTGGCGTCGACTGGACTTGGGCACGGCGGAGGTGGCTTGTTGGGTACACAGGCGCAGCGACGCCGGTCGGCTGTCCATGGGGGACGGGAACGACACGGTGGCCAGCGACGTCCCGGAAGCGAACGCGAGCGAGCGGCGGGCGGGCCTCGCCGCCCACGCGCGAGTGCGAGTGGTTGGTACGGCGACCACGTGTCGTGAGCAGGAGCACTACTCACGACGACCTTGGAGGGATGGCTGGTGCCTGAACCTTGTCAGTGGGGCGAGTGCGAGTCAAGGACCACGACAAACGTACCAAGGCACGACTGGATCGTCCCTGCTGACTCGTGCTTGCCAGAGACAGCAGGCGGCGAGCGGACATAGCACAGACATTGAGGCGACAGAGGCCGGAGACGAGCGCGAGAAAAGCGCACGGACGATTGCGTGGTCACTGGATGCACATAAGAGGATGGGCGGACAAGCGGGTGCGGTGGCCGGCAGAGCGAGGGGAGCGTGAAGAGGAGACGATGGCGGATTGCCGCTTCGTCCGGAGCGCCGGGGTGATCGAGATCAGACACGCGTCGGTGGCGGGGCGTCGCGCGGAGGACACCCACGAGCATTCCTCCGTGACAGAGCCAGTGACTGGAAGTGACACGGACTCTGCTTGGGAGAAAGAACCCGCCCAGGCCTACGCCAGGCCGACATCTCCCCAGCATGGCTGCAGGCCCACAAAGGCCCCGCGCCCGTCGCCGCGAGCACCTCCCCAGCCATGGCCCTCGACTCGCCCGAGTACGCCGCCCGCGTCCGCACGCCCTTCGCCCCGCCCCCGCCCGCCCTCTCCATCAAGGCCGTCCGCGCCGCAGTGCCGAGGCACCTCTTCCAGCGGTCGACGCGCAAGTGTCTGTTCTTCGTCGGCCGCCACGTCCTCCTCACCGCCCTCTTCGCCCTCTTCGCCGCGCGCATCGACGATCTCGTCCCGGTCCTGCTCGGTCTCACATGCGCGGAGGGCGGAGGACGCGCCGAGCACGCGCTGCTGTGGGTGATGTGGGCGACGTACTGGCTCTGGCAGAGCGTCGCGTTCATGGGCCTCTGGACTCTCGGTGAGTGCTTCGCGTCCCATCTGCTTTGAGCGCGAGCGTGCCAGGGATATGATAGCCTGGCGAGTGACGTACTCGTTGAAGTGGGCACTTAGGTGGGGTCGGTCACCGCTGCGTCGCGTATCGTGGACAGTCTCATGCGGGCCCGTGCTTCTCTGAAGCCTCCTATGCGGTCGCAATGAGAACGGAAGGTGCATCAAGTAATATACTTGGGAGCAATGTCGTGTCCGCGTCCGTGCCCCTGGTCTGTCACAGTCGTGCATATTGACGACCGCGGTGTCCTGCTCTCCGTTTCGCTACTTGTGATCGCGCACTCTCCATCCCGCCCAGTTGCCTTGACACCATTCCTCTGATTTCTTGTCTCTATGCTCGCCTTACTAGGTACGATCTCACTTCTCCGCTTGTCTATCCAACCCGATTTCAATGTCACACGTTCGTCTAACTGACCTGTCCTTCGCAGGTCACGAGGTGCGCCTCTGTCTCGTCTTCGTCTCAGATGAGTATTGAATGCTCACTCTGTACCTGCTCTATTCTCGATATGCCCGCTACGTCATAACTTGACACTCTATCGCCGCCGTCGCTCGTGCTTGTTCACGGACCCCCTGCGATCGCCTGCAACGCTACCCCGGGCAACTTGTTCGCGCACTGTTGGACCGGTACGTTCCGCCCGCCCGCTGGCTCGTTGCGCACACCTCGACGGACGGGTGCCCCGACGAACCACTAACTCGCACGCTGCATCCTGACGGGCCACCCGCCGTTGCCTGCATCGTCATCGTGACGCCGACCACGCACTCGCGCTTCCCCCGCGATCCCGAATGCACCCTCTCGCCCCTGGTCCGGTCTGCATGGCCTTCTCACGCACGCACGCGACGCCCCCTCGTCGTCGCCCGCCCCCTCGCGTCCGCGGACGACCGCACACCGCGCACCGCGACCGGACGCACAGTGCGGACACGACGCGCTTTCGCCGAGCCGGAATGTCAACGCTGCTCTAGGGATGGCCCTCCACACGGCGGTGCTCACGCCGTACTGGGCGTGGAGGGCGACGCACCGGTCACATCATGTGAGTCTGTCTGTCTGTGAGTTGAGGCGCGCGAGGATGAGGGCCCGCACGTCGTGCGGGTCGATCATGCGCTACGAGGTGACCGCGCGGCCTTCGGCGTGGTCCAGGACGACGTGAAGGCAGAGGAGTCCGAGTGGGCCGGACGCTGATGGATGTGCGCAATAGAAAGGGACGAACAACTTGCATCGCGACGAGACGTACCACCCGCAGACGCGCGAGGAGGTTGGGCTTCCTGAGGAAGGTACGTTTGTATGCCCGCTCGCGTTCCGTTCCTGCTGTCATGCACGTGCACGTCCTCGTTCGCGTTCGCGCACTCCGGGTCACGTTGTTGTCCTCGTCCTGCTCCCCGTACCCCTACGCCCCCCCTTCGCGTCCTGAGACACGCGGACATTGCGGCTAAATGGACCCATCTCCTCCTCCTCCTCTTCCCGTTCGCGAATCTGCCCCCGTACGGCCGCGTCGTTGCCCCCGTCCCCGCCCGCGTTCAAATACGCGTACCTATACCCATCCCTGCTCCTGTTTGTCACCCCATCCTTTCTCCCGCCCACGTCGGCGTCTTCGCCGCCGTCACTGTGACTGGCCTCCCTGACGTTCACATACCCGCTCCCCTGTTTGTTCCCGCTCTCGTTCCGCTCTTTTCGCAGGCGACCGCCGGTCGCGACCCTGTTTCTATGCTCGTCCACATCTGTTCGCGTTCGTATTCCCGCTTCTGCCCGTCCACGCCCCTGTATAGTTTCGCTCTCCTGTCCGCGGCTGCGGTTGCGGTTGCGTCCCTCCCGTTCACGCCCTCGCTCCCACCCGCGTCACGGTGGCACTATGTTCCTGATTGCTGACTCGGCGAACACTCCCAGAAAAAGCAACCGCGTTGGACTACCGCGAGATGATCGAGGAGACGCCGCTGTATACGCTGCGGAAGATGGTGCTGCGGCAGTTCCTGTGCGTCCGTCTTCCTTCCCATGCATGTGTGCGCGGGATTGACCATGGCGGCGCGGTGCAGCGGGTTCCAGCTGTACTTGATGTGCGTGCATTGAGGCGTGCGCGGTGCGGTGGCTGATCCGCGTGGTAGACATAATCGGAAGGGGAACCCGAAGTACCCGCCTGGGACGAGTGTAGGTCGAGTTTCGACGGTGGGGGTGGAGGTGCTGATGAGGTTGCGTAGCATTATAGGCCGGGCTCGGAGCTGTTTCGCGACGAGGAGCGTGAGTTGATTCTCTCTGAGGGTGCCGGCGGGCGGCGGTTTCTAGGGCAATTCGAGTCGCCCGTCTGTGTCCGAGGCTGACTGACGATCTGCGGACAGGACACCTGATTGTCGTCTCGGACCTCCTCATCGCGGGGATGCTCGCGCTCCTCGCGCTCTGGGCGTGGCGCGCGGGGTGGGGGACGGTGTGGAGGATGTATTTTGTCCCGTGGCTCGTACGTCTGCTCGTGCACCTTACATTGCGACTTGCTGAGCTACTTTCCTGGCGGTGTCGCAGTGGGCGCATAATTGGTGAGTACGTGTAATGTGCGGTGAGCGAGGGTGCTGATGCGGTGCGGGAAGGATTGTGACGGTGACGTATCTGCAGCACTCGGACCCGACGGTGCCGTACTACAGGGTGAGTCGCTCGTTAGTCCGCGAGTGCATGGATGGATGCTGAGGCGCATGTGGCGCGTGCAGGGCCAGTGGACGTTCCTCCGGGGCGCGCTCGCGACGGTCGACCGGCCGGTGTTCGGCTGGGTGGGGCGGTTCTTCTGGCACGGCGTGAGTGCCCTCCAGCTCGCTCCGCGTCGAGCGTCTTCTGACGGTGTGGTCTCCCGGTAGATCGCGCACGACCACGTCGCGCACCACTTCTTCGTCGGCGTGCCGTTCTGTGAGTATGCTGTGGCCCTGTTGTCGCACGGGCGCGGCTGAGATGGTCTCTGGTAGATAACCTCCCGGAGGTGACGGAGGCGATCAAGCCCGTGCTCGGGGAGTACTACTACTGCGACTCGACGGTCCGTTGCCCAGCTCTCCGCTTATCGCCTCACGCTGACTGCCGATGCCGACGCTGCCAGCCGACACTGTACGCGCTCTGGCGGAGCTTCACGCAGTGCAAGTTCATCGAGAGCACGGGCGACATCGTGTTCTTCAAAAACATGCGGGGCGAGGTCGTGCGCGAGCTTGAGTGTTCGGCCGGTTCGCTGGCCCAGCAGGAAAATGCAGCGGATCTCGCTGTGAACGGTGCGGCGGCTGGTGGTGAGAAGGTGGGAGACATACATGAGGAGTTGGAGGACGTGCGGGATGAGGAGGGGGCGTGATGGTTGGTTGAGGAGATGTGTGCCGGTGGGTGTGCTCAGTGAGTGGAGAATATTCGCTGGCTTCGAAGCTTGCTGTCTGGGATGGTGCTGACATGGTTTTGAAGGTTATCTTTGGTACATAGGGTGTGTTTGACACCGCAAAATAAGCACTGTTCTTCGAAGACTCTGTGATTGTGCGAGATTGTCCGTCCTTTCCGCATGTTGAATGCGATCGGCACAAGCATGCGGCTTTTGGTGGCTCAGCAGGCCGTCAAGTGATATCGCAGCATACTTAGTAATACATCGACACTGTCGCATACAAGAAATCCTGATGCAGCTACATGCAACATAGAAAAAGCCACAGTCATTGACAATCAGATCTACAGACGCATGTCAGCACAAGATTGTACCTCTCTCACGAACGTATCGCGATGGCTGGACAAAGATAATGATTCTATACGTACACAGGAGAAGTGTCATTTCTGGGCCGGCTCCGCTCTACTCGCCAGTTTTGTTTCAAAGGCCTTGAACGCTTCCGGTACGGACTGCACGCGCGCCTTCATCATGTCCTGCAAGTGTCCCCAGCACTCCTGCGCCAACGCAGTAAGCTCGACATCAGCTTTGCACGTATTGATGAAAGGCATGCGTAAGTTCTTCGTCAGTGCTTGGTCTTTTGGGAGACTCGTCCTGTCTCTGAGCGTGCGAAGCTTCGCGCAGACATCCTTGTGCGGGAACGTCCCGTGCTTCCAGGCGAGCTTTTGGCACTCGCGCGAGCAATAGCGCGGGATGCCACAGCCCGCACACCGAGCGAATGTTCGCTGCGCGGTGACAAAGGTCTCGGGACACTCGGGCGCGCAGCAGCGGCGTATCATGGACATCCAGACAAGGCCTTCCCAGACGGCCGTCAATGGGTCCTCGAATTTTTCGGTCACGTCTTTATGCACGACGAGGATCGCATCGTGGTAGGCTGTAGTGTCCTCCGGTAATCTGTGAGGGTAGAACGCCGCGCCATAACGGGCAAACGTCATAACGAGCTCGTTGAAATAGTAGTCGGTAAAATAGGTGGTTCCCTCCTGGAAGAGCGGCAGGTGATTGAGGATGTTGTGGCACGCCCAGAGGATGCCGATGCTCATCTTCGTGCCTTTGTACGGCGCGGACACGCGGACAAACAACGCAATGTCGGTGGGATTCCATTGTCCGAGGGCCATGAGTGTCCTGCAGAAGTCCATGATGATTACTAGAGTGCATGCCCAACTGAGTTCCACATCGAAGTCGATCAGCGCTCCCCGCGTTGCCACGCGCTCGCGGCAGAGAGCATTCGCAAGGCCAGAAATCCTGAGAGGAAACTCGGGAAGAGCCTGGAGGAGAGGAGGAATGATCAATCGGCCGCAGATGCCAAGAAGTTGGGTGACGAGCAGAAGACCGTCGTGAAATTTGTCAAGGGGGCACCGGCGGAAGGCTTCGGCGTAGCCTTTGATCGACTGCTCGAGGCCATGCGGGATGAGCTGGGACGTGTCCACAGGCCACAAAGCGTTTCCCGTGTGCTTCTTCCGGTGCCGCTTGCCAGTGAGGCCGCTCAATGCGGTGGTGCCTCCAAGAGTCTTCGTTCTGACTGCATTCTCAATGATGCCGGCTAGGTGACGAATGAGAGATTGGACGAAGTCGTCAAGGGCGAACTGATGCGCAACTTCGAATGTATGTAGCCGGCGTAGCAGCCCCTGTGAGGGGTCCTTGTTGCGAGAGCAAGTGCATGTCCTCAGAGAGGCTTCGAGTTCCTCTTCTTCCTGAGCTGAGTGTGGATAGCTCAGGAAGGCAACACATGCACTCAAGTACCCGGGGTACGTCTTGCGAATGTACTCATAGTCGTCGTTGTCGGGCATGCTATAGGGCCTGAGCGACACAAATTTCGTGTCTTCATCGTCCCCGTCCAAGAGGTGGAGGCAGCCGCAAAGCAACCTAGCGCAGCCTTTTGGTCGCATGGGATCCTTCATACAGGACGTGAATAGGACGGCAACCTCGTCTATCTTCACCATTTCTTCAACTGCAGCGGACAAGAGCTAGAGTGTATCATTGATTAGTCACGATTGTTCAGGTACATGTACTGTGACATACCTTCGAGCGAGGGAGGTGAGGAATCTAGGATAACCAACCTGATCAGAGTGTTCGAAAGCGAGGCGAGCCTATGGTGGCGTGGGAAGCAAACGCAATGGTGTGGGCCGCGGCCCGCGTGGCCGTGGCGTGTCCAACCCAAGTTGGACGAGGTTAGACGATGATGGAGTCTTGGCTAGTAGGCCGTCCGAGTCAGAACGGTGGAAACTGAAGAGACAACGCAACCAAATTACACGCGCTACTCGTACGCGTCACCCGGCCACCGAACGTGCATCTGCAACATAATGACGATATATCATAAGCAAAAATTGCTCGGTGTCAACTGGACGCACTGAATCTAGTAGTATCATAGTTAGTCTCCGTTGCTGACCAAAAAGAGTTACTCTCGTTTGTACTACCTGCGAAGTCACGGGCGACTAGTGAGCATGCAGAACATCGCTCGCCTTGTGGCGGTACTAGAGTTGAAGGATCCGGCCTTACTAAGAAGTCCACCGTGTAGCATGAAAGGTACACGAGTAGTACTTAAATACCGTTACACACAGGCAAGTGAGATGAAATACGACTTGAACCATCCGGGAAGTGAAGCGCAGCTACAAGAAATGTAGGGTGAACGATGTGCATAGGGTATGAATCGGGTCCAATACCTAAGCACACACGTCAGCAGAAGTTCGTACTAGTTGCAGGGGTTATAATGCAGTGAAGGGATGAGAAGCAGAATCACATACGTACTCGTGGAGGGGATTACTTCGTGGCTGGATCAGCTCCTTTTGCGAGTTTCGCTTGAAACGCCTCGAACGCCTCCGGCACGGACTCCTTGCGCGCCTTCATCATATTCCGGAGATGTCTCCCGCACTCCTGAGCTAACGCGGCAAGCTCATCGTCAGCGTTGCATGCATCGATGAAGGGCATGTGCTCATTCTGCGTCAGGACCCGGTCTTTCGGGAGATTCGTCCTTTCTTTGAGCACGCGCAGCTTCGTGCAAACATCCTTGTGTGGGAACACTGCATGCTTCCAGGCGAGTTTCTGGCACTCGCGCGAGCAGTACCGTGGGACGCCGCAGCCTGCACACCGAGCGAATGTTCGCTGCGCGGTGACAAAAGTCTCGGGGCATTCGGGTGCGCAGCAGCGTCGTATCGCGGAGATCCAGACGAAGCCTTCCCAGGCAGCCTTCGATGAGTCCTCGTAATCGTCGGCGAGTTCTTCATGCAGGAGGAGGATTGCGTCATGGTAGACGGTGGTGTCCTCGGGTGAGTTGTACGAGTAAAATATCGCGCCAAAGCGAGCGAACGTCATAGCGAACTCGTTGAAGTAGAACTCAGTAAAGAGGGTGGTACTCTCCCGGATAAGCGGCAGGTGATTGAGGATTGTGTCGCATACGAAGAGGAGACCGATGCTTCTGTTCGTGCCTTTGTACGGCGCGGCTACGCGGACAAACAACGAGATATCGGTAGAGGTTGTTTCACCTAGAGTCAAGAGGGTTCTGCAAAAGTCCACGATAATAACCAGAGTACACATCCAGCTTCGTTCCACGCCAAAATCGACAGTTGTTCCCCGTGTCGCCTCACACTCTTGGCAGAGAGCGTTAGAAAGGCCAGTGATTCTGATGGGAAACTCGGGGAGGAATTGGAGAAGGTGGGCAATGACTGATCGGCCGCAGATGGCGAGAAGTTTGTCGACGAGAAGAAGACCGTCATGGAAGCGGTCAAGAGGACACCAGCGGAAGGCTTCCGCGTAGCCTTTCATCGACTGCTCGATGCCATGGGGAATGAGCTGGGATTTGTCCACGGGCCACGGTGGATTTGCCGCATACTTCTTACGGTATCGTTTGAGACCGCGCAAGGCAGCAACGCCAGGGACGGTCTTTGTCTTGACTGCGTTGTTGAGGATGCCGGCCAGGTGACGAATGAGAGCTTGGATGAAGTCGTCCAGGGCAAACTCGTGAGCGGTCTCGAACGTGTGTAGCCATAGGAGCAGCTCGCCCGGGTTGCGTTCGTCTCTGCGGAAGCAGGTGCATGTCCGCAAAGAGGAATTGAGTTCCTCTTCATCCTGAGTTGAGAGCGGCAAACTGAGGAAGGCAGCGCATGCACTTAAATATTCGGAGTACGTCCTGCGGATGTATTCATAGTCTTCGTAGTTGGGCATGTTATAGCGCTCCAGCAGCGCAAATCGGGTATCTTCACTTTGGCCGTCCAAGACGTGGAGGCAGCCGCAAAGCAATCTGGCGCAGCCTTTTGGTCGCACTGGGTCCTTCATACAAGATGTGAAGAGGACCGCGACATCGTCTAGTCTCGACATCGCTCCAACTATGGTAGCTGGAGGGCGTGGTCTGCCGGTTAAGGGTCATACGGTACACATATGTATGATACGAGATATAGCACTTACCTTCTGAGCGAGGTTAGAGTACCATTCAAATCCGAATCGCTGAGACAGACCCGGATGGAAGACGACCACGGTGGCGTGGGAAGCGAATCGCACTAGTGGTGTGGCGGTGGCGTGCCCGCAGGCTGGCTCGTATACCCTGCTGTGCTCTACTGTGCTAGTTTCACAACTTGGTATTACTTTGACTCCTATACTGTACTATCCGCGGTTCCTCGATTCATTTTCGTCGCTTCAGAAAATGTTAACAACGGACTCTGGGCGCTTGGAAAGCCAACCGCTACTATCCAAGCCTCTTCATGTAGCGACCAGTTCGCCTTGGTTGTACCCGTTCAAGGTACGGTTCCGCCAGCCTACCTTGTACGGACTGACGCATGCGTGGTCCAGGGAATGTATTGTTTCATGACACACTCGTTCCTTTGGCCTGTCCTGCGAGCTCGCTCGCTTCCGTGCTTCATCCTTTCGCTTGCCGTCTACACCTTTCTATTCCTCGTCGCCTACCTCCCACAAGTCGCCTTCTTTGCGATATTCTACGGACGGGCACTTGCTTGGGTGAACGCTGCATTCCTGGTCCTCGGCGAAGGCGCGGCCATAGTCGCTCTTCTGTTTGAGGCCTTCTTCGTGGACGAGAGCTTGGCCGACATATTCGACGCTGTGAGTTACACGATCTCCTCCATCCATTACTGCCATGCTGAGACACTCATTGTTCTACAAGGTGCTCATTCATGAAGGGCTAGAGGATCTAGTGGCGCGTGGTCGCGACATCATCCCGGACGGCGTGGACCCAGTCAAGAAGCTTGGCAAGTCCCGGATATCGCACGTCTACAGCCCGTTCTCCTTCCGTCAGATCTGCGAGTTCATTGTGCTCCTTCCTTTGACCCTCGCGCCCGTTATCGGCACGCCGTTGTTTTTGATCTTCACGGGCTACCGCGCGGGTCCGTTGCAACATTGGCGGTACTTCAAGCTCCTGGGACTCACGAAGGCAGAGCAGAAGCAAGCAATCAAGCGGAGGCAGAGGAAGTATACATGGCGAGTAATTTGTTCGCATTCGATCGCTTTGGGGGCTTACGCAGTGTTTCTCAGGTTCGGCACCGTGCATCTAGCTCTCCAGCTTATACCTGGACTAAGCATGTTGTTCCTGCTCACGACTGCTGCTGGATCGGCGATGTGGGCCGCGAAGATAGAGAAGAAGCGAAGACTTGAGGCTGAGATTGCCCATAGTATCGCCGTCGGTCTAAGTCGGTTAGTCAATTTAGTCTCGGGTGCAGCGTCTGGGCTATCATAAGGATGGACTAACGTCATTTTCGCTTCCAGAGGAAGGATAAATGGCGGGACATGAACTGAATACTCTGCCTCATGGGATCACAGATCCCCGGGTTCGACTCAGTCGGCCCCGCTTCCCGCAGCGCGCTCTCAATTCTCGACTGTAAGTACGGCGTATCACACAGGAGCTTGGACTTGACGCTTTGACCTCGTCAATGGCATGCCTTCCCAGAACCCACCCGCCGCCGCTTGCATCGATAGGATATCCCAGGCCGCCGCCGCTCCTGCAAGCGTGCCCTTCACCAGTTTCACGACTGTGCATGTCTGTTCAGACTATGTTCGTGGGTTACCCCTTCCGCGCCATCAGAATCTCAAGGTCTGCAAGATTGTCAAACATCCAGGACTGTTTCGAAGGATGGCGACGTCGAGGAACACTGAGCCCGATTGGGTGTCACAATACTTCGCGCTACAGCCATGGCACGCACAGTGCACACCATCAATGAGTGTTTTCCATTACCCAGTATCGGTAGACCTAGCGAACCATGAGCTTTCACTCTAATTGTATCATGACTGCCGCATATACTCGTATGCCATGTATTCGACCGACCGGCGACCGACAAATTTGATGCTTGCAGACCTCAAACTGTGAGCGCGCAGGTTATTTATTCATTCTCACGACCTCGGGATATCGTCGAGCCAGCACGGCTTCACGACATGACATTGACAAGTACAGGGCGCACAGCGAAACGTAGCACCGCGCGCGGTACAGAACCTACAGAATAGGAGACCTCAGGTGCGGCGCCTAGTCACACCGCGGGAACGTGACCAGGAGGGTAATGGCGACGCGTTGCCCAACGCGCATGCGTTGCGCACACTCCCTCCGCGACCACTACCATGAGGTCGCTGTATCTTTCTCTCCTGCTCGCTGCAGCTGTGCACGGTATACCAGCAGAGCAAGTTGTCATTGGGGACGTTCTGGTCGATGACTTCTCGCAAGTAACGAACAAGATTCACGACGTCGTCGCAGGTGTGAAGCACGTCGCACACAATGCTGTCAAGCACTCGAAGGAGACGGTCACTCAGTGGCTGGATGCTTTCGGAAGGACGATGATTCTGCAGAATGGGATCACCTGTGAGTCTAGGGTCTTTGTGATTCGACCCCTTGACTTACAGGGGTGTAGACGAGCTCGTCCAGAACCCAGCTTTCGATGAACACCAGCTGCGCGTGACGGAGCCTGACTTATGCGATCCGAAGGTAAAGCAGTACTCAGGGTATCTCGACATTGCGGAGGATAAGCACCTGTTCTTCTGGTGAGTCACTTGGGCACCCTCGGGTCGGCACCCCTAACATGCGGCCAGGTTCTTCGAGGCTCGCAATGACCCCGACAACGCGCCTCTCCTTCTCTGGCTCAACGGCGGCCCTGGCTGCTCCTCATCCACTGGTTTGCTCTTTGAGCTCGGTCCCTGCGCCGTGGCCGAGGACGGGGCGAACGTCACGTACAATGAACACTCGTGGAACGCGAACGCGAACGTCATCTTCTTGGACCAGCCCGTCGACGTCGGCTTCTCGTATGCCGATGAGGGCACGTCTGTAAACACAAGCCCCGTCGCCGGCAAGGACGTGCACGCTTTCCTGGAGCTCTTCCTCGGACGCTTCTCCAAGTACGCTGACGCGCCTTTCCACATCGCTGCGGAGAGCTACGGCGGAACGTACGCTCCGAACATTGCGTCCGTTATCCACACGGAGAACAAGGCTCTCGCTGCCGCGCGTTCCCTCGATGTCGCTGCGCCTGGGCTACTGCACATCAACCTTGCGTCGGTGATACTCGGCAATGGCCTCACAGACCCCTACATTCAGCATGCGAGTGTGCCGGACTGGGCGTGCGAGGGCCCGTACCCTGTGTACGACGATCCCAATGGCCCGGAGTGCCAGGCCCTGCGCTCGAAGGTACCGACGTGCCAGCGGCTTGTGAAGAGCTGCTACGACTTCAACTCGCGTCTCACGTGCGTGCCGGCGATCCTCTACTGCAACAGCCAGATCATGGGCCCTCTTGTTCGTGAGTTGCCGTCCTATTCGTGTATATTTGATAGTGCTGACGACACACAGAACTCGGCTTGAACCCGTACGACGTGCGTAAGAAGTGCGATCGCGAGAAGGACGGTGACCTGTGCTACAAGCAGATGTCCTGGATCGAGACGTGGATGAACCAGCCCGCGGTGAAGCGCACGCTCGGCGTTGACTCGTCGCGTAACTTCGAGAGCTGCAACATGCAGGTCAACCAGGCGTTCGCTATGCAGGGCGACGGTGCGCACAACAGCGCCCTGCTCCTTCCTCCCCTCGTCGAGGACGGTATCCGGCTGCTTGTATACGCCGGCAACGCGGACATGATGTGCAACTTTATCGTGCGTCCACTCTCGTCATGGCGATACGGAGTGTATTGATCATTGCGTGCAGGGTAACGAACGCTGGGTTGAGCAACTCGACACGCGCTTCCAGAAGGAGTTTGTGGCGAAGAAGGCTGCACCTTGGGTGACCACCGAGACAGGCGTGCTCGCGGGCACGGTCCGCAGCGCAGGTGGCAATGACGAGACTGCAGGCAACATCACCTTCGTCACCGTTCACGAGGCTGGGTATGTCGTTCGTTTCTCGTGTGTGACGTGACTCTCATTCTGCACGCAGCCACATGGTTCCGTACGACCAGCCCGAGGCAGGCTTGGTGAGTGGATTCGTGCTACATTGTATACGATGTTCTGATGGGTATTGTAGGACCTCGTGACAAGGTGGCTGTTCGACATCCCGCTGACGCTCAATGCGAGCGAGGCGGCGACTCGCGTTCCGTTCGTAGGACGGGCGTAGGAGCACCACGTCAGGTCGTGTGCATATCCGTATGTCTCAGGCTGTTCACTACATCGCTTTGGATTGTAAAGTATAGAATCATCCTCAATGTTGTCTTCACACTCCTGTCTCGGAGTCAATGACTGGGTGCAACTAGATTCCTGGTCCTCTGTTAACAAACACCGTCACAGATTATGTGGGCTCGAGCGGATGCTAACGAATGGTACGTACGGTGCTTATGGCGTCAACTAACCACTCGTCTCCCAGAAGACATCAGCAAATCTTGAGGCGCACGTCGAGGGCAACAATACCGAGTTAATACTCCGATTATCTTCATACCTGAAGAACATACGCTCAGAATGCAACAAAGCGTTCTCTCAATATAGGAGCCAGATCAAGGTGGAGGATGTCAACGTTGTCGCGAGCCACTCCCGCCAATGCCATTTCGCTTCCAAGTCCATGGTGTTCGCCTTGGGGTGAGGAAAGCGGTCCCAACAGTGATCCACACTTCCTGCGTGACTCTACGTGATGGGGAAGAACTTGAACTTACGAACGAACATCTCGGGTCAGCCGCAGTGCACCATGTTCGATCGTACACGCCGTGACATCCCGGACAGCGCGGCTGACACAATTTGGGTTGAGGCTGGCCGAGCTCTTCCTCGTTGTCAGCCTGACTCGTCAACCGTATAAATAACGCACCCAGAAGCCTCCAATCGACATCCTTCCTCTCTTCCTCTCCCACATCTGTTGCGGCGACGGTGTCTTGTCTTTGTAAGTCTTTCCGTCTCTCCCTGAGCCCACAAGCTGACCTTACTCTTTGCACAAAGTGCGTGGGCAGCGGCTGACGATCGCATCGCCTAGTGAAATACCGTTGTGACGGGGCGTCGCCGACTTCAAGTTCGCTCACCGCGCAAGCTCGACCCCCCGCCAGCCCAAGGCCACCCGGCTGGCCATCGCCTGCCGGCGCTGTCCCACCGCGTTCCATCCGCGAGGGGGCGTCGGTAGACGATTGTCAGTCTGGAGGAACCCTCGCAGGGCCATCGCCTAGCGAAGTACCGTTGTGACGGGGCGTCGGCACTGCGAGAGTTGCGCGCTCTTGTTGGCTCTCGCGTTAGTGTAGACCTTTGTAGTTGCCTGTAGGTAGAGTAGTTCTCTGGGGCGGGCGGTCGTCCCGACGGAGTGGGGACTGAACCGTCCGGGCGCGCATCTCACCGTGATCCCAGAGTCTAGTACCTCCTTCGCCCACCGGCGGGGAGGGAAGCTAAGACGCGCCGAAGGCTGTGCTATGTAGAGGTTCATGGGCCTTGTTGTGATGTTATTCTAGTCAGTGCCAGTGCCCAGGCCACTGGCACTTAGAGGCTGGTCTATGCCGTACGTGTGGCGCGCGCATCTGTGGTGACTCGTGAGGCTAACTATCTGCTCTGAGTTCCTCAGGTTGAGCGGTCCTCGCTACGATCGTTGCCGATTCAGGTCCAGGATGCGACAACAATTTGACTGAAACACCCATCCGTAGTCGCCCGCTGGACGGGTACGAGAACACTACGACAGCCCGAAGTGCTCAAGCAATGGATTGATGACATGCCGCTGACAAGCCTGAAGGCATTGGACGGATGGTGAGAAATATAGCTGCCCTCACAGGCCCGTCTCGCCACCTCTGGAGAAGTGTTGACGTGCGCATCCCCTGTACGTCCACTCCGTTCATCTCCATCCATTCGTCTTCGTCAATCGGTCCGTGCCCCTTGCTTCCCAGCAGATCGAAGTCCAGGATTCTCGAAGCCCAGTAGCATCCAGTCATGAAGGATCGATTCCTCGAGTGCGAGACTGAAAAGCGGGCTTCGCTACATTCTAGACATCATCTGTCACTGCCCTCTTCGAAGGCTTTGTATCGATCACCGTCTCCGATTGCACTTGCAATGCGCATCCTTGCAGTTGTCACGATTTGCTCAGGTTCGACCATACGCTCACGCACTTGTCAATTGCAGCTTGCGTCCTCGCCATAACGACAGCGCGACGACGAGTCTTGAAGCTTGGACGGGCTGCAGATCGATGGGTGGAAGCACCAGTCCTGCCTCATGCTAGAGCTGTGTGCTTCGCCGCATGCACGCAGTCAGACGCGAAGCATGTCACTGACACGGGCGGAGGCAAGACGGGTTCGAATTCCCACACACGTGTATCGAGACGCCTTCGTTTATCTACGCAAGTCTGCGCTCGCTCGCGGTTGCGTCCCTTCCCTCATTCCCCGCCTCGCACGAACGCTCGAACAGACTCTCTGCCCTCATCAGGATGCCCAAGATGCCTATCGAACAGTCGGCGGCGGATGATGTGGTGTCCTCGCGGGTCGGTCTTCTACCTAAAGCTGTCACCGTGACGGTGCAAGATACTGATGGTTCGAGCCGGACAGAAATTGGCCGCGAAAACGCGGCGGCGTGTCCGCAAGGCACCGCGGTCCTTGTTCAAGGTGAGCTTGTCTTCGACAGCCGTTGTGGTTTCAACTGACTACCGCTTACTTCATGATGAAAGAGATCTGAGGCGATGTACAGCTTGATGTCCATTCCATTGATATGGGCTTACTGACTCTGATTGCTATAGCAGTGTTGCCATGCCAGCCCTACCTCAAGAGCTTGTGGACTACATCATTGATTATCTCTGGGATGAGCCTTTGCTGCTTGCTAAGTGTTGCCTAGTCTGCCGTGCCTGGTACTCTGCTGCAAAATACCACCTACCTAGAGAGGTGGTTGTACAGAACACTGCATCTCTGGGGGCATTTGTGCACATGCTGGTGTCTAAGGAAAATAGGAGATACTGCCGGATCGTGCAAACACTGGATGTCTATGAGAGCTCTGAGAGGCCTTTTGTGCATACCCTCCCCTTGCGTGTTAGAGGGTATTTTATGCCCAGGCTGCAAAATCTGAGACTGCATGGGATTACCTGGAAGGCTGTCCAGCCCCATGTGCTGTTTTTCAGGTTCCTGTCATACTTTAGATCTGTCCTGGACCTTTCCCTCACAAAGTGTCATCTGAAGAGGGCTGAGCTACTCCAGAGGATAATCAATGCATTACCTCAGCTCAAAAGGCTCAGCTTGTCAGGTGTTGTCTTGGGAGAGCCACATGTAGCACCCTTGCTGCATACACCTGAATCCTCTATGAGCTCAAGCCTAAAACATATTGAAGTAGTGTGCTCAGTGGAAGACAATGAAAATGAGAGCATCACTGAGCCCTATGGCCCAGAGCATTATCAAGGCATACTGGACACATGCTTGTTATGCCCAAGTCTTGTGAAACTGGAGATAGACTTGGGATGCTTCTCATCATATCACATGTTGAGGAAGTTTTTGCATGCTTGTCATCCTTCATTGGAGCTACATCTCACTGGGAACCCTACTTGGAGCCATGCATCTACTGTAGATACAGCAGAGGTTCTGCCCATGCTCTTGTCTACAGGAAAGACTCAGTTTGCCCAAGTCAGACTATATGAGAGCTTGTGTCCATGCATACCACAGCTGTTGGGTTTGGCAAGCCAAAATCACCAGTTCCATAATTTGTACATTAGTTTCCAAGGGAGCCCAGTGGAAGAGCTTCAGCAACAGCTCTTCAAAGCACTGCAGACATCTGGCCCTCCACATACATATCTAGCTTGGCAGATCTTGGAACATACAGGTCAGTCTCTTCACATGTGAATTATTAACTTGGTCTTATGAAGTTTCTAGATTATCTCTTCCCTGAGATATATGCCAATATTGCCTTCAACACACTCTTTGCTATATATGTGGGGGTCCCACTGAGACAAGATAGCATCCAGCAGGCTCTCATGACATTAATAGCCTATATTCCAAGATCATGGGTGCAGAAGCTGCACATAACCGTCAGCCTACAAAATCCCTCAGTTTCTCATGACAGCCTGATTACAACGGAGGAATACTATGCATCTGTCAATGCTCTCCGTACCATATTTCGACAACATCCTCTCTATGCCGGGTCTAGGCCTGTGCACATTAAATTTGTTTACTCATAGGAAACTAGAAACCCCTCCTAAGGTGGAGTCCAGGCTGCTAGTTATGCCCTTGTCAAATCCTTTGTAGCCCCACTCTTCAGACCATGGGTCAAGGAGGGCATCCTGACACTTGGGCTACCCGATGACTCCAAAAGTGTACCAAGTGCACACTCAGTGTAGAACCTCCATTCCTATTTTGTATGTAGCACAACACTAGTCATTTGAATATACAGAGACATGAATGATAGAAATGGTTGGAGATAACCCATTTGTACGGAAAAGTAGAGATAGGAATGAGGAAGGAGGACCGTGCCGAGGGAAGTCCTCGAGCATGAGCAGGTTGCCTGAACACAGTGTCGACTGTTGGACGCGGCAAATGCAACGGTCTACCAAGATGAAACGAGCGCGGAGTCAGGTAGATCGCGTGCATCGACTCAGAGTGGTCTCTTCATCGCCTTAAGATTTAGGACTAAGCGGTACCCCGCTACGCTCATACAGCGCGCATATAGCTAGCACACGTTGAGTATATGCGCGTGTAAATTGTCGAAGGCTCATACGACGGCATAGATATAGCTGCTCTTGGAGCGGCCGCACGTAGTTTCCTGCTGTTCACTGGGTCATCCACGAATAATTGTGTAGAAGTGATGTATATAATGAAACAGAGTACAGTGACTCACGGTAGTCATGCACGGCATTACACAGCCGTCCTGAGCCCCTCATGTCGCGGAGAGACCTTGGGCCCTACAGCCCAGGAAGTACGCATCTACTCACCGTATGATTACGTCTCGCGCCTCCGCTGCAAGATGTACCCCAGAATACGCGCATCATGACGAAAGAACCGCGGAAATTGCGGTCCCGAGGAGTCGCGTCACAGACGGGGGACGACGGAAGCAAACGACAGGGGTGATACCGCCGCGGAAGCGAGTCGGACGCAGACAGATGGGTTGGCGACTGCCCATTGGGGCACTGCCGTGGCGGCTGTGATGAGGACGATGGAGGAGGAGGAGAGGAGGAGGGCGAGCGAGACGCGCTTGAGGCGCGTCTGCCCGAGCCGGCGCGCACGCGGCCGCGGCGACTTCATACCTGCGCGGAAGTTGCGTCTGGCTTGTCAAGTTGCCGCCACCTCCTCTTACATACTTAAAGTTAATACTGCCCGCTGCCTGTCCCTCGTTCTCTCCACCACACCACCATGGCCTCCGTCAAAGTCACCAAAGTCTGCTGCAGTACGTACACCGCGTTGTGCTCGCAGATGCCCATTCGCTGACCACGCGGGCCAGTCGGTGCCGGATATGTCGGTACGCGGAAGCATTTACGTGTGAGCCCGAACGCTTCTCACCAGTCTCCGCAGGTGGCCCAACGTGCGCCGTCATCGCGCTCAAATGCCCCCACATCCAAGTCACCATCGTCGACCTCAACCAGGCGCGTGTAGACGCGTGGAACAGCCCCGACTTCGACCTCCCGATCTACGAGCCCGGCCTCGTCGACGTCGTCAAACAGGCGCGCGGACGTAACCTCTTCTTTTCGACCGACGTCGACAAGGGCATCCAGGAGGCGGACCTCATCTTCGTCAGTGTCAACACGCCGACGAAGAAGAGTGGGGTCGGAGCTGGGTTTGCGGCAGACCTGAAGTACGTGCATCTCTCTGGCATTCCCAACGTACTACCCCCATACACTCTGCGTTCATTGCGGCACTGCTATGAAGCCCTTAGGGGGTTGGGAAGCGCATATATGCGCCCATGCGCTGCTCTGGTGGGTGCCCCGGGGGAGCTCCCCTTCGCCGCGGGGTACGTATCGCACGGGCGTTGATGTGCTCTCCATCCCCGAAACGACGCGTCTGCAAAACGCGACTCGTGCGATGGTGGTGTTACTTCGCGCTGGCGGGCTACGGCCAACCGCGGAGCCACCGAATGGTTGCGGCATCACCATCGGCACTCTCGCTGTCGCGCGCAGAGGTCTAGCCTGCCGCCCGGCAGTATCGTTAAGCGCATTCCTAGGCCTGGAGCCCCTGGGTATTCTCCCCAGCTGACCGTCTTAGAGATCACAACGTCCCACTGTCGAAGCTAGAGTGACTGCCGTTCCATTCATGATGTCGATCTCTCATCCTATGACATACTCTATGTGGCAGCGCGTGTGTGGCCGGACGGCTCTGGGTCTCCGCGCCATTCTTTGACATACGATTTCGCCGTTTGTAGGGAGGTAAACGCGGTCTAGCCAAATTGCGACGCTGTTTCTGCTCGACGTGCTGTCGAATAGACGGCTGCGCCTGTTTGCGCGAGTACGGTGATCGGATCCGTTCTGTGGTATGACCATACCCAGCCTCAGCTAAATGTTGTCCTTGCGTCGACGAGGCTTCTGCATCTATCACACATGACAGTTGCCCCGCTGGGGTGTCTTTTACGAGCATTGTTGTTACTTCGAAGTGCATACTGACGCGCATATACTCAGCTATGTCGAACTCGCCACACGCCGAATTGCTGCCGTCGCACACTCTTCCAAGATCGTCGTCGAGAAGTCGACCGTGCCCTGCCGGACCGCCGAGTCAATGCGCACCATCCTCGAAGCCAACTCACGCCCTGGTTGCCGCTTCGACATCCTCTCCAACCCCGAGTTCCTCGCGGAGGGCACAGCGATCGCCGACCTTTTCAGCCCGGACCGCGTGCTCATCGGCTCGCTCCAGTCGCCCGAGGGCAAGGCCGCGTGCGAGTCGCTCGCGGAGGTCTACGCGAACTGGGTGCCGAAGGAGCGCATCCTCACCGTCGGCCTGTGGTCCTCGGAGCTCTCGAAACTCGCCGCGAACGCGATGCTCGCGCAGCGCATCTCGTCCATCAACGCGCTCTCCGCGATCTGCGAGGCGACGGGCGCGAACATCGACGAGGTCGCGCATGCGATCGGGTTCGACTCGCGCATCGGCCCAAAGTTCCTCCGCGCGTCCGTCGGGTTCGGCGGGTCGTGCTTCCAGAAGGATATCTTGAACTTGGTGTACTTGAGCGAGAGCTTGCACCTCCCGCAGGTTGCGGCGTACTGGCGCCAGGTCGTCGAGATGAACGAGTATCAGAAGCATCGCTTCTCGAAGACCGTCGTCGACACGCTGTTCAACACGATCACCGGCAAGGTATGGCATGGTCGGTATGTTGTGTTTGCGCCGATGCTGAGTGTGTATGCCCGTAGCATATTGCCGTCCTCGGCTTCGCGTTCAAGGCGGACACTGGCGACACGCGTGAATCGCCTGCCATCACGCTCGTTCGCGACTTTCTCTCCGAGCGTGCCTACGTGACCATATACGATCCGAAGGTCGACGATGTCCAGATCTGGCTCGACCTCGCCGAGGCGTGCCCGAACGTCCCTCTTGAGAACAGTATGTACCTGCTCACTGTGGTCCTTCGATACTGACAGATGTCAATTTGTCTTGTAGTTAAGAAGCAGGTAACGATCGCCCGCTCCTCGCTTGAGGCGTGCAAGAACAAGGAGGCGGTCGTCATCGCCACCGAGTGGAAGGAGTTCCGCGAGATCGACTGGCAGACGGTTTACGAACATATGAACAAGCCCGCGTTCGTGTTCGACGGGCGTATGATCGTCGACGCTGACGTTCTCAAGAAAATTGGCTTCAAGGTACGTCTGCCCCGTCTGCACCTTTGTGCTTTGCTCACGTATGATGTGCAGGTCAAGGTTATCGGTCGTGGTGATAGACTGTAATAGACGTCGACAACTATTTATTGTCCATGTGGCGTTAGAGACTGGCTGGGATACGGGATACCAATAGCCTATAGCACGGATTGTAAATCACGGAAAGAGGGGACCAATGCATATGTTGTAAAACTTCGCTGCGGTGCTTCGACGACCAATCGACGACCAGAACGAGTGTACACTGTATGTCAGTCTGTAAACTGCACATTTAACCTGTAAACGCTGGTTGCGTCTGTCATGTGACTGTCCAACCATCGCTCCTAAACCTGATTCGAATTCGCTCATTCTTACCGCCTTCACCTAGCCCTGAGCACACACGTTCTATATGTCCGTAGCAAGCACTAGCACGGCAAGTGATGTCTGGGAACAGTCTCTGGTAAGCCTTTGTCCAAGCAGGTACGTTGAATGACTAGAAACCTAATACCAGCCAGATGCATCCTCTCTCGCGCACCGCGTGAAAGCCAAGGCTCCCGTGGCGGTTGTTCGTGACTCTTGGGACGACGACGATGACGAAGACAAGGAGGAGGAGGACCCGCAGGCACTATGGGAGAACGCGTGAGTCTACCTGTGTGTGCTATCGTCCGCATCGCATGGCTGAATAGCATCGCAGTAACAAGAAGGCTCCCATGCCCGAGTTAGTCATGGTTGGGTCCGGCACGAGCACGGTCCTGCCACCGCCGCCCGCTGCATTTCAGCCTACGCTGAAGATCCTGAAGCGACCGACCGCCGGAGCGTCGTCGTCGGCTCCAGCTGCTCAGTCGGCCGTCGACGCACAGAAGTCGTACGCAGAGAGGGAGGCGCAGTACCAAGCCGCGCGCCAGCGTATATTCAGCGACAGCCCGCGCCAGGGCGGGGCAGATGGACTATCGATTGATGCAGAGCGGGGTGCTACTGTCAAGTCGCGTTCGCCACCGCCTGCGGACACGACCAGCGTGAAGGTCCTCCGCGCTCCTCGAGGACCGCCTATGGATCCCTCCGCCTCCTCAACGACAAATGCCAAACCGTCGCGAGGGTTTGCGGGCAAACGCGGGGGACGTGGAGCACCACGAGGATGATTGAGACTGGTGCTAACTCTTTCTCGTGTTCGATTTCTTACCCGTTATTACGCAGCATGGGCGGTCAGGGGACTGTCCATCATCGATATGCTGTCAGGTTTGCTCCTTTTGTGGTGGTTGCTGTGTGTGTGGCGTACGTGTACTGCTGTTCGGATCATCGTTGTGTCTCGTAGCTTTTCCGCTTTTGCTCTGGTCGTGAATTCTATCTATCTTGCAGATCAAGCGGGCCCCCATCAACGGAGCTGTGCGCTGACTTGGTGTGTCAGCAGCGTCTCCGTGATGGCAGCATATGGGCAGAGAATGTTGAGAGAATAGGGGTCGCAATTTTGCGACAATAGTATTCTATAGCATTGAGGAATTGAAGCACCGCCACAATGCTATCAGAATGCTATCAACGGGGAATTGATGGAGGTAGAAGGCTATCGTGGGTAAAATAAGCCTGCAGCGCTGGACGGTTGCGGTCGTCGGGCGCGTTCATCTTACCCAGGCACGACCACCATCTCCGAGCCTCGCCGTCAAAAACGAGTGCTCGTTGTCCAGCGCGGTTCACGACCATGCCATCACGACCCTCCCCGATGGCACTCCAGAGCTCGTCGCCGCAACCGTCGATCTTCAGGAAAAAGTCGACCCCCGCCATGTCCTCCGCGGCCTCGTACCTCTCCGCCGTATCAGAGGCCGACGCACGCGCACGAGCACACGGGGGCACGCCCAGCTCGACCCCCGCCCTCTCCTTGTCCAGCTCGGTCACGACGAGCAGCTCCGACACGGTCCTCGACGACCCCGACGCCGAGTTCGACGATGCGCTGTCGTACCCGCGCAACCCGCCGACGAGCGAGCAGGTCTTCACAACCGTCCACTCCGAGTTTGGACACTGCGCCAACGAGCAGTATCGTTTCATGAGCCAGCACAAGCCGGGCACGCCCTACCGCAGCTACCCCGAGCAGGACCCGCCCCACTACATCCTCCTCACCACCTACCTCAGCTACCTCCTTGTCATCTGCCTCGGGCACTTGCGCGACTTTGTTGGCAAGCGTTTCAGGCGGTCCGCCTATAGGCATCTTTTGGCACACGATGTGAGTACTACTCTGCTCTGATCGCCGTTCTATTTCTATTTTTCCCGACTATGACTTCTGGTGGGAAGTTGCCCATGGGGAAGAGTCCCGTACAGCGCAAGGAGATGGTCATGTGGGCTATCGACGAGTGGGCAATGTTCGTTGTCGCGACAATCGCGCAATTCCAACCCACACCCTCGGTAGCCTCGGTCTGGAGTATCCCAGTCCTGGATTGCGCATCTGTGACAGCCTGGGCCGTCCTACTCGTGTCCGCGCGTTGCCGTTGCCTGCGTTGGCCAACGACGAAGATTGTCTATGCGCCTCGCTAGCCCGCAGGGGCCGTTCAGCAGTATTCGTGGGCCATTTAGGAGGGCCGCGGCTTCGAGCGGAGACTGCGGGGTACGTGGAATCCTGAATTACACCGGGTCCGCTTCTATTCCGTGATCGATATGCGGCTGGATTTAGCCCCGAGTCGAGAGCTGCATTCCCTTGCCTAATTGTGAAGGCCCTGTGGGGAGAAGTGCAGGGTTTCCCATCCAGGGAAGATCCACGAGTTGCGCGAAGAAACTGGGTCAAGGCAACCGCGCTCAATTCCGTCCGTCTAACTAGTGCGTTCACGAACGTCTCGACTTACTAGCCTATGAACGTTGTGCAAGTATCACGCATACTGATTTCAATGTTACACAGGGATATGCAGCACTTAACTCCGACTTCGACTCGTTCTATACCCGGCGGCTCAAGACTCGCATTGACGACTGCTTCTCGCACCCTGTCACCGGCGTGCCTGGGCGCACAATTCTCCTGCTCGACCGCTACTCTCCGGACTACAATGTCACGATGCATCCGACCGGTACACGCACGCGTGGGCTGAACATTTCGTCCTACAACTATCTCGGTTTCGCCCAGGCCCGTGGCGGGTGCGCTGACGCGGTGGAGGCTTGTATCAACCGGTATGGCGTCTCGTCGTGCGGAACGCGTCTGGAGGGTGGATCGCTGGACCTGCACGAGCAAGCGGAAGCGCTTGTCGCAAAGTTTGTTGGACAGGAAGACTCGATGATCTGCAGTATGGGCTTTGCCACCAACTCGACGGTCATTCCCGCTCTCGTCAGCAAGGGCAGCCTGGTCATCTCCGACGAGTTCAACCACGCGTCGATCCGCTTCGGTGTGCGCGTGAGCGGCGCGAACGTGCGGACGTTCAAGCACAACAACATGAAGTCGCTCGAGAACTTGCTGCGCGAGGTCATCAGTCAGGGCCAGCCGAAGACGCACCGACCGTGGAAGAAGATCCTTGTGATCGTCGAGGGCCTGTTCTCGATGGAGGGCACGCTTGCGAACCTGCCAGTGATCATGGAGCTCAAGAAGAAGTACAAGGTGTGTGTGGATGTGTGGTCCGTGCACACATGCTGACCGCCGCTGCAGTTCTACCTCTTCGTCGACGAGGCACACTCCATCGGCGCACTCGGCCCGCACGGACGAGGCGTCGCGGACTACTTTGGGATCAACCCGCGGAACATCGACATTCTCATGGGCACGTTCACGAAGTCGTTCGGTGCAGCTGGTGGATACATCTCGGGCTCGAAGGCGCTCATCGACGGGCTGCGTCTACGCGCGCACACGGGGACGTACACGGAGGCGATGACACCACCGGTCCTCATGCAGGTTGTCGCGTCGATGGCGAGCATCATGGGCATCTCGCCCGCGCCGAGTTCGAATACTGCAGTGCAGGAGGTCGCGGAGCTGGAGCGGCACCCGGGTACCGCCCCGATGTCGCTGCTGCCGTCGTGGATGCCGCTCTCGCCGGCGATGGTGGACGGCTCCGACGGGCAGATGCGGCTGCGGCGGATCGCGTTCAACTCGCGGTACCTCAACCGGGGCCTGCGCAGGCTCGGGTTCATCACGTATGGCTGTGCGGACTCGCCGGTGATCCCGCTGCTGCTGTTCAACCCGGGCAAGATGGCGGTGTTCAGCCGGATGATGCGCACGCGCGCAGTGCCGATCGTCGTCGTGGTGGTGGCGTACCCGGCGACGCCGCTGGTGACGTCGCGTGTGCGGTTCTGCGTGAGCGCGGCGCACACGAAGGAGGACATGGACATGGTGCTCACCGCGTGCGACGAGATTGGCGACTTGCTCGACCTCAAGCAGGGCCAGGGCGAGCGCTGGCCGCTCCAGGAGATCATAGACAGGGCGGTTGAGCTCGTGAACATGCCGGAGGACTCATAGATGGGAAGTAATGTACGAAACGCTAATGCTTGCTTTGTGGGCTGTAGTAACCAGTCTGACCTCTACTGTTCGTGTAATTACCGACCACAGCCTACGCTGGGTATTTATGTGTATATTTGATTCCTCCTGACATGGCTACTCACTGGGAAGGCTGTCGAAGTGCAAGGTGTAGTGACGCATCCCTCCTTGTCCATTCACACTGCACTACTGCGATTGAGCCTCGTATGTTCTCTCCATTATTGGAATGAAGTTGTTCAAGAGCGACTCGCAGGTATCCTGGATGAGAACCGTCAATAGCTGCAACCCTCGAACAAATGTCGGCGACTTCGCTGGTAGATGGTTCGCTACTCCACAGTCATGGACGTACAGAGGCGTCAGCTTCGACTTCCGTCTTTCCCGTACATCCTCGAGTGGTGATCTTTTTCTTTTTCGCGAAGCGACTCAGAAACGTCCATACAAGCCGAAGTACGAACTGATTGTTGGCGTCGATGCGCGGTTGCATCGCCGTATGGACGGAAAGCCATCGATACCATCCTTGGCACTCGCGAGGTGCGTATTAGATGGGGTCGTGTATTACACGCTCAGAGACTCAGTAGTACTAACTCACTGACATGAGAACTTCATTTCATCTGCATATGAAAAGGTCTAATTTGCCATGCTCAATGGCATACATTGGCTACTACAGAGATCTGTTACAAACAACATGCAACCATGTGCACTGATACAAGCAAGCTATAACTGTTCTCAAATCACAAGCCCATGTCCTTACGACTTACTGTACTGGTAGACAGCAACATCCGAATGGGCGTTCAGCCCTGGCTCTCCTCGCTTCCGTATGCGTTGCTCTTGTGCTTCGGCGTGAATGTCCACGTTTCAGGGGCTGGCCCAAGGAACATCTCAGAGATCTTGACCCAGTCCCTACTGTCGGGGCTCGCCAAAAGTGTCTCTGTACAACACGGAGCCCACCGTCAGCTCCGTATACATGAACGAACCGATTGAGAGCATATACCTAGGTCATCGCGCCCACGAAACGCTGGCGCGCGGTCGTTGAGGCGTCCCGGGAGGGTCTCAAGCAGGCCGATGGGGATGTAGCGGTATTGGAAGGAGAGCGCCTCGCAGAGGTATCGGCGCGTGGTGTTCACCCCCGCTGTGTCCGTTCCGAAATGACTACGATCCTGTCAACATCTGTATAACAAACAAGTAATGAAAACTCACTTCAACCCGTACTCCGCGTACTGCAATGCCGCATACAAGTCAGTGACGAGAGACACATGAGATGGCGAGATGATACTGACCTTTCGGACGAGGTCGAGTCGTTCTCGCGAGCTGATGTCCCACTCCCTCCTCTCCTTGATCTCGGTGAAAATCCACGGCTTGATGAGCGCGCCGCGCCCGATCATGATACCGTCGACGCCGGTGCCATCCATCTTCTCCCAGTAGTCTTGCGAGGAGAAGCAGTCGCCGCCGCCGAAGATCGGTACTGGCGCGACTATAAGCCAGAATGGGATCAGGCTGTCATACACGAGAACGAGATTACGCACGGCCCTCATCTTGTTCCCTGGCGCGGACGGCGTCGACGCACTGCTTGATGTAGTCCCAGTCGGCGAGCTTGGTGTAGCGCTGCTGCCGTGTCCGCCCGTGTAGCTACCAGCGGCCATGAGTCAGTGGCTGCTTTGCGCTTCACGCAAGGGTATGAATACCGTGATCGCGGATACGCCAAATTCAGGAGCCAAGCGCGGCATGAGCTTGTGCGCCGTATTACGCCCGTCCTTCACTCCCGTACGGAGCTTGACCGTAACGGGGATGTCTCCAAGTGCCTTGTTCATCCCCATGATAATCTTCCCCAGCTTTCCAGCAGCGTCAAGCACTACAATCTATAAGTCAGCCATTTCCGACTACGAGTACCCGGCGGAAGACGACGTACAAGCGGAGCCACTGCCAGTCTTATACACGAGGTCGATCGGGCAGCCGCAGTTGATGTCGACGAAGTCGAGGTTGCCCGCACACTCGCGGCCGATGATCTCCGCGGCGGGGACGAGCAGCGCCGGTTTGCTGCCTGCAATCTGCATTCCGAAGGTGGACTCGGACGGGTGCCGCCGGACGAGCGACCACTCCTCCTTCGAGCCTTGTAGGAACGACATCGCGAGGCCCACTGGAGACAGTGTCAACGGAGGTCAGTGGGTTGGGTACAGTGCACGTACTCTCGCCGCAGGTAATATCCACACCGTAGTCAACGCACAGTCTGCGGAAAGGCTTGTTTGGTGTAAATCATTGATCGCAGAGTCGAGCGCGTGAAGCTTACCAGGTTCCCAACGGTGGTGAGAGGCGCGAGATCTGCGGGCGGGCCGGGGGCGTCCGTCCGTGATCAGGACGGACGGTCTGACGCATCGGCACTCACATGTTTTCCCTTTCCAATGTAATCGTTTCTTCTCGCTGAACCGAAGAGGCACATCTGGCGTGTCTTTTTGAGACTGATCTTCTGTGTCGGTGGTAGCTGGCGCGGGTGCATCCGGGGTTTGTACGTCGATGGAGGAGGCGGGTGCGGCATCCTGGGCAACCAAAGGTTCAGAGGCAACTTTGGACTCCTCTCCTGCGGCTTGCAGCTCTTTGAGATACGCGCCAGAGATGGGTTGTGGGTACTTCTTGGTCCTGATCATTTTGAGGGTCGGGCCGTCGATGAAATTGAGCTCCTGCTCGGAGCCCGCTGCTCGTGCCTTTTTCTCTTCGTCTGAAACAAGGTCGACGGCGCCGCCCTCGACTGGACGAACGTGTCCGCCAAGGAAACGACATTTGAGACCATGTTTGCATTCGCCCGTACGTTCGAAGACGGGGCACTTTGTGGATAAGTCTATGGAGGTGTTACTACTCTCGGACATCTCGACATCAGGCGACAAGCGGCCGCGGACGTATGGCGGGGCATCGAGTAGGTCTTCTGATGCAGGGAAATGGATGTCCTTCGGCTTTACGTTGAGATAGGCCGACACATCATGCGTGAAGCGACACCTGTGCATACCGTCGAACCGTAGACATGCATAGAGGAAACGGGCACACTCACTCAGAGCCAAACTCGCAATCCTTTCCAGTAGCGACCTTCCAGCACAGCTCGACCTCGTCCTGAACGCGCGCAAAACGTCGGCCCTTGTTCGCGCCGCGATTTTTCTTACGCTCTTCCTTGGACAGTTTCTTGCGCTGGGCCCCCGAGAGCGCCGTACCGCGGTCTGAGTCTTGCGTGGGTTCTCCGTCCTTGCGACCGTTTACATGGCTCGTACTGCCTTCCGCTGCATCATCATCGGGGATGGCCCGCGTCGCAGCGGAGACAAGAAATCTGGCGAAGGCGAGTAAGATCAGCCTGCCGCGTTGAGTGGATTGTATGTACGGACTCAGCCTTGATTGGGGCGGTTCCAGGAGGTAGATTAGCCATCTTGGTTCGTGATTCTGCTGCAGTCACAAGCCTGCGAAGATGTGAACGAACGTCGAGGCCAGGTCGAGGCTCGGGACGGGGTTTGGGCGGGATGACCAGTGAGATTTGCGCGAGATGCAATCTCCGCCACCAGATTTCATCGGGCCTTCCTCATCGGTACTACGTGCGGCACACATTTATTCGATTTCAAGTAAACCAAGTCAGTACTGGGCTTCGACTAGGATCCCAGCCTACTCTGCTAGGTGTGTACTAGCTCGTATCGACGGAGATTTGTACATAATAGCATTCTGGCTATCGCTTTCAATGATCCTCGGGCACCGGACATCCCACCGAGGCTGTCTTACAACGCACAATCAGCAGATCCACGCTCGTCCACCGCAATACCTCCATGCTGCCCTCATGACATGATGTCGGGAATGTTTCGCTGAGAATCACATTCGTGGTCGCTCTGGTTCTATCTTGTGAACCACCAACCACCTGCTTTCGAGCTGTAGTACTTACTACCACTCGTCGAGCATGCCACCTCTCAGCTCGCAGGAATACGTCTGCGACCCGCGCCCCGACTACCCGCTGCTCATCGCCGCGAAGCGCTATACAGTACCGGGATATACAAGCGAGGATTCGGACGCCCTCACACTGGTCCTGACGCACGGAACAGGGTACCACAAGGAGCAGTGGGAGCCTACCCTCGAGCACCTGTTTGAAAACATCGCTCGGGCGGGGGACGCCAGTTCAGTCAAGATACGCGACGTCTGGGCGATCGACTGCCCGAATCATGGCGACTCGGCCATCCTGAATGAGCGCACGCTCCTGTGGGGATACGACAACTGTGAGTCTCCGTAGTTCTCAATGTTTCGCGTTCGTAACGGGGCGCCAGTCAATTGGGAGGAGTACGCGCGCGCGGTACACATCTTCCTCAGTGGCCTCGGACGCGGAGTGGACGTCGACTTTAGCAAGTGCAGACTCGTCGGAATCGGTCATTCGATGGGCTGCGTAGCTCTGTGCGTGTGGCACTCTGTTGTTACACACAATCTCAAACTGACACTGTGCTGTGCCCCAGGATCTCCTCGACCGCATTCTCGCCTAAAGTCAGCTTCGACTCGTTCATCTTCGCAGAACCGATGTGCTTCCCCAAGGACTCGATGCTGCCAAGCTTCTCGACATACCTCACCACCGGCGCCGAGAAGCGCCGCGATATCTTCGCGTCGCGCGGGGAGGCCCTCGCCTGGCTGCAGTCGCGCGCCGGCTTTAAGGTCTGGGACCCCCGCGTGCTCCGCGCCTTCGTGGTACGTGTCTCGTCTCTGCCTCTCCGAGCGACGCCGCTCACATGCATGGCAGAACCACGGCCTGCGAGAGTTGCCGACCGCGGAGTACCCGGACAAGACCTCGGGCGTGACCTTGAAGTGCACGAGAGCTCAGGAAGCGGTAAGACAGTCCTTCGCAGCCCTCCGCTAGACTGCAAACTCACCTCGCGCCGTGGAGGCGTGCTATCGCGACCACTACAACACCGGGCGTGTCCGCGCGTACAACTACCTCCCGACGCTCTGCGCATCCCGGCCCGTGCACGTTCTCTACGGCGCCATCGATGACTACATGTATGTCTGGGTCCTATTGCCTCACCCGTACCGCCGCGCTGACTTTTTAACGCAGCCCAGGCCAGGTCAAGGACAGGCTGCTCGCAGAGGGCATGCACAATAGGCAGGCATCGGCGAGACGTGTGCCTGGCTCGGGCCATCTCGTACGTCGCACCTGCACCTCTTTTCAACAGTGCACTAACGTCCCCGCAGATCGTGCAGACGCAGCCCCGGGCTCTCGCAGATGCGATCTGGGCGGTCTTGGCCAGGGAACCGGTTCCGGCATGGGAGAAGACGAAGTTGTAGACGCACTAAGCATTTCGGACCAGTCTCGATGCATGTTGTATACTCAGCCACAAGCTGTATACTTCCGTTTGATAGCAGTTGATGTTGTACAAGATATAATACATGTATTTCTCCACGCTCCCGACTCCCGTACTCACGAATGAGTCCAAGTGGGCTTGCGCTTCTCCGCGAACGCGGCCATACCTGCCCAAGCCGTGAGCCACAGCACACGCACACACACCACGCGGGACACGCACCCTCCTTCTGGTCGTGCGTCGCGAACAGGCCGTGGAAGATGCGGCGCTCGTAGCGGAGGCCCTCCGCGAGGGTCGTCTCGTACGCGACGTTCACCGCCTCCTTGCCCGCCTGCACGGCGACCGCGCTCTTGGACGCGATCGTCGCCGCGACCGCGATGGCGTCCTCGAGGACGTTCTCGGACACGCGCGAGACGAGGCCCCAGTCCGCCGCCTCCGCCGCGGTGAAGTTGCGCCCCGTGAGGGTGAGCTCCATCGTGCGCGACTTGCCGATCGCGCGGGCGAGGCGCTGTGCGGCGGGTGTGTCGGCGCGGCCTTCGAGGGGAAGACGATGGGGGTACGCACCTGAGTGCCGCCCCCGCCGGGGACGACGCCGATGTTAATTTCGGGCTGGCCGAAGACGGCGGTCGGCGAGGCGAGGATGATGTCGCACATCATCGCGAGCTCGCAGCCGCCCCCGAGCTGCAGAGGGGCTGGTGAGGGCGCGCACAGAGCTGCAAGTGGAAGCACATGCGCACCGCGTAGCCGCTGACCGCCGCGATGATGGGCTTGCGGATCTGCGTGATGAGCGACCAGCTCTCGAGGAACTTGTTCTTGAAGACGTCAGAGTCTGCGGTTGGCATTTCGGAGTGAGCGGTGGCCCGCATAGGCGAGAACGGGCGACGTACATTCCTTGTCCTTCATCTCCTTAATGTCCGCGCCCGCTACCCGTCGTTCGCACTCAATCAGCCTCGCGCAGCACCACCAGAACAATGCACAACGCACCGGCGAACGCACGCTCGCTCCCCGTCAGGACCAACGCGCGCACGGCGTCGTCCCTGTCGAACGCAGCCACGGCGTCGTTGAGCTCCGTAAAGACCGGCGTCGAGAGCGCGTTGAGGGCCTTGGGCCGGTTGAGCGTGATCAGGGCGACGCCCTCCGCAGGGCGCGAGGTGAGGATGTGCTCGTAGGTCGTGTTCGCGGACGACATTGCGCGGAGGCGGAGAGAGGAGACGGGCGCCGGTGCGAGGCGGAGGCGGTAGGCCAGCAGGAGGCGGGACATGATGGTGCGCCGGTGAGCAGCGGCGGCCAGGCTCTTTTATATGGAGTTCGTTGTTGTGACCCACGACGTTCTCAGCTCTCAGCAGCCGGCTATGACATTGACCAGTCCGGCTGGGATTGCGCGTGATGTTGGAGGATGCGATGGCTGACTCAGTGCGCTGTTCCTCTGTCGGTGACAGTATTATACATGTATTGCTCGAGTGACATGCCCTTCTCGTCCACCCACCCGGTGACCCTCACTAGCACTGCCGTGACAGTGTTACTCGCGTCGAACTTGCGGTTCGCATATCGGCCGAGGTTCAAGTTGTCGAGCGATGTGCGAGCGGCGATGAACTCCTACCACGGCCACCAGGGCTCGCATCATGTACTTAGAGTATGCCGAACGACATCGCGCACACGCAGTCTCTTCGAAGGCGTACGCCTTAGTGCAGAGAATTGATGTGGTTGGTGAGCGCAGAGGTAAGTCAAACACCGATCCTCCGCTTCGACCGCTGTTGCTGGCCGTTCAAACGCTCTAGTTCAATGTCACCCGGGGGTGTCCTTTCCTCCGTTCGATACTTTGCTTTCACGGTAGCCTGCTTGCCCTTCCGATCGCAAGTTCATCAGCCGTCCTCATTGATCGCAAGTCAAGCGTACGCTCCACTCTTGCGCGCGCTGTGTGGGTATAAGTAAGGCGGGCCCGCGTCGCCCAGAGTCCCCGCACTCGAACTCCACCCTCTCGGACTTCCTCTTCCTCCTCCTCTGCGCGGACGAACAGCGAGGGAGCTGCCGCGACGAGCGTCGACGCGCGGATACTAGCTACATACTCACGCGATGTGGCAATTTCATTGCTTTGCGCAATGCGCGGGCCCAGCTCTGCCACCTCGCACAGTCGAACATCGTCCTGCCCGACGTGGGCGTGCGCCCTGCTGTGTCGCGCGTAAGCTTCGCATGCCTCACTCACCAAAAATCGGCCCCCTTTGGATGCGCGCGGCGCCAACGCAAGGACTGCGCGCCGAACACACGCAGCAGGAACCGGCTTGGGGAAGCCTTGGACCTGGAGGTGCCTTGGCGGTCGACAGCCGGCGGCCCAGCAGGCAACGGTCAGCGGCGCGTGGTGGGCTGTGGTGGGTCCTTTCTCTGAGTTGTTGCGTGGACCGCATTCTCGAATGGCGTGTGGGCATTTTGGGCTCATATCGCCGAAGAATGTGGACGTCGTCGAGCGTCGAGCGGCGAGCGTCGATTGTTGGGATACAGCGTGTGGTTACCGAATACGGGTGGCCGGGACATTGATCGACGCCACGCGGTGGCTGCGTCTGCCCATCCGCTGTCCGTCAACACGCCCGCCGCTTCATCTTGGCTGCCTCAGTCCACCATGATTGAATCCCAGTGTCCCGCACGTATCGACTGGCAAACGTTCCCTACGAACGAGGCCAGCGTCGGCCCCTCCTATCAACTGCGTCGCGTCGCCGCGAGGACTCGGAGATGCAGATTTGAATGAACGAGGTGGCAAATCAGATTGCCTGCCTCCGAGTCCGCGCACGGTGTGTCGGAGACCGATGCTTCGCCCAGCTTGCGCCCAGCCATCTGTCGTTTCCAGCAGAACACGATCGCTGGGCCGCCGCGTCGTTGCCGCCTAGCCGCCAGCCTGGCAACGCTCGTGCGCGCCATGGCAATCCCAGCATGACCGGTCCGTCCTTTTATCTCCCCGCCCGCCCCGCGTCCGAGCTTCACTCCCCACCTGCTCCTACATTCCTTTCCTCTCCCTTTCCTCTGCGCTGGCCGCTATACAACGCGCGTCCTCTCTTTCTCACCACGCAGAGCGTCCGGTCTCGTTCTTTCGCCTTCCAGTCCTCTCCGCTCGGCCAACATGGTTGCCGCTGGTCTCATCCTCGCTTCTCTCGCTGCGATCGCGCTAGGCAAGCCCGTCAAGCTCAATGGTGGCATGCGCGTGCTCGGCCGCAGGGACAGCCCGCCTGCGGGCTATTCGTGGACGAACGCGGCCGCGAACGAGACGATGCTCTCGCTCAAGTTCGCGCTTGCGCAGAGCGACCCGTCCGGCCTCGAGGACGCGCTCTACGACGTCAGCGACCCCACGAGCGCGAACTACGGAAATCATCTCACGAAGGAGGAGGCGAGCCGTTATTTTCTCGTCGTCACGCGCCACCGCTGAAGCTATTGTTCGTTCTTGACAGGCAGCGGCGTTCGTCGCGCCGTCCAACGAGACGGTCGCTGCCATCAACAAGTGGCTCGCGAACAACAACCTGACGGCCAACACTGTCACGCCCGCCGGCGACTGGATGGCCGTCAACATGTCCGTCGCGCAAGCCAACGACCTCTTCGACGCTAGCTTCTCCGTGTTCACCCACGAGACGACGGGGAACCAAGCCATCCGGACCATGGCCTACTCGGTTCCCGAGACACTCGTCAACCATCTCAAGGTCGTCTACCCGACCATCACGTACGTTTCTCCGTTCGATCGGCTGGTGTATGAACTGACGCGCTGTGTGGACAGGTTCCCGAGCAACAAGGCACTCATGCCGATCTTCAGCAAGCCAGAGCCGCTCTCGAAGCGCCACCACAAGAACAAGGGCACCGGCGGCGGCAACAGCGCGAAGAAGGGTAAGGGCAAGGGTACCGGCGGCGGCGCGTCCAACTCCACGGGCACTGGCGGTGGCGCGGCTAACACCACGGGCGCGGGCGGCGCTGCGGTCGCCGCGTCGTGCAACACGGTCGTCACCCCGACGTGCCTGCAGGACCTCTACGGCATCCCGGCGACGCCTGCGACGAACCAGAAGAACCAACTCGGCGTGAGTGGGTTCATCGAGCAGTTTGCGAACGAGGCCGACCTGCAGGTACGTTTTGGCCCAGTCATGCATTGGGGCGATGCTGATGGGTGGCGTAGCTGTTCATGGCGAACCTCCGCAAGGACGTCACGAGCAACACGACGTTCGCGCTGCAAACCCTCGACGGCGGCCAGAACTCGCAGACCGCCGCGCAGGCCGGCACGGAAGCCGTAAGTCGTGCTTCTGCTGTTCGCTTGAGTTGTACTGACCTGTTTGTTAGAACCTGGACATCCAGTACACCGTCGGTGTCGCGACGGACGTCCCGGTCACGTTCATCTCCGTCGGCGAGCAGAACAGCGACGGCGACCTCGGCGGGTTCCTCGACATCGTCAACTTCCTGCTCAACGAGGACGCCCCGCCGTCCGTGCTCACGACGAGCTACGGCAACAACGAGGAGGATATTCCCGTCGCCATGGCTGAGTGCGTCTCATAGCGCTAACGTTTGTATGTGCGCTCACTCGGCTTCGTTCAGAAATCTTTGCAACGCGTACGCACAGCTTGGTGCTCGCGGCGTGTCGATCCTCTTCGCGTCAGGCGATGGTGGTGTGGCCGGCTCGCAGGCGCAGCAGTGCAGCGATTTCGTGCCGACCTTCCCGTCTGGCTGTCCCTAGTAAGTGACGCGTTGTGTAGCTGGCCGATATCATGTTGAACCATTCATCATAGCCTGACCTCCGTCGGCGCGACGCAAGGCATCAGCCCCGAGACCGCCGCGGATTTCTCCTCCGGCGGCTTCTCCAACGTCTTCAGCATGCCCTCGTACCAGGCGAACGCGGTCGCAACGTACCTCAAGACGCTCGGCACCACGAACAAGGGCCTGTTCAACAGCTCGGGGCGCGCGTACCCCGACGTGTCCACGCAGGGCGTCCAGTTCGAGGTCGTCGTCGACGGTCAAGCGGGCGGCGTCGACGGCACGAGCTGCTCAAGCCCCGTCTTCGCTAGCGTCGTCTCGCTCCTCAACGACGAGCTCACGACCGCCGGCAAGAGCCCCCTCGGCTTCTTGAACATGTGGCTCTATGGGAACGCGACTACTGCGTTGAATGACGTTACGACGGGCTCGAACCCTGGCTGTAATACGCAGGGGTTCCCCGCGGTGACTGGTTGGGACCCGGTGAGTCGTGCTCGAGTTCGTTCTTGCGGTTGTGTCGTGGCTAACGGGGTGTTGGACGCGCAGGTCACCGGTCTGGGGACGCCGAACTTTGCCGCGCTCCGGACGGCTGCGGGCCTCTGAGCGCGTGCGCACAAACGTGTGTGATGTTGACTGGAACGCGAACCAGATCGTTTCTTCTCTTGCTCTGCTGGGATTGGGAGATCGCTGTCTTTTGTTGCTGCTGCTGTCTTGTAGTACTGCTGGCACGTCGTTGTATTGTTTTGCGAATGCGCATGTTTTGGTGGGAATGTGACTTTGTGTGAGACTCCGCTGCAACAATCTTGTGTTTGGCTATCATGTCGTTGTGAGTGGTTCGACTCTGGTATTGAGGTATTGTTAGTGACATAAGTGGCAGTGAGATGGTAATGGTAGGTTATGGTTTCAATGGTATTGTCCTATGCTTCAGAGATTTCAATTTCGAAATGACAGCTGTTCTTGTGGGAAAATGCTCATTGGTGAGGTGTGACAGATGTTGCCAAACATGAGACCAGCACCATATGCTACTAGTAAACCACTGAGATGTGAGAAAACACAATGAACAGGGTCCATCAGCATCTTCACAACAGATACTCAAGAGTGGGACTTTCACCAGTGCTCCTATGTGCCTTATGTATGTGGTAAGTTACTGCCATTCAATGACAAAGAGTAAGCTCATAATAGCCTTTTATTGGTAATGAGTGATGAGTATTGCTGAGATTAGCAGAGATGAGGATTGAGAATGAATCCCACATACAGAGAATGACTATTCAGTGCCTTAAATCCATTGGGCCTTTCAAGACTTCAACTCACACAATAGAAGTTCAATTTAGGACTAAACAACTGGCTTTTATATTCTTGTGTTTCAATCCCTCACCAACAAATCCTCGCATTCTGCTGTGACTGTTTGATGTCCAAAAAAGTGTAAGCCTGGCATCCGCACACTGGATAATCACTCAGAGGATGAAGGAATGGTGACAGTGTGTATGTGTGTGGAATGTGCATGTGTGGTAATTGTCCATATTGTAATAATGTATGTAGTAGCCGCAGGGAGGCAGTTACCCATTGCTGAGAGCTTTGAGAATAGAGGATGGAGTCTGAATATAGAGGATTAGTATTCAGAGCTTAATTCCAAAAGAATGGCCTCTTGGGAGTTGAAGCACACAACAGGTGTTGAATGGAAGTCTTCACAGCTAGCTTTAACTCAGGCTCCTTCCCATCCGCCAGGGGGGGGAGAGGGATATGTCAAGAGCGAAATATAATGCTTTGTGTCGATCCTAAGTCATGCATCCTAAAACGTACTAGTTGATCTAAGTCACATGCACCACGCGAGCCAATTCAAACTCCACAATCTTAATGCCCTCTTCCCCCCCCTGGCGGCTGGCACAAAACATATACAAACAACCGGGCCCCGGCTGCATACCTCCCAATTTGGAGGGTGCAATCAATGGCAGAGATTATGTAATTACCCATGTCCCCGCGCAAGGTTCGCGCCGTCGCGTTCACGTGTGGTATGCGCGGCGCGCGACCTCAACGCGTTCAGTCTGCATGATCGCTACTAGACTCAGCTATGATCACCGCGCAACAAGTTCGATACATTCGCGCTGCTCTCGACCAATGTCATTTGTCGCTCTCCGATCTCATTCTCTCCTGTCTCACCGAGAAGAGCGTCGCAAACGCTCTCTTTCTCGAAGACCTCAGTATCAACCTTGGCTCTATCCTCACGGCGTTCGCTTGCAATACTCGGACGTCTGCCATGACGCAAAACTGGGCACATCATGAAATGAAGAGGCACTATCATCGCGCCGCGCGCGATCTCACCGACAAGGACAACGGCTGGCATCTCGGAGCAGTGCATATGAGCGCCGAGCAAGTCCTGAACTTTCGGATCGAAGACATGGCCGTGCGGATGCGCTCGCTGGCTCCGGAACTATGGGAGCTTGTCACGTTCTTGCTGTTAGGTCGCAAGCTCTGGACCACCGCCGGAGAGGAGGATACCGAGGATCAGACTCTCAGTCTGGACGAGCTAGAGTTGTGGCGAGAGCTCGAGACGCTCGGTGATGGCGGTGTTCAAGAGATGGGCCCTTCTGTACCTGCGAAGCATGATCGGGTTAAATTACGGCGGGCGTTGTGTCATTTGGTGAGCATTATTGCGCGACAGGATTCCATCGGTGATCACTTGTCCTGACACTCGGATAGAAGACGGTTGTAATACTGTCGATACTCATGCGTTCCCTTAACCAACAATGTAACGCGTTCGCCGCCGTTAACGGAATATTCTTCCATTCCTGCAATACACCAGACAAGGTTGTTAAGAGCCTTGCACACATGGGCATCTCAACATCATTGTCGACAATCAACAACGCAGTTCATTCGCTGACTTGCGAAAGTGCGGACCATGTTCGCACGCTGGGCCAGTCCCTCCGAGCAATGTTTGCATACGACAATTGCGAGCTTACCCTGAACACCATGACTCCAACCATCGAGCAGTCCGGCGATTGACTTGTACACTTGACGTCGGGGCTCATCATCAAGATGGAACATGGCGTCGAGCCTAATGACCTCCGCTGCTCACGGATTCTCTGGGAACGCTCGCGGCTCAACCCAAGCATGCTCTACAGCCCCAACCCGCCGCGCCAATACTCGTTTGAGCACCTTCTGACGCTCCATCCCGACCCTGCCCATCCGTTGGGTCTTAATCGACATGCCTGCTTCACAGTGTGGCTGTTCCTCACCGCGCTCTTCCGCCACGGCCCGCAATACTTCCGACAGTTCATCCCGCTGCTGCATGAGCCAGAGAGCGTTGATCAGATACCTGTGGTGAAGCTCACATATCACCCCGTTCGCTGCATGGATATCAACCAGTCGAAGGTTGATGGGAATATTCAGGCCATTGCTGACCTACTCAAACAGGCAGGGATGAGGGAGCCGGATGCGAAGGAGGTAGACGAGCATGCAGTCGACCTATCTGAATACGTCGTGCTTGTTCACGGCGATCTGGGAACAGCTGAACGCGTACAGGCAATCCTGAAGTGTCGAAGTATTGAACAGACTCCCCTCCGCCGCTACCAGTTCGTCATCTTTGTCCCGGGCATTTTCCACACGAAGATGGCCTGTGCAGACGATATTTGGCGCATCTTCATACAGCCGCCCGACGCTCGTCTTGACGAGAACAGTCTCATGAAATTTGTTGGGAGGCTACGTCCGAGGGAAACTGGACAGATAGGATCGAAGCCGAAGTTCCGCCAGATGCACAAAGTGATCTTGCACACCGGGATTGTGTTACGGTTGGATTGTTGGTGTACCGAAGCACGCTTGCAGTACCGTGACAAAGGCGTGCGCAGTCTGGAAGACTTTGCTGCCCAGAAACCAACATTCGACCAAGTTGTCGCCATGGCTTACAATATGGTTCCGAAGTACATTGCCGGCGGCGGGCAACATGACCTCTACGACATACACCATTCCAGTACCAGTCTTCGCGATCAGCAGCACAAGAACATCATGATCATGCATCAGTACTTCTCACTGTACGAGGAATTCTCATACCGCGCCAATGCAGGAGACATCGGAGGAGTCGAAGCTGTCATGCCATCTTGGATTGCACTGTTTAAGGCTACAGGGAAGCATAAATACGCCAACTATATGGAGAAGTTCTGGACAGATGTCCATTTTGTGTATCCTGAGCATCTTCGGTGAGCCCTGATATCTACTTTCAAGTACTCGTAAGGTGTTGACTCAGGCCGCCTCACTACGTCCATGAAGCCATGCAATTCGCTACAACATCCTTGTAAACCCGACGGGGAAGCCACATGCATTCCGTGGAGTTGACTGGGTCGTCGAGCTCATGAATTTGTTCACAAAGGTATCAGTCAGTCGGCTGACAGCAACACAGACAGAAGCTAATAGATATTCATACAGGATACATACGGCGGTGATGGGTCAAATCATTCCAAGGAACGGGTAATCACTGAATCTCCAAACATTCTCGTCTACCGAAACTGTGCTCGCAATGCCGAGCAGAACTTTTATCTCTCTGGCCTCTCATCGGCTCATGGCGAGAAGAACCTTGCATCGACGTTCAATGCATTACTCAAAGACATGGACGAGATAGGACCTCATGAGCAATGCGCGGGACAAAAGTCAGCCCATGGTATTCGAGATATGATTGGCCAGGGAGTTGGGCTTATGCTCGGTGGAACAAGTGACGTGGACAAGAGTGATAGTTTGGAACTTGTCGAGGACGCCGGTGTAGACAGAAGTGTAGATGCAGCGGACCTTGGTCTCGAGTCATGATCAGAATATGAAGTGGATGTGTCCGGGTCGTAAAACTAGCATGCTCGTCTACTTGGCAGGACTACCATAGAAGCGTGTCGGAGGGATTGGTGACATCAACCCGGCAGGAGATACAGCTAATGGTACGTCAGCATGCGAACATTGACACACAACAAGAGCTGCAGACGTACCGTTTGAGCTGGCATCTACATGTGCTGACACGCCTGCCATAGGCGTACCATCCTGTTGCTGAGGTAGTGTCTGAGGATTACATCGCTCGGCGTGGATCATTTCAAGTGACGCGACCCGGGCGTTACGTCGATACGAGGGAGTAGTGAACAGAGACTCCAACGTTGTTGAAGGCCCTGAGCCCGGAGTACTCTCACGAGCTGGAGCTTCTATCAACCGTTCAAAAGCCTGAGGCTCGTTATGGCCGTGCGTAGTGCTTGCTGGCATGGTAGTCGGCCCGACATTGTCTTGATCAGTGACGCTCCCGTACCTAGGACATGATCGATTGCTCTCTGCACGATCACGGTCAATTACAACATCATCGAAGGAATGAGCCCACCCACTGTTATGCCCAACCGCGCCGCATGCGCTGCACTTGTACCGGCGCACAGTTGGTGTTGCTGTGTCGGGAACAACAGCATTTGTTGTGCCAGAGTTTGCCGCCTTCTGGGCTTGCGGACGGGGAGTCAAGGGCGTCGTCGCGAACGGGCTGTCCACCGGGAAGTAGCTATCCGAAGATCAAGTGACAGGGAGATTGGTATACGGAGGCAACACACCGCATAATCAGAGCAATCACCGCCTCGCCATGCTCCTGGACTTTGCCCCACTTCTTCCCCACCTCGCGCTGCAAGTCTGTAGCAGACTTGATCTTGCCGGCCTGCGCACACTCGACCAGGTGATCAAGTACGTTGTCTGGGAGAATAACACTTGGACCAAGGGCGTCAAGCAATGCCTTGTTATACTTCTCGATCGTGCGTTCTCGACGGAAGGTATTCAGTGCCGTCCTGAGGTCGCGCCCAGCCGGTGAGATCACCATGTCTTTCTTGATGCGAGAGGCGCCATCAGGGCGGGCAGCGGTATGACATTCACCAGGTGCAATTGCCTTGAAGCACTGAGCGTCGGGGGAGCAGAGGATGCAGCATACAACTGGGCTTCGTGTCGCACATCGAGAACACCCAGTGGGGCGACAAGGCGGGTTGTCTGGCTCTGTTAGGTAAGTGCTTGTAAGGCGGATCAACCTACCCTTCCATATTGAGCTAACACTCTTACCTATCTGGTCATTCCGGTAATATGCCATGATCGGCGCTCGATAGCATCGAAACGGCCTTGTGGCCGCGTTCACGAGTGCATCCAACTCTGGCGACAGTTGACTTGCATCTGCGACGGACTGCTTGTGTTTTCTTTTCGCCGCTCGACCCGTGACTGCCCGTGCTGCCTCAAACTCCGCATGCAAACTTGCAAGATCGACATGTTGCGCCACACCTCCGGCGCTTATTGGCGGTTCCTGGGATGATCCTTGACCTGGGAGGCCTGAGACGCCGTGGTCCCCGCCTGTGGCCCGGGCTTGCTCATCGCCCGCATGCCGCACATCGTCGTGTCGAGTCTCCGACTCGACGTTCGTGGAGGATGACGCTGTTACTGCCGCAGGTGGTGGGCCCTGGGTACGTGTCTTCTTCGCAGGTTTTTGCGCTGACAGATCAGCTTTCCTCTTCTCAGCGCGCTTGTCAGCACAACCCTTCACTTTCTCTCTCTCTTCATCGAAATAACGTGCCTCGACGAGGAGGACAGCAACCGCGTCGAGGGACAAGTCACGCGCGGCGCGTCCAAAACGTTGCCATAGCGTATTCAGGTTGCAAGTCAAGCGCCACTGCACAACAATGCGAATGTCCGCAATGTTCACACCCTACAACGGTGGTGAGTGTTCATCAGCTGCGATCACAGTCTTGGATGTGACTAGACTGACCATTCCGAACGAGTCTGTGCTACACAGACCATACAGCTTTGATGAATTGAATGCGCCGAGATCATCCTCCCGGAACTGCTCGGACATCTGTGCGTGGAACCAGTGTATCCTTTCCTTCTCTCCAGGGTGAAGTCAACTTTGCAGATGCTCCGCAGCCCGGACGCACTCTTCAATATTGTCGAAGAAGACCAATAACTTCGGGATGGGATCCCCAGACGCGCGTTCAGTCTTCGGTAAGACCAAGAAGTCGAGGTCTTCAAAGCTCGACTGCGCATGTTGGATGCGCCGCACCTCGATGTGCACGTTTGGTCGATCATTCGAACGCCGTAACACGGTACAGCGGTCGGGACGTATTTGAAGTGTCGTCATGACTTCTCGTCGCATCTCATCTGGAAGGGTGGCAGTCGCCAGGACAAATGGAACGTTGGGCAAAATGTAACGTAGACGGTGAATGTTCTTGTAGTCTGGGCGGAATGACTTCCAGATGCTGATGCAATGTGCTTCATCGAAGACAATGCTGATTATTTTTGAGGTAAAACTGCTGTTCTTCCACAGCCGTTCGAAGCCGCCGCCATCCTTCATAAGCTCCTCCGGGTTTACAACAATCACGCGGTACTTCCCCTCGGCAATGTCCTAGGTAGCATGGTGAGTCACTGCTTTCGAATTGGGAGCATAGTGACTCACACGAAACACCTGAGGCGTTGCGGTCTCAGCCCTGATCGCAATAGCACGAACACCGATGCTTGCGAGCTCCTGCTCATTTTGCGTCCCCAAAATATTGAGGGGTGTAACCACAATTTGAATGCCATCCTCCCTGAACAGGAGGGGCATCCAGAACGTAAGTGTTTTGCCTGATCCAGTAGGCGCGATGTTGATTAGGTCGTTCTTACGCTCCAGGACAAGTTGTGTTGCACGCGCTTGCCACCGGCAAGGATCTCGACTGAGCTTTGCAAGAGTCGTTGCGCAAATCTCTTCAAGTGAAGGCAGGGGCCGCGAGTGGGATTGAGCCATGGCGGAGGGATAGGGACGGAGAGGGCAATATAGAGGCTTTTTCTTGTAGACTCAGGCTTGCGACGCGACGCGTTGTACTACCGCACGTGCTCACTCAAATAAAATTGGAAAATGCTCATTAATTGTCTGGCCAGGAAATGTTTCCCGGGTGATGGCACTACTATATGGAGGCAGTCATCACCGGCCATCCGGTGTTTGTATATGTTTTGTGCCAGCCGCCAGGGGGGGGAAGAGGGCATTAAGATTGTGGAGTTTGAATTGGTGCACGTGATTGTGATGGGATGTGGCTGAGGTGTGGCGGTGGCGGTCAGGGTATAGGGACACAAAACATTGTATTTCACTCTCGACATATCCCTCTTCCCCCCTTGGCGGATGGGAAGGAGCCTGGCTTTAACTGCACAGTGACAATGGCAACTGACCAAACCCTAATATAACAGCACAAGGCATATACTCAAGAGGGGCTCACTAAGGCAATTCCCACCATGTGGCTATGAGACTTACTTGTTAGGCTAACCACTTAGTAATGCCACTGAGACATGTTGGTCTGGAGCAAGCTGATACAGAGATCAATTGCAGTTGGTAATGGAGTACAGGATGAGATGATGACTAAACACCTCATAGTGAATCCAACTCTTGTTGTCAGTTGAAGATTTACTTAAACCTTACTAGTAGTGTGAGGACTGTACTAAGTAAGGTCTCACTGTTGCAAGTCTCAGAGCACATTGATGAGTATTTGGCAAGAGTGGTCAAGTGCAGTATGGCTAAATTAGCAGTCTGATTACAGTAAGTCTTTGAGTGGCACACAGGGTGAGTTTTGGTGAAGAGTGTAGATGATGTATAGATGGATGAGTGAATGGACGTTCTTGACCATGCTCAGGAATGGCCTTTTGTGCTATTCACTGCGGGCAAACCTGTGACAAATAGGCATCACTATGCCTGTCCAGTACGATAGATTATGAACCATCTAGTGTAGATAAGATTAGATTGTGCATGTACTTAGCCATCTGCCTTCCTTTTTGGGAAGCAACGGATCTTAACCCTCTACTGCCACCTCGTACGCGTGTGAATCACCGCACCGTCCGAGTGTGGAGTCTTGTCTCTAGTCGAGAGTGCTCCTCGCACTCTGACAAACAGTGCGAGCTCCTCGCCGCGCTGAGGAGCACGGCTCCTCGCTGTCTCCTAAACCGGGCGGCTCCTCGCCAGCTCGTTGCTCTGGGCTCCTCGCCGTGGGCTCTCCTCGCAGGCTCCTCGCCAGTGTACGACTACAGCCGGCTCCTCGCCTTGCTGACGACAACAGCCGGCTCCTCGCCACGCTGACGACCCTCGACTAGGCTCCTCGCCCGTCTAGGAACGACCCTCGACTGGCTCCTCGCCCCGTCTAGGACTCACCCAACAGCACTGGCAGCAGTGCACCAAGGTCGCCCCTGGCCTATAGAGCCGTGAAGCCCGTTCACACCCCTGAACAAGGCCTCCCAGTTAGGCCGAGGTCTTACAAAACCAGGTTGTTCGAACTCCGAAAATGCTACGAACATTGGTCCCTCATGGGAACCTTTTGTGAGTTTTGACGGACCCAGAACATGCTCCGAAAATGCTCCGAACATGCGTGTTTTTGTCGAACATGCTACGAACATGCTCCAAACATGCTGAAATTTGGCTAAAATACATCATGTTCTGAGGATGTTTGGAGCCCAAATGCCCCCAGAAAAGGTTCCCATGAGGGACCAATGTTCGTAGCATTTTCGGAGTTCAAACAACCTGGTTTGCCTGCGGTGATTACCAAGGACACAGCCAATGGAGTTACAAGGAAGAATACAGAAAATCAAGGAGTGTCATAGAATTGTATAGTACCTGTCCTTAACCCATTTACACTGCTTCCAAGGCCATTCTAGGAGAAAATAGGAACATAGTCACATAGCTTGCCTTGTTGGAAACAATGAAGTGTAAGGCTGAGTCATCCTAGTACAGCCGCAGTACAGCCACTCTTTCAGGACTGTGATTCCCAAGGAATTATCGAGGCATGCAAGAGTCCGCATTTTTGGTGTACAGCCTAAGGATAGCACAACCATGCCTTTGTATACCAATACCAAACCATTACAACCCAGTAATTGATCAGTAATAACAATCATTTGCCAAGCACACAATAGCTCTTGCATCAGTACTGAAAGCATCTCATCATAATGAGTAAGAACACACTAAAAACTCGGTAATAGTCCATTTAGTAGATACAATAACAAGCACTCCTTCAAAATGTTGGTAATCAATACCTTGACAATAGTACAATGACAGTGCTATAATGATGTCCATTCAATGGCACAAAAAAGGAAAGTAAGAAAGGCACATAACAAACCTTCAATAAGGCAGCTGCAGCCTGCTTGGTAATATCAAAAACTTCTAACAAGTTTCTGTGCACTCTGAGGCTATCAAGCCTCTATCCCTAACTGCAAGCAGGCCACATGTCTAGCACTGTCACAACTGTAATACTACCATCTCCATCCGCTCAAGACATTCAATCTTACATGTGCCTTGATAATACCACTGTTCTTTTCCATGTCCTGTACATTGGTGATTGAACTTACACATCCAGGCTTCCCGACAGTGGTACCAACATCTGCTGATCTCATCATCCACCATTTAATCTACATGGGTCTACAGAATTGTGAGTTTGAATGCCTTGCCCATGGCTAGGCCATTGCTATGGTTTTTATCTCTCACTGCTCAATGCATATGATATCTCTAACCTCTGTTTTGATTACTGCACAATTTTGGTCCTCTGTCTCCAGTTTGTGATCTGTCCCTGTGATGGCTGTTGGGTGCATGGTAGCTGACATGTATTACACAAAATAAATTGCCTGATTGTAATCAACAAGTCAGTCATGTATTCATCAGCATTGTATATGCAAGGAGTTGTTCCATTTCAGCAGATGCTACTACTTAGCAGTGTCATGAATGGTTATTGACAGTGTTACATTGCAACATCACATTGCAGAGGGTGTGTAGGCATGACAACATGGTGTCAGAACAGTTAAGATGTATATGATTGCCTCTAGGGCTCAGGCAAATGGTATGATTATCTTATTTTGTTTGTCACATACAACCCTGGCATATCTAGAGCATAGGCAAATTGACTTATGCTATGTTTATCAGCCTCACTGATTGTTGCAGTACAATCACTGTACACTCAGCAAATTAATGGCTTTCATGTATGTATGTTATGGCTGACCATTTATGACTGAATATCATTTATGACTGAACAGATGCTATAGAGAAACCACCAGGTGTGTGATGATCTTAGTTTCCTGTATTTTTCTGCCATCTTTGAGCTACATTCTGTCATGTTTCTAGTTCAATTGTAGACAGCTAATTACAGAGTTAATCACCCTGTCAAGTAGACATGAATTCCAGTAACAAAGACTTGTATTAGCATCCAGGGTGGTGATAAATTGTGAAAACCCCTGATAATGCTTGGTAATGTGGTTACCAAGATTGAGTATACCATTATAACCTAGTAATTAACCAAGCATACAACACAATGATGTCAGTACTGAAGGATATTATCACAACCTAAATGAGTAGAAATACAGTAAAAACTGAGCAATAGTCAGCCTGATAGTCCAGGTAGTAAATGCATTAAAAATTACTTCAAAGAATTGAATGTGAGTGTTCATATTTTGGCAATAGTCAAATGAAAGCATAGAATGAATGTTTGAGAAGAAAACTAAACAGTCACAGACTTGCTGGGGAGTAGACCATGTCTGGCAGTATGATCCCATCAGCTCAAAATCTCAGAGCAAGCAGGGCACATGTCTAGTACTGTCACATTTGTAATGCCACTTCCTTCAGCTCTGAACATTCAATCTTACAAGTCTCTCACTCTGAACACTCTGAATGAGTCTGAACTTATTGTGCATGCCTTGAAAACCCCACTGCTCTTATTCATGCTCTGTTAATCTTGTCATGCTCCTCAATGCATGTATAATCTCTAACCTCTGTTTTGATTACTGCACAATTTTGGTCATCTGTCTGGTTTGTGATCTGCACCTTCATTATATCATACTGGTATCTTCTCCATGTAATTGTCAGTTTAGCTACCCCAGCTATACAGTGTTGCTGTGTACAGCATGCACATAGTCCTCATTTGGTTATCCAGGCCACACAAAGCTTGAACTCAACCCATTGTGATGGCTGTTGGGTGCATGGTAGTTGACATGTATTCCACAAAATAAATCACATGATTGTAATGGTGTCAATAGAATATTTACTTATCAACAGACCATTACCTACAATATGGGATATAAACATCACTTCTCATAAGTAACTACATACAAACCTTTGTAGTGTCATTGAAAGATTTCCTAATGAACCTACTGTTCTGAATTCATTGGTGTAACAAACATCAGTAATTTTTTTGTGACGATTGTTAGAAATGGCTATATTCCTCAGGTTTAGCACAACTTAGCACCAAGATTGCATTGTCCACTCAGCACCAAGGTTGTGCTCTACACTCAGTGCTGAAACACACTGAATGCTTGTGTTATGGTTCTGTTTTTATATTTATAGATAGCTAGTTACCGAGTTTATTGCCGAGTCAATAGGAACAGTAAACTCGGTAATAGAGATTTGTATTGCCTATACAAAGTGGTAACAAATGGTATAAACCTTGGTAATCTTTGGCAATGCAATTACCAAGATGGAGCAAAGTTGAGCTGTAATGAGGATACCAGATCCACAACAAATACAAAAGAGGGTGGGACTTCAGTCAGTGCTGCTATACAAGTATGCAGTACTGCTCTTCAACTGGGAAGAGTAAGCTAAGAAGGGATTTGAGTTGGCAATGAATGGGGATTATTGCCGAGGTTTAGAGCTGTTTTAGAATAGAGGATGAAGTCTGAATACAGAGGATTAGTATCCAGAGGTTGATTCCAGAGGACATAGCATGTTTAGCGCTCAATAAGCTTATGTAACTATCACTATTATGGTCACCCCCAACATCTGGATGATGCAAACGGCAGCTAAAGCCTGAATCTACTTCAGAGCAACAGAAGAGGTAAGTAAGAGCATCTATTCATGCTCAGCTGCCCAGATATTTTCTGGAAATGTCGGTGACCAACTAAGTTGGCCAGCTTATGTAAGGCGCTTAGCTTAAACAAAAGTGGTGGTGTTTAAGTGAGGTGCTCCATAGGCAATACAAATATCTACTACCAAGGTTACTATTCCTATTAACTCGGCAATGAATTCGGTGACTAGCTGTCAATAAATCAAAAACAGAACCATAACATGCACACAGATGCAGTGTAGTGAAGTTGCACTTGAGTCCTCAGGAACCCTTAGCGATGTCAAGAGATGTCAAGAGAACAGAAGTCGATGAACTTACTCCTCCACCCTCGCGGCCTCACGCGCGTGTTCCTCGTTGTCCATGTCCCGCTCCCACTCCTTCCCTTTCCACCGTGACTTGCCCTCGACCCGGTCATCATCCTCATCCTCAACCATCTCGTGTTTGTGTTTGTGTTTGTCCTCGTCTTCCTCCTCTGGCTCTGCCGGCTCCTTGCCCCGAGCCTTTTGTGCAGCTTGGAGAGCAGCTGTGGCTTCTCTCACCTGCTCTTGGTACTGCATCAGACGCTCTGGGTCGTTCGCTTTCATATCATTGATGGCAGCACTGTAGGCTGACTGGGAGATTTTGTTGACCTCTTTACTGTCTGTCACCCCGTCCTTGCATCCGTGTCAATGGACTGGTTGCTCTTCCTAAACTGCTAAACAAGTCACAGATGCACGGAGCACGTGTCCACTTCTCCTTGACCTGCCGCAGTTTTGGAATCTCAAGCAGCTGGGGTGCCCCTGCCACCTGCTCATCAATGAAATTGCGGTGGTTTGTGAACCACCTCTTGATTTGCTGGCATTGTTGATTGGTGCACATCCTCGGAGCATCAAAGAAACATACTTTCAAGTGGTTCTTACACTGATCTGCACGCTGTTCCTCTGTCTCAACCGTATCCTCCCCATTGGCTTTGGAGATATGTCCCAGTTGGTTGATAGGGAATTTGGCTTCAAATTCCATTGCCACAGCAGTGGCAACTTTCCCATTGTTGGCTGGACTGGTTTCCTTGCACACAGAGACTAGCCTTTTGATGAACCATGCGTGTTGGTCAATCCCACTTTTGGCTTCGACCAAGGGGTATCTGGCAATGTTAGCCATGGAAGCAACTAGGGGAGGGGGGGTCCCCCCCGAGTGGTTCCCAGGGTCTTGATGGGAAGTTGGAAGCCTCGCAAACACAAACTTAGGCTCTATGATCTATTCTGATGTTGTATGGGCCTCAAAGTTGGACGGCTGAATCTATAAAGTGCTCATGTTGTATCTGCAAAGTCTCAGGAACCATTACATACATAGGAAACATGCTACAACATTCGAATGGCGGTATATCTGACTTGCCTCATATAGGAGAGCACGTGCTCAGATGCAGATTGTATGAACCACCCAGTGCTACCCAAGTAAGGGCTAGCAACTGATCATGAGCCCATAGCCACTAGGCAGTAACCAGTGCAAAATATAATGATATACACTTTGTTCTGCACGTCTATGTGCTACTAGTATGCCTGTCAAAAATCCGCCGCCATTACCTGTCATAATTACTCTCCAAAGTGGTATACTCAGGACAACTTGCATCAATCCTCTCAGCTTTTGGCATGATGATCTCTGCCATGGATGGATAGTGCTCTCGGGGAGGGATGACAATCCCGATCCAATGGCTGTGAATCAACATTGTGGAAGCCATCAATGTCAAAAGAATCTTCAGTGATATGAGATTGTGCAGGCAGCACAATCAGTACACGAGCTACACCTCCGAGTCCAGCAGCCATCTCCAGCTATAACTCTTCATTCCACACCTCAACATGAGGTTCCATGCAGTACACCGATAGCAAATCCTGTAGCACTACCAGTATACGTCCCTGTGAGTCTGCATTTTGCAAGAATCAGTGCCATAACCATACTAACCAGAAGATGCCAGCTTTCTGAGTCCGAGTCTGTACCTGGTCATGGCCCAAATCCGAACCCAGCTGCATTGACAGCACCGATCCCACCCAGTACAAGTGCGCTACCATTGCATGCCCAGTCAAGCTTGCCAGTATGCACACCAGAGGCCCAGCTTGAATGTCAGACTACGCCTGAAGTAAGGGTGCATGCACCCTTAACAGCGAGGACACCAAGCCAGATCTCTGCGGATGAGCCACATGAGCAAGGCGAGGACTTGGGCCACCAGTGGCGAGTGGGCCCCCAGGCCATGGAGCATGCTGGAGCAGTGGAGGACCTAGAGGTTGCCAAAGAAGGCAACGGCAGCTGCAACGTCTTCAACATCCTCTACGGACAAGGAAGTGGATGAGATCTTCTCTCCGGAAACTCCGTCGTCAACAAGCAAGGAGAAGACAGTGGCGGCCACCTCGCAGATGACCAACATTGTGAACGCAATGCTCAAGCAGCAGGCTGAGCTCGCGGCCCAGATTGAAGCCCTCAAAAAGGCTTTTTAGATTGACCACACGCTACCGTGGCAGCGGTGTTGTGGTTGGGGGACAGGTATTGGCGTTTCTTTGGTTCTATTTGCATAGCTAGTTGTCTCCTCCTTGGAGAGCGTTAGCGTTAGTTGATCGGGTCCCATCATAGTCGGAGGTGAGAAGGCAACTGGCACCCGTTGTGGGCATCATGGCATTAATGGGCCCTTGGGGCACACACTTTACCAGTGGATATGGGATTTGGAGAGCCGGAGTCAGGGGATCTATCACAAAATAAATTCAAGAACTCGGAAACAAACTTTGTACCCGGGCTGTAGCGTCCATCACCATGAGTTGGTGGGCCGCAATGGCCCACTCCTCAGAAATGTGCCATAGAACCTGCGCCGATAGGTACCCTTCTCTGTCCTCCTTGTTAGAGTTCCCAGTGTCTGGAACCCTAGATTAGGGGGCCGGGCTGCCTGTGAACCTCTCGGATTGGTGGTTGCGGCGCGACCAAAGGATTGTCGTGATTTGTGAGGTCGTAAGTGGGGCGAGGAGCTCCTGCTGTGGTTGTATGCAGGGCAAGGAGCCTTGCTGTGAAGTGGTTGGTCCTAGGTTGGGTGAGGAGCCGGGCCGAGGGCGAGTCCAAGACAAGGGCGAGGAGCCCTGTTGAGGGTGGGTCCTAGGTGTGGTGAGGAGCTCAGGCCAAGAAAGGAACTGAACATTCTCGGATGGCGCAGTGGATTGCACACGGATGAGGTGATAGTTCAGGTGAAAGAGTAGATTCCTTCCCAATATGGAAGGCAGGTGGCTAAGTACACCTGATCTAATCTAATCTACACTATCAGTTCATAATCTAATCTATTAGGGCTGGCAATGTGCTGCCCATATGTCACACTCCTGCCACACCCTCAGGTCCTCCCGGTCCTCGTCCTGGATCTCCAGCACAACAAGGTTGTTGTGAGCTCGCGACATGTATAGAATTTGATGCTGGATGAGCGGGGGAAGGGCCGAGGTCGGGTCCTCAAGCTTGTTGAAGAAGGTTACCGCCCTCATCAACACAAACACATGGTCCATTTGTTGTTGGACATGGAGGGCAAACTCCCCAACAACCTGATCTACTAAGCCCCCTATGCGAAGGGGCTCCAGGTTCATCAGCATAACGCAATTTCTGATTACATTACTGTTTTACTTACCAGATACATGAACGCCTCCCTGAGATGATGGAGAGTCATCCTGGCCTGAATAAGGCAGAATTGGTGAGGCCCGAAGAAGATATGGGCTTCAACTGGGCCGTATAATTTGCAGCCGTCGAGTGCCACTGACGGCAATGACTCGGCTCCTTGCAGGAGGTCTCAGAGCATTTCTTCCAACCTTGCCGTTGACCACGGCAATGGTACGGACATCCCGCCGTGACGAGCGGTCCATGCGCCCCAATGGTGCGGGGGGTTGTGGATGGATGCTGCCCAGCGATCCCTTGTGGTGGGCGTGGGCTCAGGCCGTGTTTTTGACCTCTTCTCATGCAAGACGATGAGGATATGAAACGCGCAGGGCGCAGCAGCCCTGCCATATTGTGAGGCAAACTTACAAAAGGTGTCAATTTGAGTTGCAACAATACGGACAAGAAACGTACTCACCTTGCGAGTTGCGGATGGCACCGATTGAGACACCAAAGTCTCAATGGTTCCTGATGAAACCCGTTTGAAGAGCCTAATGTATTGCTTCTGTAGGCACTGGGCTGATGATACAGCAACCAATGTAGATGTATTGAAGGTGTAACATGAAATAGAGTCTTCCTTCTCAATTGAAGCCTTACAGTCCATTGTCTATGCTTTTGAGAATATTCACTGATTTCTCTGCATTTGTTTACATCTGCTTACTAAGCGCTCATTAAGCGCCCGTGTGCTGTTCGGAGTTGCATCCACCTGGAATTTCCAGGTGGATGCAACTCTGTGCGGCAGGGGAGAGATGCCAATTGGCTGATAAGCCCATTTCCTTGCCCTGTTAAGGCAGGCCTGCCAATGTTTGGGCTGAGTTTAAAATTCAGCCACAAGGCCATTAGTAGCACAGTCACTCTGCTACTATAGGCCAATAAAATCCGTACAATCTTCAAAATATCATGCTTTGTAGCCCTCACACTATAGAGTCTATGGCTAGTCTTACCTTCTCATGCACTTCAATACTCAGGGCACATTTCACAAAATCAAAAAATCACACAAATGCCTCGGCGACATGCTTGTAGTCCTTTGCACCTGGTAAATGATCTCTAAGAATGCAATTGTATGCCTATAAGCACCTGAGACCTGCTATTTATAGCACCTTTGTGTCCTGTAGTATACAGCACAATTGCTGCTGTTTCTGGTATATGGCTCCACCTTTGTAGATGCAGAGGCACATGTGAGCTTTTGTGGTTTGCATTCTGCACCTTTGCTAGCCATTGTATATGCATAGTGTTCACATTGAATATCCTCTGAATGAAGGGCTTCAGGAGGGTATAGTATGCTTGTATCATTTGTTACTGATGTGTACTTTGAAGGCTTGTAATGAATCAGGCTACATTGTGCAATAAGCACCCGTGCCACGCAAGGTTCATTTGTTGACCTGTCAACAAGTCATCTTGCAGTTTAATCTCCCAGACTCTGTTGCAAACTGCTGCAAAAAGTAATTGTCCTTAATAGGATTCACCATTCTCAGCCCAGCGACAAGTTTAATTGAATCCAAAAAACCTCGAAATATTCATGCTAGTAGTCCTCATACTATAGACTCTATAATGGGTATCAGTTTGCTGTAGTGTCCATTACTCATGTCACAATATGCAAAACAGAAAATGCACAAGTTGTCATGGTTTTCTTTACTTTGTGCACAGGATTCAAATAAATAACACAGCATATCCACATTTTTAGACCCACTGGATAGTGAAGTTGTATCATTGCTAGACTGCTGAATAAAAATGCAAAACTGGGATACTGGATCCAGGGCAGCTTTCATCAGACATATAGTCTATAAGATTATTTAGACAGTAGCTATGCAGGACAGTGATGACACTCCCTTAGTGTACTGCTACTTTGGTCAAAACTGCCCTTTGAGTGTTGCTGCTCTTCCATGGCCTTGATAAAATCAAAAATACCCCAAAAGTCCACAATGGTATGTGTCATATCATAGATGTGATCTTCGGTATCACTTTACCATGTAGCTCACTAATGAGGGCCCCATTTGCACATCAAGCACAGAGAATTCCGACTAAATTTGGTTTCTCTCCCACTTATCTGATTCATATAACCATATATCATACTCACAGACATTCCATCAAAGTATCTGGCTACTATATGGGGCATAAGGATTTCCCTGTGAGTTGGTGGTTTGCTAGTTGATCTGAGCTCAATAATCATCACAAAATTAGGGCTTGACAATCTTTGTGGTGTTGCTTCACAACAGTGATAGCTTCTGTGCAAGTCATAAGACTGCATTTGGGTTTGCAGCCCAATCCAATATTCAAGATGGCTACTACAGTGCTGCTCATGTGATTTCTGGTAAAATATTGGTTGAAATAACTGACAATGGCTATATAGTACTGTACCCATATTGACAAGTCAAACCTTGTCAACAACTTCATGCTGCCCACATTTTTTGTTGTGGCAACACCTCTATGTAGCATCCAATGAAAACCATTGAGTGTTCACTGACTTCAATACAGGGATTCCAGCAGCTATCTGTGTTGTACCAGGCAAAATGAAGCATACTTACATTTTGGATCAATACTATATAGGTACTCCCACCAGAATACATCTGCACATTCCTATTCTGTCCAACCTATGCCTATATAACCACATACAGGGTCACTCAGCATTGTGTGCTTTATGCCAATGTGCATGCCATCACTCAAAATCAAAAAGAAATTAATGGGTAGAGATTCAATGAGAACACTGGCTCAATAGGGGAAGTCATAAATACATGTTCCTGAGGCAGATGGCCTTGGAGATCATTGAAGAAGACCACATTGTTTTTTCATTAGCAAGTGGCTACATCTGTTGGATGTTTTTAATGTGTATTCTATATCTGTCTATCTTTTTGTTGAGCTCGAATTTATTCCGCATTTCTGCGGATTATTCTGAGCTCCATTGCCCTGTTCAAGTCATAATATGCGTCCTGGTGTGTTCTCCTTTATTCTACATGGACGCCATTACTGTACCGTGCATACTATATTTTTTCCGACCTCTTTCCCTTCAGTCTACCATTTTCTATAATGTTTGACACTTCTGGGATTTCAACCCTTGCACTCATGAGCTGTTCACTTGTTTGTTGATTTCGACTTTGTGGCTGTTCTACTATACAGATGTGGCTGTATTACATAACACAGGCCGTAGACAGTCCGCCTCGTCGAGCTCTAAGTCCCTAAGACTTTACAGAGCTCGACTTAGGTGTGTATCTTTGCCTCTTTTAATATAAAGACTTTACAGAGCTCGACTTAGGCCTTTGGAATCGCTCTGAGGCGCACTGCAGCCAACACTTTTCTGTCAGAAATTCACTTGTCATCATTGTATGCTTTCATTTTACTATTACCAAGATATTTGGACACTGACATTTCAATGCTTTGAAGCACTTAACAATGCATACTATCTCGACTATTAGTGTGACTGTTTCCCAATTTCTGTTGTGTTCCTGCTCATTCCAGTTGTGATAAGATCCTTCAGTACTGATATAATTGCTGTTGTATGTTTGGTTAGTGATGATAATACTAATCAATTACTAAGTTATAATGGTAGACTATATTCTGGTAACCATGTCAAGCATTATCAGGGTTTTCACAACATCTTACCACTTTGAATAGCTCAAAGAGATCTATTTCACTGAGAATTGACAGGGTGATTAACTCTGTGATCAGATGTCTAAAATCGAAGCAGAGATATGACAGATGGGAACTCAAACAGGGCAGAGAATGTAAGAAAATAGGTTCATGTACATCATCACTCACACTTGGCAGTTCTCTTATGACATCTGTTTGAACATCAATGGTTGATCATAACATACATATATGAAAGCCATCAATTTTCTGGTTGTACTGTAGCAATCAGTGACTGATAAACACATCATAAGGCAACCTCCCTGTGCTCTAGATATGTCAGGCACACACCTGAATAATGAAATCACATGCCTGAGCCCAAGGGGCATTCATATGCAACTTAACTGTTCTGATACCACATTGGCATGCCTATGCACCCTCTAAAATGTGATTTTACATGTGACACCATCATAACTGTTCATGACACCAATCAGCAATAGCATCTGCTGAAATGGAGTGACTACTTGCAATGAATGCTGCTAGATATATGACTGACTCACTTGTGCATTCATTACAATCATGTAATTCATTTTGGATAATACTTGTCAGCTACCATGCACCCAACAGCATCACAGGCACAGATTATAAAATGGACTGAGGACCAAAATCGTGCAATAATCAAAACAGAGGTTAGAGAACATATAATCAGTGAGGAGTGAGAAATGATTACCAAAGCAATGTTCTAGCCATAGGCAAGGCATTTGAACTCACAATTCTATGAACCCATGCAGATTAAATGGTGGATGATGAGCTCAATAGTTGTTGGTACTACCATGTCTGTAGGGAAGCCTGGATATCCAAATTGAATCATTGTGAAAAAGAATAGTGGGGTTATCAAGGCATGCACAAGTCAGAATTTAGAGTGGGAGATATGTAAGATTGAATGTCTGGAGCTAAGGAGGTAGTATTACAGATGTCACAGTACTAGACATGTTGCCTGCTTGCCTCTGATATTTGAAACTAAAGGGATTGTATTGCCAGACATGGCCCACTCCCCAGCAAGCTGAATTGGAGGTCTCTTGACTGTGTGCAACAACATGCAGTTGATGGTTGAACACCTCCAACTGAGTGTCCATTGACTTGTGCTGTGAGTGGGGCACTGCCAGTCTGAGCTTTCTGCACCTCCACCTTGACCTTTCCTTTCTTTGCTTTCAAATCTGCCTTTTCCTTGGCTGCTTGCATGGTAGTGTTGCACTTGACTCAACCTTCAGGTGTCAAGGACTTTCTCCACTCAAGGCACTTGAGATTGCATTGTGCAAGTGGGACGTGAGAGGGAAGTAGATGTGAGGTCAAAGACCGGAGTTTGGAGATCTGGAGATAGAGTCAAAAGGAGTTGGAGAAGACAAGAATGAGCAAGAAGAAGAGAGGGGTTGACAGAGACAGAGTTGTGCAAAACGGACAGAGTCCGGAGTTCAGATTGAAGTGTGTTGTGTGAATGAGTATGATGAGATATTCAAACTGAGGTACAAGTATATTACAGCTTGGGCTTCTATATGGAGTAAGCTAACTGTGAGTCGTAAACAATAAGAGTCCATAGCATGTGGAACATAACAATAATGGAGTCTGGAGTTAGTGGAACTCCAAGGTGAGCACATGGAGTTGAACATTAACTATTGTATCATAGGAAGGTGAGCACATGATACGTAATTATCCTGAGGTGAAACATGAAAGAGAAGATAAATGAAGTACATACACAATAAGACCGGAGTTTGGACATGGAGAAACAGAACCGGAGATTGGAGGACTGTAGTTGCAAGACTTGGTGGCACGGATGTGACAGTCTCCCAAATTATATGTGTTGCTAGCTGTTTACCATTCTTATGGCCTGCTAGATAGCACTTCTTGGCCCACTTTGCAATTTGGGCCAAAACTGTGACACTGCTCCATTTGTCAAGGACATGCATGTAAGTCATGGTGTGCTAGACCACTCTGGGTTAGAGACCAGGTCACCTAATCATGGTTGCAGTGAGCAAGGCAAATAATAATCTGAGCACAGACAATTACCTGGAAGACTATATCATGAGAAACAAAGGCAATCATAAAACTCTGGAATTCAGAAGTCAGGCCAATCCAAAAGCTGTGCATGTAAAAGCTGCAAATTGGTGTTATTTGATATCACCATTTTGATGAGCAGATGAACATGTAATTGATTGAAGGCACCCACCTTGTCACCATCACCATGATGCAATGTTTCTTTGAGAACCTCCCGATATGTGCAGTGGTAAGTCTGGATTGACATGTGCATAATGTCTTTGCCCATATCAATCTTTGGTCAATATCTCGCTCATCTCTGCACTGTTTTACCTTCTGCTTTGCTCAACCCGTCCCTCCCCATATCGCCCTTCGTATTGTCACCATGGCGCCGTCCCCTGCTACCTTCCCAAGCTCACCAATCGCAACTACCAGCAATGGAGGCTCGACATGGAGGCCAGACTTCGAACTCTTGCAGCTCTTCGCATTGTAAGGGGCTCAAAAACCAGGCCCTCCGAGGGTTTACTCCACCTCTGGACGCCTGAGAATGTCAAGACCTGCGCAATTTCGAGAACAGGAGGGACCTGGCAGCTGGGGAGATCTGGGGGTTTGTGGAGAGGGAGCAGCAGATGCGGTCCGAGATGATCCTGAGGCGATGTGGGTGAAGCTGGAGTCTGTGCACATGCAGAAACGACCTGGTACACGTTTTAACGCCTACAACGCGCTCCTGAGCCTCTCCAAGGCCAAGGACGAGTCCCTTTCAATGCTTTTGATGCGAGCTTTGCAGCTCAAGTCCTATATGAAGGCCCTTCGTCCCCAGGACTTCGACATTGCCAAGCTCGACGATGAGCTTGTCCTCATGGCCTCAATTTGTTGGCTGCAGTGTGCCTCAGAGCGACTCCAAAGGCCTAAGTTGAGCTCTGTAAAGTCTTTATATTAAAAGAGGCAAAGATACACACCTAAGTCGAGCTCTGTAAAGTCTTAGGGACTTAGAGCTCGACGAGGCGAACTGTCTACGGCCTGTGTTACGTAATACAGCCACATCTGTATAGTAGAACAGCCACAAAGTCGAAATCAACAAACAAGTGAAAAGCGAGTGAGTGCAATGGTTCAAATCCCAGAAGTGTCAAAAATTATAGAAAATGGTAGACTGAAGGGAAAGAGGTCGGAAAAATATAGTATGCACGGTACAGTAATGGTGTCCATGTAAAATAAAGGAGAACACATCAGGACACATATTATGACTTGGACAGGGCAATGGAGCTCAGAATAATCCGCAGAAATGCGGAATAAATTCGAGCTCAAAACTCCCCCCTGACCTGTCAAGTCCCCAGCCCAAGCATCTTTACCATCTCCAGCACCTTCGGCTTAGCCAGCAACTTCATCAGGATGTCAGCAGGCATGTCAGAAGTGCGGAGGTGCATAATCTCAATCCGGCCCTTGGCTACTTCGTCCCTGAGCCAGTAGAAGCACAAATCGAGGTGCTTCATGCGTCCATGGTGCTCCGGATTTTTCGCAACAGAAAGCGCGGAGAGATTGTCAATACAAAGCTTGGAGGCAAGGGAGACATCGAAACCAAGCTCTGTGAGCAGATTGAAGCCAGAGAATTTACTGGCCTGCAGAGACCGCTGCAACGAACTCTGCCTCCGTCGTAGACAGCGCCACAATCGTCTGAAGACGGCTCAACCAAGAAATTGCACCTCTACCCATTTTAATGACGTGTCCAGAGGTGGATTGACCAGTGTCAGGGCAGCCAGCATGGTCAGCGTCGGTGTAGGAGGCGAAAAGCTCGGAATCGGATGCAGGGGAGTAGGTGAGCTTGTAGTCCAGGGTGCCCTTGATGTACTTGCTGGGGAGAGGGCCATTACTGGCAGTACGATCCCTTCGGTGTCAGTTCACATTGTTTTCTGCTGTAGTTCACCGGGTAGGGACACTAACAAGCTATCACAGTGTTTGCTGGGGGTTGCTGTATTGATGATAGTAGATACTGTCAGTAATGATTAACACAGTATGACAGAATGAGTTGCTTCACAGTATATTGTGTGAGATTGGGGTATGTTGTATTAGCACCCACTGTTTGGGCCACTCTTCCATTGGAAAGTTGCTTATTGAGTGTCTTGTTGAGCTTACTGACTGCTGGTATATCACCACTGATTCATTTGTTGAGCTCGAATTTATTCCGCATTTCTGCGGATTATTCTGAGCTCCATTGCCCTGTCCAAGTCATAATACACGTCCTGGTGTGTTCTCCTTTATTCTACATGGACGCCATTACTGTACCGTGCATACTATATTTTTCTCGACCTCTTTCCCTTCAGTCTACCATTTTCTATAATGTTTGACACTTCTGGGATTTGAACCATTGCACTCATGAGCTGTTCACTTGTTTGTTGATTTCGACTTTGTGGCTGTTCTACTATACAGATGTGGCTGTATTACATAACACAGGCCGTAGACAGTCCGCCTCATCGAGCTCTAAGTCCCTAAGACTTTACAGAGCTCAACTTAGGTGTGTATCTTCGCTTTCTTGAATATAAAGACTTTACAGAGCTCGACTTAGGCCTTTGGAATCGCTCTGAGGTGCACTGCAGTCAACATCATTGGATGACATTCTTGCACCTATTGTAATCTACGCGTACTCGGGGAATTCAATTGGTGCTACATTGGGAATGGGGACTTCATCTTCGTAGTATGACCGCTGCCCATTTCCTGCGATTATTTCCAGCTGCACCAGTCGGCATGCACGCGACATATTAAACTGTACGCTGCACAAGAGGCGGCGTCCGTCACGGTTGATGTAACGGCATGAGAATTCTACCCCTCCAGCATAGGTGACTATGCGTTCGTAGTAGGTAGAACTGTTGTGGCAATCAAATTATGTGAATTAGTTGGAATGATTAATGATATCTAAACTCACTAGGTGCGTGACCAAGGCACATTGGGTTCAGTGGCAGCGGCAAGGTGCTGGGCATCGAGAGCGGCTTGAGAGCGCAGAGTGTGAATGCCCAAGGGATGGGCAAAACTTGCTTCCACTTGGTGTACCTGTTCAACTATGACGTCCAGATACTGCTCAGTGCCAATAGAGGGATCCATACTCAAATAGTAAGGCTGAACTGATGATGAGTGGGTTGTGGTTTGGAGTGAGATAAAATTTACTGAACGCGCGGCCTTACTTCCCCAGCGTCTAATTTTGAACTCCTATTTTTAGGCTTTAATCTATCTGTAGTGGTGCAAGCACAGATCCCCAACTCCTCTTGGGAAACTCAGACTGCATAAGGTTCTAACAATAAGGCCTTAGTACTAGGAAACAGTCTATTAGAACAATACCACTATGCACCACATAAAATATTGTGGTACTGAGCCAGCATCACTGTCATTCAATATTGTCGATGCCGAACAACTCATGGGGTTTAAACTCCCCAAACCGTCAGCGGGTCACCTGGAGACGGCTTTGCCGGCTGCCAGAACCAACGCCTCCCTAGGAGGCGTAACGCTCCACCAAAAAAAAAAAAAAAAAAAAAAATATTGTCGATGCCTACTGTTGGAACATACGGCCGAGCACGTGCCCAAATGCCAACGCGCTGACATGTTGCGATATGGCACAATGTTACTGTACCCGCCGCCGCCCCTTAATGTACCCTCCCCATCGATGATACCCCATACATAGGTCTGTGACTGCCTGTATTTACTCTTTGCGTGTTTGCCTCCCCGCCCCGAGGACGAGACAAACTGCTTCGATTCTATTGTGTTCCCGCTGATCTTCTTGCTTGTTCTCACGTGATGCGACCTCACTTCAACACCTACTTACTAGTGAGACTCACTTGGATGCCGCCCGGGCATCTCGGGGCCTCTAAGGCAGCCTCTGTTGAAGTAAGCGGTGGTGGGGCATGGGAACGAGCAGGTGGAACAAGTAAGCAGCGGGAATCAATAGGTACTGGAGCGGTTTGTCTTGTCCTCGGGGCGGGGAGGCAAACACACAAGGGTAAAATACACAAGGATTGTGAGTAATATACGAGTCCGTAATTGATGGGGAAGGTACATTAAGGGGAATGGTGGGTACAGTAGCATCACACCGTGATGCGGCGTGTTGGTGCATTGGTATTCGGGCACGCACTCAGCCATATGTTCCAACAGCATCCACTTCGACCTGAACTGTCTTAGTCTATGTTACACCACACCCAATCCTTTGTTGAAAAGAAACTGGAGACGCAACTTCATAACACACTTTTATACATACTTGCAGAGACATTGCATTGAGATCCAGCCAACGGAGCCGGGATGGAGTGGAACTACCTGCTATATGTGGAAAGCACATGTGCTTGGTGCCGGGACTGCACCTCGTTATGGTAAGAGTTGCTCCTGTTATGGACAGTTCTCCCACGTGTATGGCGGCATGCTACGGCTTGTTGATGTTTCATCTTGAGAAAGCCCTATTCCCTTTGGGAGGAGTCGGGGATCCATTTATGGTGCTTGTCCCCTTCTATACATTGATAAGTACTCATTCCTCATTCATATTCTTCATGCGTGTTGGGTTGATAGTTGTTCTGGCTGACAAATATAGGTTGTGTGCATGATGTTACAATAATATTGGGGCGAGGGAATGTAATATTTGCGACGAAAGGGGGGGTACGATAGCGTAGGACAGCAAAAATTCTATGATTCTGACGACTGGGATATGCTCAATACATTCCCGAACGCTCCTCCACCCGCAAGCACGCTTCGTGTGTGGCCAGCATCATGTCCACACCCTGCTCCCACAAGTCGTCGTCCCATCCAAGGAGACTTGAATCCTTGGGATAGTCGTATGGCCGATAGTAGAAATAATCGGTCCACACTTGACCGAAGTAGTCCGCGTACGCGGACATGTACTCGTACGCGCCATTTGGGAGGCGGACCACCCAGGTCTTGCACAGACCGCTGCTTGAACGTGTCAGCAGCTAAGGGTGCTATGGGTAATAGATCTTTACTAGGTCTTGCAGATATGTGCAGTGTTTGCGACTCTGCCATCAACCTTCTTCCACTATTGATGCACGCTCAGAGGCCAATCGAGGGCAACTTGTGGTCCCTGTGGCATCAGGGAGATTGAGCAAGAGCGGGTGCCGTCGTCGCAAGGTAGAGGAATGCCGCCTGACCGAGTCAAAGGCTGGGAGGGACAGGCGGCGGCTGCGGACTGGGCACCACTGCATTGTGGACGTCAAAGTTAGGGATGTTCAGATAGCAGTGGCGGGGGTTTTTAAATAGTGATGTGCTTCTTTTACATGCGCTGAATGCTTCCGTTGGAACACGTGTATCAATTCCGATCATTCTGGCAGTCAGCGTCTATTGGTACAGTCTAGAACGAGCCATTGTCCAACTGCCAGTTGTACCCCCCTCTGCTGGTACCGTAACTGAAACACTGTTCGTACTGGAACTCTGACCTTCCCCACGGAGTGACCACCACCAATTGCCAGGTGACCATGGTCGCCATGAGATTGAGTTGGATGCTTGCGCGCATCTCGCGGTTGGCACATCGGTCGTAGTGCGCCCACGTGAACTCCACTCCATCGGGCAGGACGTGGATCCATTCTTTGTAGAATGTCCTAGATTGTGCTAAGTCATTTTGGGAGCCAGCTGAGAAATCACCTAAGCCTACATGGTCTGGTGAAATGGATTGTCGGCTTGTCCATAGTCCTCGACGTAGGTGATTGCATCATGCTGACAATTTGTCCAGATCTCTAGCCCAACCATCCCGATCGGCATCTCCCGGGACACGACTCCCTCAAATGGTTCGATGATGTGGATGACCAGTTGCATAGTCATGGTCAGCTTGGGTGCTAGGAGAATATAGGGCATGGTGCGTGGTATAAGAGGCGGGATAGGTAGGGCTGAGTTGTGGCACAGAGTAAGGTCGTGAGGGACAGGTCGCGGTTGGGGCATGCGTGAGTATAAATATACAGTGATAGGCCCTGCATCTGTCTGCAGAGCCGCTAACACATGTTGGGATGACAGCTAGGGCCTTAGCTTCACGAAGCTTCGCAGGCTGTAAGTCTTAAGCGCTGTGTGAATTGAGGAACTTGAAGTCCGATAACAATGGAACGTGTTTGCAGTCTGGCTGGGTCGGCAGATTTGATCACCGATCCGTGTCTTGATATGCATTAATAGGTACTCCTTCCTCATTCATACTCTTCATCACTATTGCAATTGTACTATCCAAGGCCGGAGTCTAGGCTGTTTCCAAAATCACTACACTGGGACCCACAAGAAAGCGCAAGTGAATCTGAAGAATCAGATTCAAGATCCGAATCAAGCGGAATTGATGAATGGGTGTAAGATTCGCAGAAGTTTCCCTTCAATGCTAATCAAAATGCACTCACACGCTGTCACACATGGCACATCACATATACCTGGGGATTCAGGTCAACACCCACCATCACACCCCAATACCTCACACGCTACCACAATGAGCTCAGAATCGTCCACTGTGTCTTATGTTCCCACCCCGTACGTTCCTCCTGGCCACTGGCCTCACATCACTGGAATCTTCCATAACCACGACCACACAATCCTTAACCCTGACTTCTTCTCTGAGGTCCCTATCGAGTACCTTGTGCTTGCGCGGCTTGGGTATGAGACGTGCGACATGCGTCTGTATCCCCACACCTCAGTCCTCATTCTCGACATTGTGCGCGTCAAATTTGCCTCATCAGTCCTCCGGCCATATGGATGGGTCGTCATGGACATCTATGGTCCAGTCCACCTCACGCGGCCGATACACTCTGCATGGCGCGATGTGCTGGCCTTCCAAGGCTGGTGTCTTGACCTCGCCTATCAGGCGGACACCAACAACCGTGCCAACTTCAACCCCTGTATCATATACCTTCCCCGCTCCTGCTTCATGGAGCCGGTTGTTCCACAACCTGCGCGTACCTGGATGTACGTCTGGGAATCAGTCATCAGTTGCTTCAAGTCCATGAGCTGGTACGTTCTTATCATTTCTCCACCCCTCATGGCAACAAGGACATTGCATTCTAAACATGGGGGTGGATGCCCAACTTGCAAAGATCATTGCTAATGGAAAACATGTACCAGCATTTGCAGTCATGATGAAGATACTGTCTTTGACTCAGAGGTTGAGATGGGCAGCATGGGGGAGAGTGGTGAGATGGGTATCTGAGGACCAAATTGCTTTATTTGTATAATTCATGGACTACATAATAGACAATGACTGCAGTTTGGATGATCTTATTTGAGGGAACAAATAAGTGAGTAATATACTTCAGTAATATGAACAATGCTACTGCACTTTTGAGAGATGTTCCATCATGTCCTGACATATAATGCTACTGTCATATTCCTATTTCCCAGTGTACGCAACACACCTGTTGCTGTTGCTTTTAATTGTCCCTCATTTGTACATTTTTACCTGTCTCTCTTCCATCATTGAACCATATTTTGCCATCTGTTGAGATAATGCGGCAGGTGAAATGAAATCCTCCAAAATAAATTACTCCCACCAGACGGTAATCCACTTGGCCTTGTAAAGTGGGCAATGTGAGCTGCTTACTGAGTTTTGTATTGTCTGCTTGGTATACATTGAATGCAATGAAAATGGGTGCTCGCAGAACTGTACATTCATGGATCATAGTTGCATTGCAGACTCTGCATCTGTCAGGCAACCTATGTTTCAAGGCTGCCTTAATCCATTGGGCCATAGTCCGGGTCTCTGATGGACGGCCACGTGCTATTCTAGAATTCCATAGTGTTGCATCCAGTGCCCAGAGCTTGGTACAGGCTGTGATTTCATGTTCAACAACATGACATGATGAACAACGGTCAGATTCATGATAGGTTGGGGCTTGGCTTGCAATAACAACTTTGCAGAGTGCATACAGGTCAGATCTAGCTGGGGCTACAATTGGGAATGACCCTGGGTCCTTTATATGCATGCTGTCTCTCACAGAGTCCAATTCCAGCTCATTGTTTCTGACCTTTTCCAACAACTCTGTGAACCTGGTCAATATTGCATTTTGGCTCTTGATGTCTGGTTCCCATATCATATTTTGCTCCCTGTATATGTTGTGTAATATGCCAAATAGGGTATCAAATGCACAGCTGTATGTCTCATTATTCCAAGTGAAACATACAGGCTCCTCTTGACCAGCAATGTTCATACTGGATGTATGTGTGCGCTTGACTTCTCTTTGCAAGCTCTTATCCTTTGCAGTGTGCTTCCTTTTAGTTCTTGAACCAATATCATTGCTCACAGTAGCAAGCTGAGTAGTTCCCTTTGCAGGGACATCCTTGGCTGTCTGGAGATCATGTTTTGTGAGATTGGTGGGATCTGTATCGGCACTTGACTCTGCAAGGCTGTCTGGGTCTTTTTGCAACTGGGGCTGTTTGTCCTTATTGGCTCGCTTCACCATTTCCCACTGAGACTCCTTACATGGTTTCTCAACATCAAATGGCTGCTTCTTTGACAATTTCAATGCACTATACATGGTCTTGGGCATATACTTGGCACCTTTCATGGTGTGGTATGAATGAATGAGAGCCACAGGGTCACACCCTCAACACTTGGACTTAATGTCCCATCATACTTAAGCTTTGTTATCTCATCCAGCAGCTCAAGCTCTCTGAATTCCTGTCTTAGCCAGCCAGTTACACCACCCATGAACTTGGAGTTGTCAAAACCCTGTACAATAATGGTCCCTTGGTATGTGGATCCACGGGAAAGGCACCTGTACACTGACTGGTGGTTCTTGCAGTTCTGCAAATCAACCACATTATAGGGCCGTGTGCGTCCCTGAGAGCTGAAATCTGTCATGGCAAAATTGGGTATCAATGCTACCTGTTTCCTATGGATTGTTAATGTGCGGTCATTGGGCATCAGACAAGGTATCTTCGTAGACTGTGCAGCAATGGGCACTACATTTTCTGGAAGGCCATCCAACTTCACAGGTGTTGGCGCAGCTGTGAGCTTTACAAATACAACCTCAAGCATTCTCTTATCACCAGTTAGTGGCTTAGATGCCCAGCCAACAACAATGGCTTCTGCACCATTTGTTACATTATGGCTTCTGCACCATTTGTTACATTGCATTCTGTGGCTTCATTTGCCTTGATCATGACAGGTAGTCCTATGCACAGTCACAACTTTCCTGGATGGTTATTAATGTCCTTGTGTGGCAGCATCCAGAGCTGTTCTTGCAGATGAGGATGAATCTTGTCAACCTTGTGCTTCACCTCTGCATTCTTCTTGGATTTATTGTGCCTAGTACCCTCCTCGTCTGGACTGCCATAGTGATCAAGTGAATAGAATGTCTCCAGTGTCTGTCCTGTATCCTTGGCAAATCGTGTCACACCAAGCTCATTGATGCGGTCTCTGTGTGAGTTGTATGATAGAATCATGGACACATTCCGGAAGTTGGCATCATTCAGCTTGGGCTGGCCTTTACCCCGGCCAGCTATACGGCCCGCAGAAAATTGACATCAGTCATGGTGCATGCCTTGTAGCACAGATTCTCTAGAAGTTTCCTGAATTTGGCATCCTCCGAGGTCTGTGATTTTTGTCGGTATGACCACTGTTGTTACTTGATGCCATATGGCTTTGCCTAGAGATGCGTCTTGCTGCAGACTGCTGACCTTGGCTGAGAACAATGAGAGTCCTGAACCCGGTGGCTCAAGCTGGGCAAAATCACCAGCAAAGATCATGTTGTTGCCTCCAAAGGGCTCTCCATCATTATGGAAAATGTGGCACAGACGAGCTGAGATATCATATAAATGATTGCAGTCCACCATGGATATCTCATCTATGAACATGTAGTCCACATTCTTCAGCCTGTCACGCACATTGCACAGAGTACCTGACTTTGCATCCCCATACTTTGAGAAACCTAACATGGAGTGATAGGTTGATCCTGATATAAGTGAGGCAGCAGAACCTGTTGGTGCTATGCATATAAATCTGTATCCCTCATTATGGGAATTGAAGAATGTAATCAATGCCTTGATGACTTGGGATTTGCCTGTTCCAGCCATGCCACCCAAGTAAATCTTCAACTTTCCTGCCTGTGGCTTGGTGGCATGATTAGCAACAATGCGGAATGCCCGTTCTTGCTCGGTATTAAGCTGGAAGTTGTTTATTGTATGATCAATGATGTCCTCATTTGTCTTGTCTGAAGCTTTAAATTTGGCTGACATGCAGTCATAGTCCACTGCTTTGACAGAGTCCACATAGTCTGGTGCTGTAGGATGTGAGCTATTGTTGATCACTGAAGGTTTAGAGGCTGCCTGTTCCTCCCTTGCCCGTAGAATATGCTCTCTCCTCTCTATTAGAATTCCTCTCCATTCAGAGCCAGTCATGGTTCTCAGCGGTGTGAATTGCTCAATATCAATGTATTGTTGTCATCCAGCCAACCACTTGTATGGGCAATGTGTTCAACTTGCTGCATCTGAGCAATTCTCCCTAATGCTCTTTTTCCTAGAACATCCCAGTCTGGGTCATATAGTCTATGGCACCATCATCTCCAGTAAGGCTATTCTGCACAATGTCTGCATAGTCATCAGCATCTGCATCTGTATCAGGCTGATCTTGTTCATCATCATCATATCCAAAGCTGTTGCCCTCAGTCTCCCTCTGCTTAGAGAAATCATCTCTGGAGTCATTGCATTCATACCGTATATGGAAGAAATTCATGATATCCATCTGACAGGAAGTGAACTGGTGTGCAGCAAATGTGTCATCCCAAGATTGCCCAGATTGCTTCAGGCCTGCCTGTACCTGTCCTCCATGGCTTGAACAACATAAACATAACAAGACAATACTCTTCCCTGTTTCCTTTGTCTTTCCTTGGAAGACTGCCACCTACAAAGTTAGGGACCCTTGCACAATGCTCAGGCTGCATGACTGCCATGTATGTCTCATACTGCAGATGGGTTGGAAGAAATTGACTAGGCTCATGGAACTGTTCAGCAGCATACTTCTTTTCATCCTCTTCTGCCTGAAGTGCAGTATCCTTGGTAAGCAACATTTCATCGTCACTATCAGTCTCATATTGTGTGGTGGGTCCACCACCTTGCCGTCTGGGCAAAGGCTTGATGTCCCTGACCTGTTCAGCTTTCACATTTTGTGTCAACTGGGTGACCTTTTCACTGACAGCTCTGAGCTTTGGATCCAGTCATATAGGCTAACATGGTCATATTTTGTAGGCCTGTGGATGTAATCCATCTGCTGGGATATGCCAACAAAACTGTCCTTGCTCTTTCCAATGACCACCTTGACAGGGTTCTGGTCAGGATTATACAATATGTCTTCCTCAGTCCATGCTTTCATCACTTCATAGTTGTAGCTGCGCCAGTAAAACGGTTTGAATATGTGGCTAGTATAATGATCAGGATGGTTGAGTAAATACATACAGGCCATAGGCGCTCCAGTTTCTGTAATAAGCTTATGGGCTCGGATTCTCCTGTCTGTGCCATCCTCCGTGAGGAGTTCTGGGTCTTCAGTGGTGTTTTGGTGATGTAGTCTGTGACATAGGCTGTGATAGCTTTGATGGCAGTCCCTGAGAGCAGACTGGTCACATCACTATTGCATTGCAAGATATATGTCAGTGCTGGGGTGAAGCTATTTAGCCGGGCTTCTCCCTGTTTCATGGGCAATGCTCCACTGTTAGGGTCAAGTATGGTACATGGCCTCACAGGACGAGGGAATCATCTCTTGCAGACCTTGAGCAATTTACCTGTTTTCTGGACCAACCTGCACCTGCAGAGCACTGATGTCTGTTGGATTTGTACAGGATATCATTCACTGCCTGTCTGAATTGAGCCCACCAATTGCTGTCTGAAGAGCATGTGGTACAGCCAGCACAATCTGCCTCATGCTTGACAGATGGTGGTGGTAGTGGCAGAGTCAATGTAGGATCCTGATAGTCCTTGGATTCTTGTGAAGTTTTGATATCCTCCTCAACATTGGCCATAGTTGAGCTCACAAACTCGGCTTGGTGTGTACCCTCAAGATATTCAACCATTTTTTGTTGAAAGTCAGAGTTGGGATCCATGATACGGTCTCTGATTTCTTGTGGTGTGAGTGAATTCACAATCCATAACATGAGATGAAGATGAAGTGTCATGTGTCCTTGCTGTTCCACAGTGCCATAGTATGCTGCAGTTTCACCATATAGCCCAGGATGAGCAGCTCCCACTCCTAAGACATGCTTGATGAAGCAATTAACCTTGGTCACTATCCAGTACTAATTCTGGCTTGTATGTCTCATTTGTGTCAGCAAAATACAGGCAAAGCGGATGTTTTACATCTGCTGGTGCAAATGTAATGAACCATGAGGGTGCTCCAAGATATGAAGTAAGAGCCCATATCTCATTTCTCATGTATTTTCTGTTGGTCAATGAGCCCTGAACTTTATGTGCAACATGGTCAATGTCCTGTATGAGCTGGTAGCAGTCTTTCTCAGCCTGTGTCTCTGGCTTGTAATGATGACCGTCCTTTAGCTTATCTGTCAGGTGTGCAAGCACACTTTCATCAATGGACAGTATTCGTTTGGCAATGTCTGGAAATTTCTGTTGCTCTGCAAGAAGAAATCCTCCTGTTGTACTGTTTTTGATCTGTTCATGATTGAAGGCAACTAGTGGAAAGTATTGCTCAAACTGAAACCGCTTGTCATGATACATCAGCAACTGATGTTTCCTCTCTGCCTCAGATACCTTTGCATATCCACGGGCATTGCCAGGACCACCAAGTCCATATGGAAACAGCCATGGGAACATCTGCGGATACAATTGCGGGTTGGAAAACAAAGACTGCGGCTAGTCTGACTGTCCAATACCTAGTGCCATGTTCTTTTTATTCTTGAAATACTGTAGTGCATATGCACGAAGGGCATTGGTACTCATCTCAGATAATTGCTCACCCACCAGCCCATGAACAACAAATGGACATGGCCCTTCAGTGGTGCCTTCATTGTCATCTGTGTCATTGGCAGCCTTAGCCTCTTCATCCTTTCCGCCATCACCAGGATGATAGTCTACAATGACAGGAGGACTGTCCTCAGAATACATGTTCAAATTCTTGTAAGATATGGTGAGGTCTGCATAGTCTATGTGATTGAGCTTGAGCCATTCCAGAGCATTGGCCACTTTATTGTGTCTCACTAGCAGTGGAGTGCGATGATGTTCCTTGGCCAATGGTTTTGTTGGGCCAATATATATGTATGCAAGCACTTCATCCAGCTCCTCAGGGCTAGGGGGTAATGCATTGTATACCTTTGGCATAGGTATGGTATGGCATACTGCATTGGCTATCATTTTACTCTGCAGAGAGCCCTTGACACGAACAACACATCTGTTATGGTTAACTCGGCTAATGAGAGTGCGCTCAGCCCAAGTCAGGTTCTGCAACTGCACAGGTACCTCCAATCCACAGCCCATTGGCTAGTGCCTGTTGTGGTGCTGTGCCATTGTCCAATGTCATCTTGCAGTTCTGACAAACATGTGAAGACTTTGGGAGAAGAACAGGCCCTTTTAGTTCCTCTACATGATCACATTCTGACTGTCGTTCTTTTCTTGTCACACCTGTGCCATCTGTTTCAAGGACATGCAATTTTATGAGATACTGTTGACAGAGGATACAGCCTTGAAAATGGAGTTCATAAGCCACACACTGCACAGCCAGTTTCTGCATGTTGTAGTGGATGAATGGCTTTGGAGTAATCAGCTATGACTTGCTGTATCAGAAGTGGGCTTGTGTTGGCTGCAGTGTTGGCTGCAGTGCGCCTCAGAGCGATTCCAAAGGCCTAAGTCGAGCTCTGTAAAGTCTTTATATTCAAGAAAGCGAAGATACACACCTAAGTCGAGCTCTGTAAAGTCTTAGGGACTTAGAGCTTGACGAGGCGAACTGTCTACGGCCTGTGTTACGTAATACAGCCACATCTGTATAGTAGAACAGCCACAAAGTCGAAATCAACAAACAAGTGAAAAGCTCGTGAGTGCAATGGTTCAAATCCCAGAAGTGTCAAACATTATAGAAAATGGTAGACTGAAGGGAAAGAGGTCGAGAAAAATATAGTATGCACGGTACAGTAATGGCGTCCATGTAGAATAAAGGAGAACACACCAGGACGTGTATTATGACTTGGACAGGGCAATGGAGCTCAGAATAATCCGCAGAAATGCGGAATAAATTCGAGCTCAACAGGGATGTCGACCTCGTCGAGGGGAGGGCCAAAAGCATTCATGAAGAGCAAGTTACCAGGGAAGCAACATTTGTTTTGACAAAGACAGCGGTCCCAGAATTGCCAAACCTTGGTGCCCTCAGGATAGCCAACAAAAATACACGGTGTGCGGTTGCATCGCCTTGTGATCCTTCACCAACACGTAGGCAAGACAGCCAAAAGTGCGGAAGTGGGAGACATCCGGCTTGCACCCATTGCCTTTCCAGGCAGTCCAGGGCACAGCATCTTGCAGGGACAATGTGGGCATGCGGTTTTGCGTGTGGATGAAGAGACAGCATGGCCCCACAAGAACAGAAGGAGCTTTGACTGAACAAGGAAGGCAGTCCCCACCCTCAGCCATTGTCCTGTTGGCTCAATCTGCAATGCTGTTCTGGTGGGGTTGAGTGCTAAGGTGGCCAAGATCCCGGACCAATATAGTATTGTCCTTACACTGATCCAATTGGTCTTGATTTGGTCATAGCTGGCAAGTCTGGACGAGTCGATCAGCTCACCAGAATGATCTCTGTGATTAGCTGACACTAGCTTTATATGGTAGGTGTAGACTTACACCAAAGAGGTAAGTCCTTGCTGTTAGTCACATGCTGGCACTAGCCACTTGACAGGTTTTGTGAGTTAGACATTTTCAAGTCAGGTGTACCTAACAAATGCTCAAAAGGGCAGTGACCAGTCCTTGACCAAAAGTGGCAGTAATGGCCAAGGACTAATGCCCTGTTGCAGTAGGAGATGTCAGGGACTGGGGTCACTTCAGTGTGTCTGCAGGTCCAACTTTTGACCTGCCGATGTGCCAAAGTGGATATGTGACATAGGTGCTTAATAAACAATGTAACCTTCAATCTATACAGACCTTCACTATGCAACGACTAACACAATGGCTAGTTAAGCCACAAATTGCAAAATAAAACAACCTGCATGTGCCTCTGCATCTATGAAGATGCATTTGTGTTCCTTAGATCTGCCCTGTCTTGACAGGGGCTTGTGCCCACATGGTTGACAGGTTATACATGAACCTATGGATACAATAGACAGCAAGACACCTCACTGAATATGTTGCTTGTAGTAGGCTGCCTGCCTAAAGAGGAACCTGTTTATGCTAAGGGAGTGCCAATGCTATCTTGCATAGATCCTATCCAAGGAATCTTATGAACTGGATGTCTGATAAAACAATCCCTGATCTAATGTTACAGTTTTGTATCTTTGTTCAGCAGTCTAGCAACAGTGCAACTCTGTCATATAGTAGTTTGAAGAATGTGGGTATGCTGTGTCATGTACTTGGGTCATGTACATGATGTGAAAAAAACCATTACAACATACAAGGCAGTTGTGCATTCCTGTGTTGCAAATTGTGACATCAGTAATGAACACTACAACAAACCAATCTCCGCTGTCTATAGTATGAGGGTTATAAGCCAGCATAGTTGGAGGATTTCAAGGATTTGATCAGCCTATAGTAACAGTGCTGCTAATGGCCTTGTGGGTGAATCTCGAAACTCAGCCCACATTCTGGCAGCCTACCTTAACAGGGCAAGGAAATAAGCCTATCAGCCAATTGGCATCTCTGCCTGCTGCACAGATTTGCATTCACCCAGAAATTTCAGGTGCCATGCAACTCTGCACAGCACACAGGTGCTTAATGTGCACTTAGTAAGCAATGTAAGCATGTTACTTATGTGACAGTGGTTTGTATGGACCCAAAGAAATGCAGAGCTATCAGTGAATGTTTTCAAAGACATAGACAATGAATCTATATTATGTTTCACCTTCAATAGATTTACATGGTGTTGCTCACCTATCATCAGCCTGGTGCTTACAGAAGCAATGCATCAGGCTCTAGTCACTGTTTGTGTAGCACACATACTCCCACAGATGTTAAGCATGGATCATACATGTAGTGTTTAGTCAGAGGGGCACTAAATAAGGTCTCAGCAGTAGATGCAACAGTATGCATACTAGTGATCAAATTGCCCAATATTGCTTATCTCTTCTGTATTACAGGAGGAACTGACATGTAAGAAGTTATTTAACTGCATGAGTACACTGTCCTAATGAATCAGTGAGTATTTGGAGCAGAATCAGGCACTTTGACTTGTGCAGAGGCATGTGTGAAATCTTTTGTTTTGCATTTGTTGGCCCAATCAGCCAATGTAAGTGCTCAGGAATATTTCTGTATAATCTTTGAAGGGCTATCAGATGTGTATGCCTGACTCCTCCCAAAGGGAGGGCTCTGTTGACATGATCTGTGTCAAATCTTCTGCAAGCAATGCAATGTGTAGGTATTGCATCCTGATTCAGACATTTTATGACCATACATGGCAATATTAGTAAGCTAATAATCCCTGACTCCTCCCAAAGAGAGCCTACATGAAATATTGAGTAGCTAGAGACTGCTAGACGTAGCTAGTTCTGCTTGGTTCAATGCCCATGTCTAATGGTGCAGAATGACCTAGACCATTCTAACTTACAATGATTATATGGTGCTGCTGAAGCAGCAGTGTCCCACCAAGGAGTTGGGGATTGGCGCTTGCACTGCTACATTCCATGTTTACTTACTGATTGACTCTATAGGCAGTCTACAAAGGCTAGGTAAAGTGGTCAGTCACATGATGAAAGTGACCAGTTGCCATATTGGGGTGCAACTGGAAGGTGTTTCATGAACCCTCACCCCAGGACATAGGAGCCAGCCACAGCATTTATTTGTCTCTGTTGGTGCAAGTTGCTTTGTCTGGGAGTTTCACTAATGGGACATCAGTGTCAGTTACTTACATCTGCTTATCTGGGCTACAATATGTCATGTACACTGTGGGAGCCTCCTGCCATAGAAGAAGATCAACTGTAAGGCATTTAAGAACAATTCCTTCATACCTTAGGGATTGTAAAATTAGAAAAGAAATCTTTGCCCACATGTGCCTGAAGAGGCTTTGGGAGGTTGAGAAGGCACTCTGGCTCTCTCAGGATACCTGCAAATCTACCTAGAGCTGCTCACACAGCCGTATCCAGAATACCACTAATAGGTCATGGAGAATCCTGCACTCATGCAACAGTGGCAATTGCACATCAAGACAGGCAAGAGGGCAGACAAGTGGCACAAGGGGCACCAACTCATGCTTGAAGAGCTTTTGCAGCTTGCCCTTGTAGTGAAGGAGGATAGAAGTTAGGTGAGATTGTTATTGTAGCCATGTGGAACTTCTGCAATTACGATCCCTGAGGTACAAAGGTATCATTCTTATGACCGGAGGGGATGAAACACCTTACAGTTGATCTCCTTCTAAGGCAGGAGGCTCCCACAGTGCACATGACACATTGGACCCCAGATAAACAGGGGTTGATAACTGATACCGATGTCCCATTAGCTGGGCTTGAAATTTCAAACTCCCAGATGACGCAACTTGCACCAACAGAGATAAATAAATGCTCTGGCTGGCTGCTCTGTCCTGAGGTGAGGGTCCATGAAATGCCTTCCAGTTGCACCCCAATATGGCAACTAGTTGCTTTCATCATGTGACTTACTGGCTGGCTGACCACTGTGGCTAGCGCTTATAGAGTCAATTAGTAAGTTACCATAGTAGACATAGTATACCCATCTGATAGCCCTTCATTCACAGAGTATACAGTGGTGTTCCTGAGCACTTACAGTGGCTGGTTGGGCTGGAAAGTGCAAAACAAAAAAATCCACATGTGCCTCTGCATAAGTCAAAGCACCTTTTTCTGCTCCAGATACTCACTGAATCATCAGGACAGTGACCTCATGCAGTTGAATGACTTTGTATGTGTCAGTTGCTTCTGTAATGCAGCGACAATGAGCAATATTGGGCAATTTGACCAGTGGTATGCATATCATTGCTTGTGTATCATGTTTATCACTGAGCTGTGTCATTTATAATGACCAACTGTACCTGTTTAGTGTCCTACTGTATTGTCAGAATTTTACACATTTTCACAAGCTCATAACAAGCCCATTTGCCCTCTTGTATCAGCTGTGTATCAGCTGTGATTTCCTTATTGGGCAGGTTGCCTACTACATATGGCAATACACAGAACAGCATGCTTATAGATGCCATCTGGGGCCCTCTGACCAAACACTGCATGTATGATACATGCTCAACATCTATGGGAGTATGTGTGCTACACAGACACTGACTAGAGCCTAATGTATTGCTTCTGTAAGCACTGGGCTGATGATACAGCAACCAATGTAGATGCATTGATAGTGTAACATGAAATAGAGTCTTCCTTCTCAATTGGAGCCTTGCAATTCATTGTCTATGTTTTTGAGAATATTTGCTGATTTCTCCGCATTTGTTTAGATCTGTACAAGCTAGTTTAAGAGAAGTAAACGGCTTACATCGCTTACGAAGCGCCTATTAAGTGCCCATGTGCCGTTCGGAGTTGCATCCACCTGGAATTTCCCGGTGGATGCAACTCTGTGCGGCAGGGGAGAGATGCCAATTGGCTGATAAGCCCATTTCCTTGCCCTGTTAAGGCAGGCCTGCCAATGTTTGGGCTGAGTTTAAAATTCAGCCACAAGGCCATTAGTAGCACAGTCACTCTGCTACTATAGGCCAATAAAATCCGTACAATCTTCAAAATATCATGCTTTGTAGCCCTCACACTATAGAGTCTATGGCTAGTCTTACCTTCTCATGCACTTCAATACTCAGGGCACATTTCACAAAATCAAAAAATCACACAAATGCCTCGGCGACATGCTTGTAGTCCTTTGCACCTGGTAAATGATCTCTAAGAATGCAATTGTATGCCTATAAGCACCTGAGACCTGCTATTTATAGCACCTTTGTGTCCTGTAGTATACAGCACAATTGCTGCTGTTTCTGGTATATGGCTCCACCTTTGTAGATGCAGAGGCACATGTGAGCTTTTGTGGTTTGCATTCTGCACCTTTGCTAGCCATTGTATATGCATAGTGTTCACATTGAATATCCTCTGAATGAAGGGCTTCAGGAGGGTATAGTATGCTTGTATCATTTGTTACTGATGTGTACTTTGAAGGCTTGTAATGAATCAGGCTACATTGTGCAATAAGCACCCGTGCCACGCAAGGTTCATTTGTTGACCTGTCAACAAGTCATCTTGCAGTTTAATCTCCCAGACTCTGTTGCAAACTGCTGCAAAAAGTAATTGTCCTTAATAGGATTCACCATTCTCAGCCCAGCGACAAGTTTAATTGAATCCAAAAAACCTCGAAATATTCATGCTAGTAGTCCTCATACTATAGACTCTATAATGGGTATCAGTTTGCTGTAGTGTCCATTACTCATGTCACAATATGCAAAACAGAAAATGCACAAGTTGTCATGGTTTTCTTTACTTTGTGCACAGGATTCAAATAAATAACACAGCATATCCACATTTTTAGACCCACTGGATAGGGAAGTTGTATCATTGCTAGACTGCTAAATAAAAATGCAAAACTGGGAGATTGGATCCAGGGCAACTTTCATCAGACATACAGTTCATAAGGTTCCTTAGATAATATCTATGCAGGATAGCAATGACACTCCCTTAGCATACTGCTACTTTTGGTCAAAACTGCCCTTTTGAGTGTTACTGCTCTTCCATGGCCTTGATAAAATCAAAAATACCCCAAAAATCCACAATGATATGTGTCATATCATAGATGTGATCTTCGGTATCACTTTACCATGTAGCTCACTAATGAGGGCCCCATTTGCACATCAAGCACAGAGAATTCCGACTAAATTTGGTTTCTCTCCCACTTATCTGATTCATATAACCATATATCATACTCACAGACATTCCATCAAAGTATCTGGCTACTATATGGGGCATAAGGATTTCCCTGTGAGTTGGTGGTTTGCTAGTTGATCTGAGCTCAATAATCATCACAAAATTAGGGCTTGACAATCTTTGTGGTGTTGCTTCACAACAGTGATAGCTTCTGTGCAAGTCATAAGACTGCATTTGGGTTTGCAGCCCAATCCAATATTCAAGATGGCTACTACAGTGCTGCTCATGTGATTTCTGGTAAAATATTGGTTGAAATAACTGACAATGGCTATATAGTACTGTACCCATATTGACAAGTCAAACCTTGTCAACAACTTCATGCTGCCCACATTTTTTGTTGTGGCAACACCTCTATGTAGCATCCAATGAAAACCATTGAGTGTTCACTGACTTCAATACAGGGATTCCAGCAGCTATCTGTGTTGTACCAGGCAAAATGAAGCATACTTACATTTTGGATCAATACTATATAGGTACTCCCACCAGAATACATCTGCACATTCCTATTCTGTCCAACCTATGCCTATATAACCACATACAGGGTCACTCAGCATTGTGTGCTTTATGCCAATGTGCATGCCATCACTCAAAATCAAAAAGAAATTAATGGGTAGAGATTCAATGAGAACACTGGCTCAATAGGGGAAGTCATAAATACATGTTCCTGAGGCAGATGGCCTTGGAGATCATTGAAGGAAACCACATTGTTTTATCATTAGCAAGCGGCTGTAACCCGCCTCCCTGCAGTTACTACGATACTTCACTACGGACACTTACCTTACACAAATGTCACGGTTCCGCACATACCTGTCACCATTCCTTCACGTTACATAAGTGATTCCCTTCATGTTTGGATTCACACTGTCATTGTCCTTTAGTCTCTACTATTGCGCAATGAAGGTATGTACTTCAGTACACCGCAATATGCTTGTACTTATGAATCTCTACTATTGCGCAACGAAGACACTCAGTTCCTGTTCTTGTTCTGAGTGATTACCCGGTGTTAGGGATAGAGGCTTGATAGCCTCAGAGCGCACAGAAACTCATTAGAAGTGTTTACTTACCGAGTGGCTGCATCAGTGAAGGTTTGTTATGTGCTTATCTTACTCTCCTTATCTTGCCTTTATTCCACTGAATGGACATCAATGTAGCACTTTCATTGTTTTATTACCGAGGTATCAATTACTGATGTTTTGATGATTTAGAAGCACATGTTACTGTATCTACTAAACGGACTATTACCAAGTTTCTAGTGTGTTCTTACTCATTATGACCAGATGCTTTCAGTACTGATACATCTGGATTGTCCACAAATGGCATGCTCTTAGGAGCAGTCTGCTTTGACTCACCAGCCGCCTTTGGACATGACATGCAACAACACTTCTCCGAGGGTTGAGTCTCCGTCTCAGAGTCTTCATTGACCTCTCCATTGTCATGGCTATGCTTGCCACGGGGGAGACCCTTGTCTTGGCACTCATTGCAGACCACAACCTCACTGGTGTTGACCTTCTTGAAGTATGCTGCCTCGCGCGCTTTTTGATCAGTCTTTGAGAGATGGATAAATTTGCACAAACCGCTCTTAAGGGCATTGACGAGCTTGCGGAGGGGTGGGAGGCTGGTACTCATCTCAGAGGGGTTGACAAACTTGTTGAGGGTCCAGCCGAAAATGTTGATGCCGTACTTGACAACAAAATCGGGCTTGAAATTGATGATTAGGGTCCCTAATAGCAACAAAACCATTGCAAGATCTTACCAAGCTGCAATTGGACAAGGTCACAAATTTCTGCCTTCAGGTAATCCGCACAATCCTTTGCAGTGCAAAGGAACTCTGCCAAATTAATCAGTGCTTGGTACAAATGCACAGGGCATATGACTCACTCATGAAGTCACACCCAGCGACTGCAAATGCCTCCACTAATCCGCCGATTGTTTGTATGTCCCACTCCTTACGGACAACGCGGTTGAGGTAAACATTGAGCTCTGGGTCCATGAAGTACCACCATGATGGGTCAAAGACGACATCAGCATCACTCTTGAAGATGCAGTAGAAGCCACGTACGCCAGTGCACATCGTGAGGCCATACATCTGCACGTGGTCAGTGAGTCTGATGAGCAAAAGATGGATGGAACTTACTATGGTATCCATCTTCCCTGCCGTCTGAGTCACGTCAGTGAGCTACATGGTAAAGTGATACCCAAGGTCACATCTATAATATGACACATACCATTGTGGACTTTTGGGGTATTTTTGATTTTATCAAGGCCATGGAAGAGCAGCAACACTCAAAGGGCAGTTTTGACCAAAGTAGCAGTACACTAAGGGAGTGTCATCACTGTCCTGCATAGCTACTGTCTAAATAATCTTATAGACTATATGTCTGATGAAAGCTGCCCTGGATCCAGTATCCCAGTTTTGCATTTTTATTCAGCAGTCTAGCAATGATACAACTTCACTATCCAGTGGGTCTAAAAATGTGGATATGCTGTGTTATTTATTTGAATCCTGTGCACAAAGTAAAGAAAACCATGACAACTTGTGCATTTTCTGTTTTGCATATTGTGACATGAGTAATGGACACTACAGCAAACTGATACCCATTATAGAGTCTATAGTATGAGGACTACTAGCATGAATATTTCGAGGTTTTTTGGATTCAATTAAACTTGTCGCTGGGCTGAGAATGGTGAATCCTATTAAGGACAATTACTTTTTGCAGCAGTTTGCAACAGAGTCTGGGAGATTAAACTGCAAGATGACTTGTTGACAGGTCAACAAATGAACCTTGCGTGGCACGGGTGCTTATTGCACAATGTAGCCTGATTCATTACAAGCCTTCAAAGTACACATCAGTAACAAATGATACAAGCATACTATACCCTCCTGAAGCCCTTCATTCAGAGGATATTCAATGTGAACACTATGCATATACAATGGCTAGCAAAGGTGCAGAATGCAAACCACAAAAGCTCACATGTGCCTCTGCATCTACAAAGGTGGAGCCATATACCAGAAACAGCAGCAATTGTGCTGTATACTACAGGACACAAAGGTGCTATAAATAGCAGGTCTCAGGTGCTTATAGGCATACAATTGCATTCTTAGAGATCATTTACCAGGTGCAAAGGACTACAAGCATGTCGCCGAGGCATTTGTGTGATTTTTTGATTTTGTGAAATGTGCCCTGAGTATTGAAGTGCATGAGAAGGTAAGACTAGCCATAGACTCTATAGTGTGAGGGCTACAAAGCATGATATTTTGAAGATTGTACGGATTTTATTGGCCTATAGTAGCAGAGTGACTGTGCTACTAATGGCCTTGTGGCTGAATTTTAAACTCAGCCCAAACATTGGCAGGCCTGCCTTAACAGGGCAAGGAAATGGGCTTATCAGCCAATTGGCATCTCTCCCCTGCCGCACAGAGTTGCATCCACCGGGAAATTCCAGGTGGATGCAACTCCGAACGGCACATGGGCACTTAATAGGCGCTTCGTAAGCGATGTAAGCCGTTTACTTCTCTTAAACTAGCTTGTACAGATCTAAACAAATGCGGAGAAATCAGCAAATATTCTCAAAAACATAGACAATGAATTGCAAGGCTCCAATTGAGAAGGAAGACTCTATTTCATGTTACACTATCAATGCATCTACATTGGTTGCTGTATCATCAGCCCAGTGCTTACAGAAGCAATACATTAGGCTCTAGTCAGTGTCTGTGTAGCACACATACTCCCATAGATGTTGAGCATGTATCATACATGCAGTGTTTGGTCAGAGGGCCCCAGATGGCATCTATAAGCATGCTGTTCTGTGTATTGCCATATGTAGTAGGCAACCTGCCCAATAAGGAAATCACAGCTGATACACAGCTGATACAAGAGGGCAAATGGGCTTGTTATGAGCTTGTGAAAATGTGTAAAATTCTGACAATACAGTAGGACACTAAACAGGTACAGTTGGTCATTATAAATGACACAGCTCAGTGATAAACATGATACACAAGCAATGATATGCATACCACTGGTCAAATTGCCCAATATTGCTCATTGTCGCTGCATTACAGAAGCAACTGACACATACAAAGTCATTCAACTGCATGAGGTCACTGTCCTGATGATTCAGTGAGTATCTGGAGCAGAAAAAGGTGCTTTGACTTATGCAGAGGCACATGTGGATTTTTTTGTTTTGCACTTTCCAGCCCAACCAGCCAGGACAGAGCAGCCAGCCACAGCATTTATTTGTATCTGTTGGTGCAAGTTGCGTTGTCTGGGAGTTTCAAATTTTAGGTCCCGCTAATAGGACAATAGTATCAGTTACTTATCTTTGCTTATCTGGGCCTCAAAAAGTCACGTGGACTCCTTCCATATTGGGTGCCACTGTAAGGTGTTTCATCCCCTCCAGTCATAAGAACAATTCCTTCATACCTCTGGGATTGTAACCTCTTCTCAAGTGTGGCTGTGTTTTCCCTCCTTCCCCAAACTCCACTGCTTGCTGGTGCAAAGCTCAGCTGAGGATAATCACCTGCCATGTCTTCAAGGTTCCCATACCTTGCTGCTTCCAGTCTGAGAGAAGCCAAAAACACTTCTTCTGATCCTTGGCATGGTCACTGCCCCACCCAACAAGCTTGCAAAGGCCTTCTGCAAGTGCAAGAGGATGGTCCTTGCCCAGCAGAGACCCATTATAAATCTCTAGGTACTCCACCAGCAGTTCCTTCACAACCTCAAGCTGAACCCCACTTGTCTTTCCCATCACAGCTTGCATGCCAAGGTTTAGAAGGATACATGATGGAGGTAACAAGGGATCCTTGGATGACTTTGTTACATACATGAAATGTGAGAGGTGTTTGCATGCTTGTACCCTGTGCCATCCATACTACCTGTCCAAGCTGCCATACAGCATGTAATCCATATGAGGTATGTAAAGTGACATTCATCACTTACTGTCTGCCTTCAAAATCTGAAACATTACCTGCACTGCTGCCACAATGTAGCCTTTATAAACAACCTGTGCAACTGTATGCTGGTCAAAGTCACCCTGCCTTACAAAGCCAGATGCAGAAAGGACAATCTTGGACACAATAATGACCTTTGTGTGTGGAACCCCAAGTTCAACAAGCTTGTGTATCACAGGCTGGGTTATGTGTTGTCTTGGTGAGTACACCACCTTTGGTAATGAAAGGGGATAAGTAGAGCAGCTGAGCTTCATGCTGTGCATGCATTTCTACCAACAGCTGCTTGTCCCACTCACAGCACATACAGAGACACTCGATGCAATGGCACAGCAGCCAGTTGGATCACTTGAGCTCCTCCAGCTCCACTCATGGGATTGTGACAAAGTCCATGCTACTGTTAGGTATACCTAACATCAAGAATATGTCTAGGTCGTGAAGACTGTTCAGTGGCTAGTGCTACCACATGATTCATGACATGGTAAAAGTCAGAACTTACTGCTTTAACACTTGAGTCAGGTGATCAAGGAGATTGTGCCGGTTCTGCTGATCAACTTGACTAGACCCTCCAGTTGTGACCAAACCAAGACTGATGGTTTCAGTGTCAGGACAATGAGTATGCGGGCAGTCAAATGAGGACTTTGCTTTGACTATTGTTCTATGATAGAATATTCTAGGACTTTGAGTATGGAATTTTACCATGTCAAAGCACACAGAGGAATAACACTCTCTTGAACTACTTTGATCAACCAAGTTACTTAACTCTACTAAGTATGCAGTCACTACTGTGCCACTCCAGACTTTGTATTTGAACTTGTTGAGCAAAGTCAATTTTCAATGGACTGACTTTCATAGTTGTTCACTCTAATTGATGTGTCAATCCTCATACAATGAGATAATCCTCTATTCAATTCTTAACTAAGGCAACTACAATTATGTAACTACCAAAAGTTGTTACTGAGTAAGAATTTGGTAAGTTAGTAACCCTAGTCCATAACAGTTCCTGTCTGCCAGTGACAGCACTGTGAGGCCAGAATTTGGTCCCTAGTGAGTACAGCAATGAAATACATTAGGATAATGTTAAGCTTACTGTGTGGATGTCCATATGTGCCAGTGCTAGTACACTCCAACAACAGTATGTCAGAACTTTCTTATGGGCAATTGAATGCTTAGATACTGGGGGACATTTTGAGGCATTCTGAGGGTTGAACACAGGTCCAAATGATTCCAATAGCATTTGAAACGTGATTGCAAATGCATTTCAATGCAAAGCTGTCCTCTTTTGGAATAGAATACCATTGAAATTGACTATTCTCACATGTGATCCCAATGGAGCTGCCTGCGGGTCATTGGAAACCAATTATTATGATATTGTTGTGACATTTGGCTGACAATTCCAATGCAGGAGCATTGAAATGGCAATAGGAGATTTGTGACAGTGACCACAACTCAGAAAAAGATACCCACCAGTGGGATCACCCAGAGCCTTGCACAGTGACTCAGACACAGCACTGGCAGCATGAACTGGCATGGGCAAACTTGACATGGCACTGGTGTTGATGCATTGCATTGTACTCATCCTGACAAGCCTTCTGTACAACAGTGTCAGCCACACAAATGCTCTGCTGCATATTATTGTGTGTGGCTGCAGTCTCTCACCTTGTCTTGTGTCTTTCACAGTAGGTTGAGTTGGGCTTTGTCAGGTCTAATGAACCCAATCATCAGCCAAATTGATAACTAAGTGAGGAAGATACCAGTATGATGTAATGAAGGTGCATAACACAATTGAACAGATATCCACAATTCTACAGTGCTCAAAACAGAGCTTAAGATGTATACATGCATTGAGTGAAAGGGAGTGTGACAGGGATGATCCTCAGATAACTAGTTGGATTATCAACAACACTTTGAGCAAAGCCAGCAAGGATGATGGTCAAGACCAATTTAGTTGTTTGAGCCTGAGTATCATTGACCAACAGCATCTATTCAGGTGGGTCTGCAGGATGCACAAAAGACAGTGGATTGTCCGAGGAAGTTGTTAGTGTGGGCTGGCCAGCAGTGATGCTCCTGGCTTCATTCTCAAGACGGGCATCTGGAATGGCATGCATTGCTGCCAGCTTTGCAATCAGGAAAGTTGAATGACATCAAGGTGGAAGTACATACCAGCATTTGACACACTATTGGCTTTGGCTTTGGAATAATTCTCAGGGGCTTGGTACCAAGACCCACAGAGCATCACAAGGCACTGCCAGGTATTCTGTGCATCCAGTACACTGAACCCAAGGTGCGTGTGTATATGGCCAGAATAGACCAACATTTTTTTCATAACCTGGCAATCCTAGATCAATAGGTTGGCTCAACTGACTGTTGCTGCTATCAGTGTTGTCATCTTGAGGGCCCACCAGGACTGCTATACCTAGAGTACAAAATTCTGCTTCAGTTCCAACAATGAGACACCTGTAATTGGCTGGCACACCAGGATCATTCATTGCTCTGGGATGGGTTGTGCTTGCTTCTGCAAGGGACAGAATTACAGACCTTCATGCTGTTGCAGCAGCAGCAGCTCCTGTGACACAATTGTGATATTGTCACTCAGTGTGACATGCAAGGCACAAGGCCTAACACACATCCCGCTATCAGCTTCAAGACATAAGCCACAAGATTTAGTCAGAATGCTTTTGGATTTATAAATGAACATTATATCCAGTCAAATTGTGCCAGCAGACAATTTTACTGCAGAAAGTTGAGGAAGAAGTGAGCTGTGACTGTGTGGTGCATGGGCGCTTACTCTGGAATGTGACTGTAACAAGGTGCAATACAAGCTATAGGGTGGGTAAAGTGGGCAATACAAGCTATAGGGTGGGTACAGTGGGCAGTACTAGTCTGCCAAATGTACTGCACACACAGCACACAGGTGTTGGTCTTGAAAACATTGACACAGTTCTCATTATAGCATCTCTGTGCAGCAAAGGATCAACACTCAAAACATGATACTAGATTCATTGTGTATTGCTGATGTTTAACACACTGCCACAAGAGAATAAGACAATTACAGGGATGAGAGATTGGATGTGAGTGTCAATGACTCTATGTTATGCTATGCTGCTCTGCATGGTGGTGTTTGCGGTGCTTAATCCCTGGTGCAGCATCATCAGGATGCTCCTTCATATTGAGCACCAGACCATGGCTCCAATGTGTCCTGAACATCTCTAGCATTGCAACCTGGTTTAATATAACCTCCTGTTCCACGCTGATGCAATGTTTGACAGGTTTAACTAGAATTTCCACTGAGATAGAGGTGTCTGCAGTGTTGGAGGCATACTCGGAATTGGCCCTAGTTACGATCCCTGAGGTACGAAGGAATCATTCTTATGACTAGAGGGGATGAAACACCTTACAGTGGTGCCCGATTTGGAAGGAGTCCACGTGACTTTTTGAGGCCCAGATAAGCAAAGATAAGTAACTGATACTAATGTCCTATTAGCGGGACCTAAAATTTGAAACTCCCAGACAACGCGACTTGCACGAACAGATACAAATAAATGCTGTAGCTGGCTGCTCTGTCCTGGGTGAGGGCCCATGAAATCCTTCCAGTGGTGCCCAATATGGCAACTGGTGGCTTTGATCATGTGACTTGCTGGCTGGCTGGCTGGCTGCTGTGGCCAGCGCTCACGCTGTATAGAGTCAATCAGTAGCCAACAATAGTAGACATAGTATGCCCACAAAAGACAAGAATGTTATTGTCCGCGATGAGGAAACGGGCAAGACTGTTCTCATTGTCAGGCGGAACCTCTGCAGCGATGCGGAGGTACTGGCTGGCACCGACAATACTGTGGTTCTTGACTGCAGCATGAAGAAAGGTGCTTGGGTGCATAACTTGCTGTTCTCTAGCCTATACAGTACTGATGGCCTCCACAATTAGATGATCCGGGCAAGCTTGTGCTTGTGGGCTATTCTGCGGGTTCTTGCTCTTCACCCGCTTTCAACTATTCCTGGAACATAGAGGCCAAGAAGCTGTTGGAGGAATTTGTGTGCAGCCACCACATGGCGGTATCCTCCTTGTTCAGCCTCTTCTACCAGCTGATGAGGGCAAACCTTCCCAACAAAGTGCTGGAGGACTACGAGGAGTACATCGCTAAGCATGGCTTTCCTCACATGGACGCACGTGGTGCAATACCTGTCAATGACGAGGGCTGCAGCAACTATTACGTGAAGAAGGGTGGGAAAATGTTCACCTTCCACGGCACAAAACCTGCGCTGCCTGCAGGCGTAGCAGGTGTGAACTATGCAAGGCAAGCTTCACATTGATGCTCTGATTTGTAGTTCTAACTCAGCTGCAGGTATATCCACCATGAACACGCACCCCATGAATATGCCTATTCCTGAACGATGGGCAGGAGGGCAAAGACTGGTGGAAACTTCTACCTGGCACCGGATGGTATCAAGATCGAGCAGGCTGCTAACACACTCATCATCTGGCAGCCCCGCCATTACCATGGCACAAGCCTGCTCGGAGATTGGCCCAAGGACAATATTGCTCCTTTTGCGCAAAGTGGATTTGCCTTTGTCACAAGCACTTGACTTGCAACATCTTGGAGGAACTACAAGGACAAGAAGATCTTGCATGAGGAGGCAATGCAGGAATATGCAGAGGGATTGGAGGGGGACATTGATGATTCGGAGCCTGAGGTTGAGTGTCGGAGTACAAAGACACCCTACTCACTCAGGCCACGAACTGGGTTGCGGGCACGTGAAGGACCTTACTAGTCGGGTTTACAAATAGTTGCAAATGAGCAGAGATTGATACAGGGAGCACAATTGCACAAAAGGCCATCAAATTGCACACAGCCAATACATCAAAATCTCCTATATATATTGCTTCCATACTGAACAGTCACCTGCAACTGCTCGCTATCAACCTTGCTCCACCTGCTGTACTCGCTACCGCTCACTCGCACTTGACCATGCTGCTGCACCATTGATTTGACACGGGCTGGACATGTTGAGTGGGCAGTTGGGTGCAGGAGAGGCATCACGCGCGAGCTCGCACAACACGAGCCAAGGTAGAGGACGTAGGATCAACAGGATAGTTGAGCACAGAGAGACATGCTTGACACGTTTGGGCGCTTCGAGTCACATGTGTAGCACATTGTGCATTGCACATGCAATGTCGGTTGTGCATAGCGCACCGCATGTGTGATGCCGGGCATGTGTAGCAATGTCGATGGTGGGCATGTGTAGCATCAATGGCGGGCCTGTGTAGGGTGTTGTGCATGAGCTCGTGAACCTGTGGCCACAACGATTACATAAGCAGTTCAACAGCATGACTTACCGCATTTGACGACAGAGCCAGACCGAAAAGTGGGATGGGGAGAGCGAATTCAATTATGGGGATGGGTGCCGATGTGGAATTGTGGGATGGATGGCACCGGAATTGTGGGATGGGTGGCGGGGGTGGAAATTCTGGGATGGGGGCATGCAAAATTTGGTGATGGGGGCGCATGCAAAATTCTGGGATGGGGCGAATATTGCAGCAAACGGTACACCATAGAGGAACTACACTGGGACCATGCCCAATTTTTGGCTGTCCAGGTAAGTTGGCATCTTATCAGAAAACATATCAAGGACTTATCCTGAATCTCCATAGGCCAAGATTGCTGCTCTGGCAGCAAAGCATGTCAAAGTTGCGTCGTTCAACGATCAAGACACTGCAACTTTAAAGATTGTATATGCAGAGGTGAGTGGCGTATGCCTGCATTGTTCTAGCCCTCACTAATCAGCACAAGGCTGTGGAGGCCCACCCAATTCTATTGAAGTATGATGGTCACTGGGTGACCAAAGATATGTTGAAGATCCACCTCAAAAACAAGAAACAGCGTAAAAAAAAAGGCTACATAGTTTACACTATGTACTTCACGATCCCTATGCATGTCCCATTGCTATTGCCTTCTTCATCACTGCACACGTCCCGTAGCAATATCTATGTACTTTTACAATTGTATACATGTTCAACGTGGCTGGGGTAATCATTGAATGGGGAGCCCAATGAGTGTACTTTTACATTCCTAACAGTACACCCGGGCTGCACATTCCCTGTTGTCAATGGAAACCCGACGCCGGCCGGAGAAATGTGTCCAGAGGTTGCAAACCCACCAGCCGGTACCTGAGGTGCCCATTGTTAGCAGACTGGCCGGTCTTGTTTTGAATGGACCGGCCGATGACAGGGAAAATCAACAAGTGTTACTGAACAATGGTCCGGAATTTATTCTATGGTTGTAAATGGACCGGCCGGAGATCAGACACCTACATTTATAACAGACCGGCCGGGACTCATATACCCATATTCATAACAGACCGGCCGGAGCTCATATACCCACATCATTGATGGACTGGCCGGAGCTCATACATTCACATTATCAATGCACCACCCAGAGCTCATATACCTTGACTTATAATGCACCGGCAGGAGTTCATGTACCTACATTTATAACATACCAGCCGGAGGTCATATACCTACATTGCAAAAGGACGGGCTGGTCATAGTCTACCTACACCAAAAACAGACCGGCCAGGCATGACATACTTACACTACACATGGGCCGGCCGGTCGTAACAAACCTACATTAGAAATGAACCGGCCGGTCATATGGAATCTGAATGATAATTGTGCCAAACATCGCAGAACACATATTCAAAGATGCACTGAGGTTTCTGGACCATAAACACACTGGAGCTAGGTTTTTTGGGCTTGGAATACATTGACAAGCATTCCCTTACATGCTCCCAATTTTATTAGGTACATACAAACCATGCCCATGCTTCAAAAGCATCATAAATGAGCTTTCTAGCCTGGAAACAAACTAGATCCAGATTTTCCAGGCTGGAATTGCTTCAAAAGCTATTCTTGCACATGTGTTTAGCTCCCCAAATAATATTTACACCAGGTCTGAGCATTCTGCACAAGGTCCGAGTGTTTTGCACAATCACCGAGGTTTGCAGTTGCTTTGGCACTGAGGGTTGCACTTGCCTCGGGGCCGAGGGTGCACCAAGTCTCAGCACTGAGGTTACACCAAACACTCGGCACTGAAGCAAGTGCAAACCTCGGCGCGGGGTGGACAATACAATCTCGGTGCCCAGTTGTGCTAAATCTGAGGAATAATGGTGTTTCTAACAATGATCACAAAAAGACTACTGATGTTTGTTACACCAATGACCTTTTGTGGATCAGTGAATGCAGAACAGTAGTGAGAAAAGGACATTATGCTCTAACAATTCATATCAATTGGGAAGTAATGAAATTCCAGGAACACTATAGAGTCTGCTTATCAGAAATGAATACATTATAGTAACAATCATACATCAAGGTTGAACTATCTGGCATTTCCAGAAAAGTCAATGAGTCCCAACTGTAGCAGAGCAATATAACTAGCTTCACATGTATTAGTTCTATAGAATTCATTTGGGATTGGTTTCTACATACAGATACATATGTAGGGTGTGTCTTTGTAATGAGAACATCCATCATAACATAGCAGAATGTATGAGGATAAATGAACATGTATCAGCAACCCATCCATATGTCCCTGCTCCCTTCTTACTCTCCTCACTACGGCAGTATTCTTTGCCCACATTAGGTTAGTGGCTATAATGTGAGTTCATACAGCCAGCATCACATATACCAAATCTTACAGCTTAACCTTCCAAGCTGTAAGTGCTACCAACTTTAGTGTGGGCGCTAGAATTAGCCAGAAGTTGTCATAGTACTACACATTTGTAATGTAGTGTTCTGTCTACTGTACAATAATAACAGCATGAGATGTACACATCCTTGTAGTCTCATCATAATAGTTGCTTATCAACCCAATGTTCCCCACAAGATGAGATACAAATGTGTATAGTGCTATCGACAAGCTTACTTACTGGCTGAACAAGAAAAGCTGCTGTACTGGCCTAACCATTGAAAATCCTTGAAGTGTCAATAGAAGATTTACTTATCAATAGACTATTCCCTACACAATGAGATATAAACCTCACTTTTTATAAGTAACCACATACAAACCCTTGTAATGTCATTAGAAGATTTACTAATGATCCTAACATTTCCTATAAGATGAGCTACAAATGTACAAATTGAATACAACATACTGTGGTGTCATCAGTAAGTTTACTTACCAGCCGGACAAGAAAAGCAGCTGTACCAGCCTAACCATTGGAAATCCTTGAAGTGTTAATAGAAGATTTACTTATCAACGAACCATTCCCTACAAAATGAGACACAAACATCACTTTTTATAAGTAACCACATACAAACCTTTGTAGTGTCATTAGAAGATTTCCTAATGAACCTACTGTTCTGCGTTCACTGATCCACAAAAGTAACAAAAATCAGGAATCTTTTTGTAATCATCATTAGAAATGGCCATATTCTTCAGGTTTAGCACAATTCGCCGCCGAGGTGCATTGAGCATTTGCCGCCGAGGTTTGCTCTACACTCGGTGCCAGACCACACTGAGTGCTCGGCACCAAGGTTTGCACTTGCCTCGGTGCCAAGGTTGCACTTGCTTCAGTGCCGAGTGTTTGGTGTAACCTCAGTGCTGAGACTTGGTGCACCCTCAGCGCCGAAGCAAGTGCAACCCTCAGTGCCAAAGCAACTGCAAACCTCGGTGATTGTGCAAAACACTCGGACCTTGTGCAGAATGCTCAGACCTGGTGTAAATATTATTTGGGGAGCTAAACACATGTGCAAGAATAGCTTTTGAAGCAATTCCAGCCTGGAAAATCTGGATCTAGTTTGTTTCCAGGCTAGAAAGCTCATTTATGATGCTTTTGAAGCATGGGCATGGTTTGTATGTACCTAATAAAATTGGGAGCATGTAAGGGAATGCTTGTCAATGTATTCCAAGCCCAAAAAACCTAGCTCCAGTGTGTTTATGGTCCAGAAACCTCAGTGCATCTTTGAATATGTGTTCTGCGATGTTTGGCACAATTATCATTCAGATTCCATATGACCGGCCGGTTCATTTCTAATGTAGGTTTGTTACGACCGGCCGGCCCATGTGTAGTGTAAGTATGTCATGCCTGGCCGGTCTGTTTTTGGTGTAGGTAGACTATGACCAGCCCGTCCTTTTGCAATGTAGGTATATGACCTCCGGCTGGTATGTTATAAATGTAGGTACATGAACTCCTGCCGGTGCATTATAAGTCAAGGTATATGAGCTCTGGGTGGTGCATTGATAATGTGAATGTATGAGCTCCGGCCAGTCCATCAATGATGTGGGTATATGAGCTCCGGCCGGTCTGTTATGAATATGGGTATATGAGTCCCGGCCGGTCTGTTATAAATGTAGGTGTCTGATCTCCGGCCGGTCCATTTACAACCATAGAATAAATTCCGGACCATTGTTCAGTAACACTTGTTGATTTTCCCTGTCATTGGCCGGTCCGTTCAAAACAAGACCGGCCAGTCTGCTAACAATGGGCACCTCAGGTACTGGCCGGTGGGTTTGCAACCTCTGGACACATTTCTCCGGCCGGCGTCGGGTTTCCATTGACAACAGGGAATTTGCAGCCCAGGTGTACTGTTAGGAACGGGTATGGTCCGCTCATGAATGCGGAATGGGTCAGTGGCATCCACAGCACTGCGCCACATGCTTCTGACTGCTTCACGAGCAATAAAAAGCTACAAAAGGAAGTGTCTGGCCTGTGATGGAATGCCAATGTCAGAATGCCGTAAGTCTTTTGTCACATTATATTAGAGCCCCCCCTCACTCACCTCGCCAGTTCTCCCAGCATCTTTCCCCCCCACAACAGAGATGTCCAACTCACAGTCCATTGCTGACCGCACGGCTACCCTCCCTCCTCGTGGAGTTTCCTGCGACCTCTTGCGCATTACAATCGTGGACGCGCAGCGTGTTGCCATGATCTCCCCGCACTTCGGCGGGTCCCTGATCTTTGCCAGCACCGCCAACATTGTACCATCCCTTATCAAAGTCGGAGGTGCCATCACCCTGAAGATCAACAATCACGTTTTTGCAGCCACATCGGCAGCATCTGTGCCATCAACAACAACAAAGTCCTTTACACCATCATCCGTGGTGCCTCACCTCCACATTTCCTGCTCTGTGAGTGCTCAATCTGCCGGCTCAACCTCTTCCAATGCCTGTGGGCGGCATTCGCACCTGCAAGTTGGCTCCACATTTTCGACTACTGCCCCGGGCACAGATATATCGACAATTCATCATTGTGGCCCCGTCGTATGCTCCCGCTGCGCCATCCGACCCCGGGAAGCCCTTACTCCTCCTCCCCCTTCTCCGTCAGCTGCCTAGGTGAACATGTAAGTTCTGTCTTCAATGTGGGATAATTGCTTATTAATCTCTCCTTAGGGTGTTCTTAGAAGTGGTTGAGGGATGATGGCGTGTCTATGTATCGTCTGTTTTGGATATAGTTGGCATCAATATCAATCCTTCTTGTTCCCTGCTACGCTTCCCTATCTGAGTGAGAACATTGAGCAAAACAAACAAACAATCTGAGCATAGTGAAAAAGGATAACACATCTCAGCTGTAAGTACAATCAGGAAGCAACTCATTGGGTCGATCATCTGCTCATTCATGTGTAGCATATGCAAACGCAGCATTTGTGTTAGAGATTTTTGTTTCCCCTATATCTGTGCAATAATTTTGCATGTGTGGCGGCCTTTGCAAAATCTCCAAACTCCACATATAGGACAGTGGCATATGCATCATTTGAGATAGCATATGAGGTGAGCCTATTGTTTGAATTGTTGGCCGAGTTTTCAGCATTCTCGTATTGTCATCTCATTTGTTACCTTTGATTACTCATACAGGGCCGTCCAATATTGTTCATCTCATATTAACAATAGTCACGTGTCTCAGATTCTAAATCTGGGTGAACAATTATTGTTTGGCTGAAATGATACCTGATATGGAAGGTTTGGGGCCGAACATTGTATGACCCAAAATCCTGCCTCATTGGTCACAATTTGACTCAGCATTTGAGCCGGATTTGAGCCCATCTCAAATTCATGGACGTCTCCGGTGTTAGGCATATCTGCCACTTGTGAGGCAGGTAATTGCAGTCGTTAGGGAGCCCGCCCACCCAGTGGCTCTCTTCCTCCGTGTTCACCTGGCTAACGCCGGGCCCACCCAACCTTCCAGCCTACCTCACAGTTACGGGCTCATATCACACTGACCTGTTCACGGCCCACACACGTAGACAAGGGCGGAGCACCAAGTAAGTGCTTGCCCTGGTCCAAGCTGCCAATTGACATTCACGGTTCCAGAGGTCCCCTTGGTGGCCGACCTCGGCCCGAGCTTGGCAACATCTGAGTTACAATACACGTGAGCACGACCGTCCCAATCACCATACAGTAGTTTTGGAAAGTCTTGTCTGTGCGCGTTTCACACGTGAGAAATTCAAAGAATTCAGAAAAATGTCAAAAAAGACCAGAAATGCAGGAAAGTCCTGTTGACGGCGGCGACGCTACCTACACTGCTTCAGACCATCATGGTCTATGTCCATCATGATCCAGGTATGACACAGAGCGCTCCAGCTCCAGGATCAAGGCTACTCGACGGATGAGGTGGCGGAGGTCATGGGCGTCAATGCAAAAAGCATTACAATCCCTGAGGTACAAAGGAATTGTTCTTATGACTGGAGGGCATGAAACACCTTACAGTGGTGCCCGATATGGAAGGAGTCCACATGACTTTTTGAGGCCCAGATAAGCAAAGATAAGTAACTGATACTAATGTCCTATTAGCAGGACCTAAAATTTGAAACTCCCAGACAACGCAACTTGCACCAACAGATACAAATAAATGCTGTGGCTGGCTGCTCTGTCCTGGGGTGAGGGCCCATGAAACACCTTCCAGTGGTGCCCAATATGGCAACTGGTGGCTTTCATCATGTGACTTACAGGCTGGCTGGCTGCTGTGGCCTGCCAGCGCTCACACTGTATACAGTCAATTAGTAAGTAATCATAGTAGACATAGTATGCCCATCTGATAGCCATCCGTTCAAAGAGTATACAGTAATATTCCTAAGCACTTACAGTGGCTGGTTGGGCTGGAAAGTGCAAAACAAAAAATCCACATGTGCATCTGCATAGGTCAAAGCACCTCTGTCTGCTCCAGATACTCACTGAATCATCAGGACAGTGACCTCATGCAGTTGAATGACTTTGTATGTGTCAGTTGCTTCTGTGATACAGCAAAGATGAGCAATATTGGGCAATTTGAACACTAGTGAGCATATTATTGCTGATGTGTCATGTCTATCACTGACCTGTGTCATTGATGATGACCAGCTGTACCTGTTTAGCTTCTTATTATATTATCAGGATTTTGCACATTTTTACAAGCTCATAACAAGCCCATTTGCCCTGTATCAGCTATGGTTTCCTTATTGGGCAGGTTGCCTACTACTTATGGCAATACACAGAACAGCACACTTATAGACCTCATCTGGGCCCCTCTGACTAAACACTGCATGTATGATACATGCTTAGCATCTGTGGGAGTATGTGTGCTACACAGACAGTGACTAGAGCCTAATGTATTGCTTCTGTAAGCACTGGGCTGATGATTCAGCAACCAATGTAGATGTATTGAAGGTGTAACATGAAATAGAGTCTTCCTTCTCAATTGGAGCCTTTCAATTCATTGTCTATGCTTTTGATAATATTCACTGATTTCTCCGCATTTGTTTAGATCTGTACAAGCTAGTTTAAGAGAAGTAAAAGGCTTGCATCGCTTACTAAGCGCCCATTGAGCGCCCGTGTGCCGTTCGGAGTTGCATCCACCTGGAATTTCCAAGCGGATGCAACTCCGTGCGGCAGGGGAGAGATGCCGATTGGCTGATAAGCCCATTTCCTTGCCCTGTTACAGCCGTTTTCAAAACTATGCGGAATTGCGAGAAAAACGAAAACGCGCCTCGGGCGCTGGCTAGCGCCCCGAGCCTTTGATTAGATTAGATAGCAGCCGAATCGAGAAATGTCACTTCAGTCAGCAGGCTGACAAAGTCGCGGCTGCTGCACTTTCACCGGTAGCCAATAGCTCAACATGTACGTTGCGTGAGTGTCTGCCACTATGGTAATTTAGGGGCACATAGATACGTTTTTATATCAATGGGCATATGTTCCGTAGCGATACGAGTGTCAGTGGCCTCTACACCGAAAGTCAACATTATGCTCCCGGATGACTTTGATCAAGCTAGCGAGAGGTGTTCAGCATAATTGTATAGTCATAGAAGCTCCAGAAACACCCAACAAACTTGTTTACACCGTATTACAATTTACTAGACCTGCAGTACATCGCTTGCAGAGACACGAGACATAACGTGATTACTTCCTGATATAGACTACTGTATTATCGGGCCGGGATCTCGGCCAGACACTGTGGTCAGCCACCCATTACTCAACAACAACATCGTCACTTTGGCTGAAAAGTGTGGCATTATCCTCGTCTCGGTAGTGGCTCTCGACTGGCGTAAATTGTGCGAGAAATGGATGCAAATTTCTCTCAAGCCTCAAGTGACCGAGTACCCTAATGCGCGGGACACGGCATATCTAATCTAATCAAAGGCTCGGGGCGCTAGCCAGCGCCCGAGGCGCGTTTTCGTTTTTCTCGCGATTCCGCATAGTTCTGAAAACGGCTGTAAGGCAGGCCTGCCGATGTTTGGGCTGAGTTTGAAATTCAGCTGCAAGACCATTAGTAGCATGGTTACTGTGCTACTATAGGCCAATAAAATCCGTAAAATCTTCAAAGTATTATGCCTTATAGCCCTCATACTATAGAGTCTATTGCTAGTCTTACCTTCTCATGCAGTTCAGTACACAGGGCACAATTTACAAAATAAGAAACCACACAAATGCCTCAGTGACATGCTTGTGGTCCTTTGTGCCTGGTAAATGATCTTGAAGAATGCAATTGTATGCCTATAAGCACCTGAGACCTGCTATTTGGAGCATCTTTGTGTCCTGTAGTGTACATTACAATCTACTTGCTGCTGTTTCTGATATAAGCCCCACCCTTGTAGATGCAGAGGCACATGTGAGTTTTTTTCTTTTGCATTTTGTGGCTTCACTAGCCATTGTATATGCATAGCATTCACACAATATATCCTCTGAATGAAGGGCTTTCAGGAGGGTATAGTATGCTTGTATCATTTGTTACTGATGTGTACTTTGAAGGCTTGTAATGATTCAGGCTACATTGTGCAATAAGTGCTCAATAAGCGCCCATGCCATGCGAGATTCACTCGTTGACAGGTCAAAACTTTGACCTGTCAACAAGTCATCTTGCAGTGTAGTCTCCCAGACTCTGTTGCAAACTAAACTGCTGCAAAAAGTAATTGTCCTTAATAGGATTCACCATTCTCAGCCCAGCCACAAGTTGAAATGAATCCAAAAGACCTCGAAATATTCATGCTAATAGTCCTCATACTATAGACTCTATAATGGGTATCAGCTTGCTGTAGTGTCCATTACTCATGTCACAATATGCAAAACAGAAAATGCACAAGTTGTCATGGTTTTCTTTACTTTGTGCACAGGATTCAAATAAATAACACAGCATATCCACATTTTTAGACCCACTGGATAGGGAAGTTGTATCATTGCTAGACTGCTGAATAAAAATGCAAAACTGGGAGATTGGATCCAGGGCAACTTTCATCAGACATACAGTTCATAAGGTTCCTTAGATAATATCTATGCAGGATAGCAATGACACTCCCTTAGCATACTGCTACTTTTGGTCAAAACTGCCCTTTTGAGTGTTACTGCTCTTCCATGGCCATGATAAAATCAAAAATACCCCAAAAATCCACAATGGTATGTGTCATATCATAGATCTGATCTTGGGTATCACTTTACCATGTAGCTCCAGGGACTTCCAACTAAATTTGGTTTCTCTCCCACTTATCTGATTCATATAACCAAATAAAATACTCACAGACATTCCATCAAAGTATCTGGCTATCATATCGGGCAGAAGGATTTCCCTGTGAGTTGGTGGTTTGCTATTTGATCTGAGCTCAATAATCATTACAAAATTGGGGCATGCTTGACAATTGTTGTGGTGTTGCTTCACAACAGTGACAGCTTCTTTGCAAGTCATATGACTGTGTTTGCTGCCCAATCCAATATTCAAGCTGACTACTGCAATGCTGCTCATGTAATGTCTTGTAAATTATTGGTTGAAATGACTGACAATGGCTATATAGTGCTGTACCCATATTGACAAGTTGAAATTTGTCAACAACTTCATGCTGCCCACATTTTTGTTGTGGCAACACCTCTATGTAGCATCCAATGAAAACCATTGAGTGATCACTGACTTCACTACAGGGATTGCAGCAGCTATTTGTGTTGTACCAGGCAAAATGAAGCATACTTACATGTTGGATCAATACTATATAGGTACTACCACCAGAATACATCTCCACATTCCTATTCTGTCCAACCTATGCCTATATCACCGCATAAAGGGTCACTCAGCATTGTGTACTTTATGCCAATGTGCATGCCATCACTCAAAATCAAAAAGAAATTAATGGGTAGAGATTCAATGAGAACACTGGCTCAATAGGGGAAGTCATAAATACATGTTCCTGAGGCAGATGGCCTTGGAGCTCATGGAAGGAAACCACAATGTTTTATCATTAGCAAGCGGCTGTAACCCGCCTCCCTGCAGTTACTACGATACTTCACTACGGACACTTACCTTACACAAATGTCACGGTTCCGCACATACCTGTCACCATTCCTTCACGTTACATAAGTGATTCCCTTCATGTTTGGATTCACACTGTCATTGTCCTTTAGTCTCTACTATTGCGCAATGAAGGTATGTACTTCAGTACACCGCAATATGCTTGTACTTATGAATCTCTACTATTGCGCAACGGAGACACTCAGTTCCTGTTCTTGTTCTGAGTGATTACCCGGTGTTAGGGATAGAGGCTTGATAGCCTCAGAGCGCACAGAAACTCATTAGAAGTGTTTACTTACCGAGTGGCTGCATCAGTGAAGGTTTGTTATGTGCTTATCTTACTCTCCTTATCTTGCCTTTATTCCACTGAATGGACATCAATGTAGCACTTTCATTGTTTTATTACCGAGGTATCAATTACTGATGTTTTGATGATTTAGAAGCGTGGGATGCTCGATAAATGATGGTTATTGCCGATCAATTACCGAGTCATAATGGTTTTGTATCAGCATAGAAAGGGATGGCTGTGCAACAATTACCGAGCCATTCCCGAAGCCATGTTGAATGGCTGTGCTATCCTTAGGCTGTACACCAAAAATGCGGACTCTCGCATGCCTCAGTAATGCCTCAGGAATCACAGTCCTGAAACAGCGGCTGTACTGTGGCTGTACTAGGATGACTCGGTAACATAGCTTGCCTCATTGGAAACAATGAAGTGTAAGGCTATGATCCTATTGTTCTCCTAGAATGGCCTCTGAAGCAGTGTAAATGAGTCAAGGACATGTACTATACACTTCTACAACACTCCTTGATTTGCTATATACTTCCATGTAGCTCCATTGGCTGTGTCCTTAGTAATGGCATAAAAGGCCATTCCTGAGCATGGTCAAGGACATCTATCTTCAATTCACCATCTACTCTTCACCAAAACACACCCTGTGTGCCACTCAAAGTCTTACTTTGTCCCGAGTGCTAAGTTAGCCATACTAGCCACTCAACCAGTCTTGCGGAGTTCTTACCAACACGCTCTAAGACCTGCAACAGTGAAACCTTACTTAGTACAGTCCTCGCGCTACTAGTAAGGTTTAAGCAATTCATTGACTGACTTCACAAAGTTGTATTCAGTAAGAGAAGGTGCTTAGTCATCATCTACTTCTGTAAACTTGTTACCAACATCAATTGATCTCTGTATCAACTAGTTCCATACTAGCACATCTCAGTGGCATTACTATAATTAAAGTGGTTAGCCTAACCAGCAACTCACTTGACACTAGAGCAAGCCTTATAGCCATTAGCTGGCTGAGGATTAATTTCCTTAGTGGGCCCCTCTTGAAGCATGGCCTCGCGCTGCTACATTAGGGTTTTGTAAGTTGCCATTGTCACTGTGCAGTCAAAGCTAGCTGTTCAGACTTCCATTCAACTTCTGTTGTGTGACTTCAAAACCAAAAAGCCCATTCCTTTGGAATCAACCTCTGGATACTAATCCTCTGTATTCAGACTTCATCCTCTATTCTAAAAAGCTCTAAACCTCGGCAATAATCCCCATTCATTGCCAACTCAAATCCATTCTTAGCTTACTCTTCCCAGTTGAAGAGCAGTACTGCATACTTGTATAGCAGCACTGACTAAAGTCCCACCCTCTTTTGTATTCGTTGTGGATCTGGTATCCTCCTTACAGCTCAACCTTGTGCTGTCTTGGTAATTGCATTGCCGAAGATTACCAAAGATTTTACCATTTGTTACCACTTTGTATAGGCAATACAAATCTCTATTATCGAGTTTACTGTTCCTATTGACTCGGCAATAAACTCGGTAACTAGCTGTCTATACACAAAAACAGAACCATAACACCCGGTGTGCAGACAGCGGGCTTAGAGTGGCTATATCTGTTGAATGTTTTTGATGTGTATTCTGTCTGTTTATCTTTCCTGTCAAAAATTCAAAGGTCATCATTGTATGCTTTCATTATACTATTACCAAGATATTTGGACACTGACATTTCAATGCTTTGAAGCACTTAACAATGCATATACTATCTGGACTATTAGTGTGACTGTTTCCCAATTTCTGTTGTGTTCTTGCTCATTCCAGTTGTGATAAGATCCTTCAGTACTGATATAATTGCTGTTGTATGCTTGGTTAGTGATGATAATACTAATCAATTACTAAGTTATAATGGTAGACTCTATTCTGGTAACCATGTCAAGCATTATCAGGGTTTTCACAACATCTTACCACTTTGAATAGCTCAAAGAGATCTATTTCACTGAGAATTGACAGGGTGATTAACTCTGTGATCAGATGTCTAAAATTGAAGCAGAGATATGACAGATGGGAACTCAAACAGGGCAGAGAATGTAAGAAAATATGTTCATGTACATCATCACTCACACTTGGCAGTTCTCTTATGACATCTGTTTGAACATCAATGGTTGATCATAACATACATATATGAAAGCCATCAATTTTCTGATTGTACTGTAGCAATCAGTGACTGATAAACACATCATAAGGCAACCTCCCTGTGCTCTAGATATGTCAGGCACACACCTGAATAATGAAACCATATGCCTGAGCCCAAGGGGCATTCATATGCAACTTAACTGTTCTGACACCACGTTGGCATGCCTATGCACCCTCTAAAATGTGATTTTACATGTGACACCATCATAACTGTTCATCACACCAATCAGCAATAGCATCTGCTGAAATGGAGTGACTACTTGCAATGAATGCTGCTAGATATATGATTGACTCACTTGTGCATTCATTACAATCATGTAATTCATTTTGGATAATACTTGTCAGCTACAGGCACAAAATATAAAATGGACTGAGGACCAAAATTGTGCAATAATCAAAACAGAGGTTAGAGAACATATAAGTGGTGAGGAGTGAGAAATGATTACCAAAGCAATGTTCTAGCCATAGGCAAGGCATTTGAACTCACAATTCTGTGGACCCATGTAGATTAAATGACGGATGATGGGCTCAATAGTTGTTGGTACGTAGATGGTACCATGTCTGTAGGGAAGCCTGGATATGTAAGTTCAATCATTGTGAAGGTCATGAAGAAGAATAGTGGGGTTATCAAGGCATGCACAAGTCAAAATCCAGAGTGAGAGATATGTTAGATTATGTCTGGAGCTGAGGAGGTAGTGTTACAGATGTGACAGTACTAGACATGTTGCCTGCTTCAAGTTGCTCTGAGATTTCAAACTGAAGGGATCATATTGCTAGACATGGCCCACTCCCCAGCAAGTACATCGCTGGAGCAACAACTACGACACATTTGGAAGTGTTCTACGACCCAGCAGATGCACTGGTTGCCCCCGAGTCATCACTGCCAACCTAGAGCAACCTATCCTCAAATTCTACTGCATTTGGCGAAGCATATACGTCAACGAGATGAAGGACTACCTCATGGTCATCCATGACACGTGTGTGTTGTCCGGTGCTCTCCTGGCGGCACTCGCTCGCATGAGCCTTTCCCAGAAGGTGTTGCTGAAGCCGGCAGCTGAAAGGGATGAGGTTCTACATAGGAACTGGCGGGTGGAGACAGCAGCAAACCTCACCGCAGCTCAACTCGTTTTTGGAGATGAGGTGGGCATTGACACTTGCAACCTCCAGCAGGACTACAGCTGCTTGCACGTTGGTCATTGTGCAGTACAGCAATATCGTCAAGCTCGTGGACAGCGGTGGAGCATGATCTCCGTGATTGGGACTGAGGGCTGCATTGCTGCAAGGCCGCTGGCAAGTATGGTGAACGCACTCGAGTTTTTTGACTTCATTGTCTCCGACGTGGTGCGTAGCAACTATTCAGCTCTCAGTCTGATTGTTACGCGAAGCGTGACACCTAGAGCACTAGCTCTCAACCTAACCCTAAACGTAGGGACCTTAGGTTCTAATCGTCCTTGGATGGGGAGGATGGTCGAAGACGCTGCTAAGTCCGTCTAGCAGGTCGAGCGGGGAGTTTCTGATATCCAAGGAGCTGGTGAAGCTTCAATAGATAACCAGGTCGAACTAAGGTTCGACCGCTACTGTACACAGGTCTTATATACAAGAGGAGTTCAGGGCAGGTCCTGGACGAGTCACTACTACCTAGCCAATAGGAGCGCAGGGAGGTGAGTCATGACAAGTCAGGGACCGAGTCATAATTGATGAGTCATATATGAGTAAGCAAGGAGTCACAATGAGTCATACCGAGTCAAAGAGCACGTGAACTGCCCGGGTTGGACCGGAGCGAACAGCGAAGGAGTCCAAAGACTGGAAGCGTAGCGTCATGGGGTTGGGCCCATGCTAAGGTAGTACAACGGTCAAGCGCAAAAGAAGGAAAACAAACGTTAACGTAACATAAGCCCCTTCCTAGAGTCGACGTCCTCGTCGACTTCTCTAAGCTTGATCAGGCGGGGGCAAGAATGTCGTACTCCCATCACGATGCCTGCGGAGTCGAGCAACCGCGATCCCCGAGTCGGTAGAGATGAGGTCCAATACCGTGGACTCCGGCGAAGGTTGGAAGGATGACGTGGGCGAGGTGGTTAGTTGGCGGAGAGGAATGCGGTCCATTCCCTCGACAGGTTCGTAGACGGGGAGCGGGAGTGGATCGGCATCGTGGGGAGGCTCATTCTCGTCAACCTCCGAGGGGTTCGGGGTCTCAAGGTTCGACCGAGTAGAGACGGGAGAGGTGGGTACCGTCCCCAGGACCGGATGCGGATGCGGGGTATTGGGGTGCCGACTCTCGTCATTCTCCCGGCGTTCACTAGGTGGAGGGCGGGCCCCATAGAGCTGAGTCTGATCGATGTAGGGTTCCTCCTCGTAGTGGAGCTCGGTGAGGGCGTTACGAGCTTCGAGGCGATTCGTGTAGACACGGACGAGGGCGGTGGATATGTGCGAGGTCATGTCATGGGCCCTTGCTGGGTCGGCAAAGGCACCATTGATATGGCTGTGGAGGACAACGTACCACTGATGCGCGTTCTCGAGGGTGATTCGTTTTGCTCGGAGGTACGGGGGAAGGAAGTCCGTTGGTTGGGATGCGATGAGGGATCGGTTTCCGGCATAGAGTCTGTCCGCACACATCGTCCACATGGCTGCCACCGGTTGAATGAATACTCCTCCTCTCAGGAGGTCGGTCAGAGAGCGGAGGTCCGGCGGGAAGGTGGGGGCCTCGGCTTCATTGGCAGAGCAGAGGGACTCGACGTGTCCCGGCTGACGACGATTGCAGCGGGGGCAGCGGTAGTGGGGGCAGTCAACGGTGTGATGGTAGGAGATGTTGGTTCCATAACAAACGGTGCAGGGGGAGTAGTTGGTTACGATTCGGGCGAAGTCTCGGGCATTGATGTCGGTGAAGGTGGGGGAGACCATGAAGTCGCGTGTGTACTGGATGTTGTTGACAGGGACAAGCGATCTGGCGACGGACTTCATCGCAGGGTGGTCCTCGAGATCCTTGAACCTGCGCATCAACCTCCGCACCAATGCATTCCTCCTCTCAGCGTAGAGGTGGACGGTGTCCTCCATGAGGTCCTGCTGGACCCAGACGTCTGCTGCGGCATTGTAGAGGTTGGCAAGGGAGTCCAGTGCATCGAGAGCGACACTGGGGTCATTGGAGAGTGAACCGTTACGCTCGAGTGCGGCGACAAAGGCGTTTGGCGCGAAGAGCACCTGTGAGGCGAGGGGCCAGTTGAGGTGGCCTCCCAGGAGTGGGCGGCAGTGAAGGAGGGAGTCGAAGAGGGAGGCTGGTGCTGCAGGGGTTGTCTGGTCAAAGAGGCCGGCCTCAGTGGAGGCCGAGATGTAGGATTGCACCGGCCTTTGTGGCCTTCGGTCCTGACTAGGAAGTGGCATCGGTGGCACTTGTGGTAACGGGGGTCGAGTGGGAGACGTTGCTTGCGGTTCAGGCCAAGATAGGGGAGCTGGGTGATGACCCACGCGTCGTAGTAAGCCTTGAGAGAAAGGTCGTCATAGGCAGCGGTGGAGGGCATAGAGCTCAACTCAGCAGTTGCAAGTGTTGTCGTCTTGGGGTCCAAGTCTCACCACTCCGAGACGACTCTTCTCTTTATACTCGTAGAGGAGTCGGAGATGGTGCGCGCGCTTGTACTCATCAAGGGTCTCTTCCCCTGTGCCCAGGAAGATGTCTTCGGGTTCCCACAAGTTCTCACTGGGAGGGTACCCTTTCCACTTCACGAGGTAGCGGTGTCGGCTTGCCGTTCCCTTGTGACCAAGGATAGCTTCAAATTCCCAGGAGTTTTCTCTGTCTACTTCATCCGGGGGAGGTTCTGTATAGGTCGGGCCGTGTTCCTCGGTCTCATTGTACGGGGATAGGAGACCGGCGTGGAATACAGGGTGGATTCGCCATTGCGGAGGCAGTTTGAGGCGATACGTCGCTCTTCCCATGACCTCGGTGATCTTGAAAGGACATTCCTTCTTAGGAGCTAGTTTCCTCGTGGCGTAAGGGAGGCGGAGGTGCCGCATGTTGAGCCATACCTGCTGATCTTTCTTGAAGGCAGGCGTGCGGTCCTTGATTCTCTTCTTGATGACTCGTTGCGCAGCTTCTAGTGCGAAAGCGGCTTCTTCTCGGGCTTTCTGCAGCCGCTTGAGTCATTCTTCCGTGGTTGGGGAGTCAGCAACTTCGGTGATGTGGGGGATTCCTCGGGGTTCATATCCCATCATTGCGTAGAATGGCGACATCTTGATGGCGGAATGAGGTCGGGAGTTGTGCGCAAACTCGGCGTCAGGGAGCATCTCGTCCCATGTTTCAGGATTGTTCGCGCAGAAGATTCGGAGGAATATCTCGAGTTCCTGGTTGGCTCGTTCCGTCTGGCCGTCAGTCTGGGGGTGGTACGCCGTGGACAGTGCGCGTTCAATTCCGGTCAGGCGGCAGAGTTCTCCCATGACCTTGGATGCGAACTGAGGGCCGCGATCGGAGATGAACTTGCGTGCGAGTCCGAAGCGTCGGTACACGTGGTCGTGGTTCATCTTGGCGGTTGTTTTGGCATCCACCTGGTCCGTGCATGGGATGAAAATTACCCCCTTCGTAGAGTCGTGGTCCACCACGACATAAATAGCATTATGTCCGCGGGGAGTCTCGGGGAGTGCGGTGATGAAGTCCATTGTTTGGCATGAGAACGGTGTGGCGGGGCGTTGTGGCGGGATAGGGATGAGAGGAGTCACTGTGGGATGCGTGTTGTTACGTCAACGTTTGTTTTCCCTTATTTGCACTTGAGCATTGTACTATCCTAGCATGGGCCCAACCCCATGACACTACGGTTCCAGTCTTTGGACTCCTTCGCTGTTTGCTCCGGTCCAACCCGGAGCAGTTCACGTGATCTCTGACTCAGTATGACTCGTCCCTTACTCATCCCTGACTCATCATTTATGACTCGATCCCTGACTCGTCATGACTCACTCCCCCGCACTCCTATTGGCTAGGTAGTTGTGACTCGTTCAGGACCTGCCCTGAACTCCCCATGTATATAAGACCTGTGTACAGTAGCGGTTGAACCTTAGTTCGACCTGGTTATCTATTAAAGCTTCACCAGCTCCTTGGATATCAGAAACTCCCCGCTCGACCTGCTAGACGGACTTAGCAGCGTCTTCGACCATCCTCCCCATCCAAGGACGATTAGAACCTAAGGTCCCTACGTTTAGGGTTAGGTTGAGAGCTAGTGCTCTAGGTGTCACGCTTCGCGTAACATAAGGTCGAACTGATCTTTACGCTCCGCCTGCTCAGGCGCAGAGCCCACACATCTTCACACACGCTTCCGGAGTGCCCCTCCGTCTAGGAGACTCCCCACCCACCACGGACTACTGAGTTGAGATCGAACCCGTTACCTACGGGCTCCCAACCCTACCGAACCTCTGGTGGAACGACGACCTTCGCCTCTTCGAGTATCAGAAGGACGTGAGCACAGACCTGTGTTTGTGCAAGAACCAGAACGAGAAGGAGAGAAGCGCATTTGGGCCTTCTTCCACGACACCGTTACCCTCGAAGAACGACAGAAACAGACCCGCGCCTACCTAGACACCAAAGGAAAGGCTGCCGAACGGATCAGGAAGATCCAAGACGAACGACCGAAGCCGGCGACTCCAGCGGCTATCCGACGAGAACTCTCGAAGCACGAAGCTACTTCCCCTGCAGTAGGAACTAGCCCCCTGGTACACGTTGTACCCGAAGTAGGCACATCCAGCCTCACCCAGTACTCCTCGAACCTCGCTACAGGTGTCGAGAAGAAGCCTCTCGAAACAGAACTCGAGACGCAGTCGAACGAACCCAAATCCGAACCCGAATCCGAACCCGAATCAGACGACACGATGTCTACCACCCGCATGAGCATGGCTACCAAGCTTGAGGTCCCCGCACCTGACAAGTTCAAGGGACAAGCTACCGATGCGAAACCGTTTATCCGACGTCTCGAGATGTACTACAGCGCAACTGGCAACGCCGATGCCAACGATCAACGGAAGATCGCTTACGCTCTCCTCCTCATCGACGACAACAGTGATGCTTTCTACTGGAAGAAGTTGCACATGGACGAAGAAGCTGATGCCCAAGAAGAGGGCAAGCATGCGTTTGAGTCTTGGAAAGACTTCAAGGAGGCCTTCTTGAAGGCGTTCCCCGTTTATGCCGAAGGAGACAGAGACTCGATAATGCTTACAACTCTAAAGCAAGGAAAGACTCCCACCCCTGCCTTCATCCCCAAATTCCGATCCATCGCGTCCAGGACCGACCTCTCTGACAAGACCCTCTCCGGGTTCTTCAAGAGGGCAATCCGCCGTGATCTCCTTGACACGGCAATGAATATGGAACCACCCAC